GAAGCCAACCTTGGCATCGACAGCGGCCAAGCTTGTTGTCAACGTTGAGATCTATGTTTCACTGCGAAGTCAATCTTGACATCTGCCATACAAAAGTTTATACAAATACGCCTGTGAGGAAGAGCGAAGCCAACCTTGGCATCGACAGCGGCCAAGCTGGTTGTCAACGTTGAGATCTATGCTACAATAAGAAAGCGATGACGGAATATATGTAGGCATGGGCTTCTTCATTACATCTCAGCATCGCTAACAAAATATGTATGCTTCTGTGAAGCTGGGCTAAGCACTTTCCAACGTACTAGCGTCTCAACGATACCCCAAGACGAGGAAACATCACCTCGGTTTGATACGTCCAGACAGGAAGCCACTCGAGCGCAGCGGCTTCTTGGACTCGAGCTTTATACTCGAGCTCTTTGAAAAAACCCTCCTTGGTATGCTCCCGGATAGCATTCTCGTCGTACGATTCATCTCCCCCCATGGTGATATGGTGTTCAACATGGGAATCGAGAAAAGCGTCTAAGCGTTCAATATCCCACTCGCACAGGCGCTGTCGACGCTTTATCATAGTCAACGTTATCTACACAGAGGTCAATGGCACGTTAGCGTTGGGAGTACACCTGGCACCACAGAACGCATGAAATACCTTCGAGGCTTTCAGGGACGCTTGCAACCACGCGTAGATGTGACTCAAGTCTTCGTCATTCTGAAACTGCGCATACATCTCGTAGAGCGGAAGGGCGGCTAGAAATGCGTCTACATGGTTGGTAGACCTGGATCTAGGCTCGTAAACCTGTTGCATAATAACATTTGTTAGACTACGCCACAGAACTCAAGTAATTCGCATACCCACCCGGTCGCGTGACGGTTTGCGTACTGGCTGGAGGATGTGAAAGTCAAGGAACCCCTGGTGCCATTGAAATCTCTCCAACGTCTAGGCATACATCGGAATTGAGCCATCGTGACGCCCACTGAATCACCAAAGATACGTGCACGTACCTCCCCTACAGACATCGGCTTGCCATAAATTTTCTTGTTGTTTGACGCTGTTCGGTTGACATCCGGCGTGAAAGCCTGTTGTATGCAAGCAGGACGGTTAGATATCAAATAGCCACCACAAGTAGGACATACATGCGCACCGGGACAGCCTCGCAGGCGTAGTTTGGGTCCGAGAGAACAAAGTAGGAGGAGCGGTCTACGTCGGTATCTTGATCGCTGGGCTGCCCAGCGACCGCGACTTTTGACAGGTTGATTTTGACTGTCGCTCAATTCTATGGAATGCCTATATTTTATTTTATACTAGATCCTTACACTAAAACACATACTCACTGCATCCGCCTGCAAAAGCTGCTGTTGCAGTGAGAGCCTGTTTTGGCAGCACCATTGGGTATTATAGCCCTCATCACTGACGTCACCGCCTTAGCCACCACCATTTTGGTCCTCGGCGATCCGCCTGCTTTTAGGCGCGCTCCGCACTCTAATTCGAGATCACACGATGGACTACTTGATCGTCCGGCCTCGTCCTGCAGCGTCTTGTGATGGTTGATGCCATCGTTTAGCGTGAACACGCGCTTCTTCTCCTTCATTTAGGGCGCCTCACGCGAACGTTTGTCCGTGTGGGCTGACGTTTGACCGCAGCCCAACAGAGCAGCTCTGAGAGCCGCCCCAGTTGTATCGATAGGCCTTGGGCGACAGCGCGTAGTATTTGCCTGGGTGCTGATGGGCTCGTAGTCGAAGTCCCCCTGCTGCGGCGTCGGGCCTGGTGCTGGGCCTGCATGCTGTTCGGGTTCACGTGCTGCTGGAGTTCATGCACGCCGGGCCATTGAAGCCGCCGCTATTGGTGCCGTGGTCCAGGGATTTGTAGTAGAGCTTGGGAAGTTCGCCGCTGCGCTGGTGGTGCGGCGAGTGCGCCTGGTACTGCGAGTAGCCGTAGCCCTGCATGGCGACGAGGAAGGAGGAAGTCAGGCGGGTGTACTGCCGATGGAATGGGGGGGGGGGCTTGTGCCGCCAGCGCTCGCCTCGCCTGCAGTCGAGAAACACGTCAGCAATGGGGCAACAGGCTGGCTAGAGTGACCAGCGTACCGAGGTTGAGTTGTTCTGCTTTCGGTTGTGCCTCGTACGTCTCGTCGTTGCAGTAGAAGGCGTCCCTCCTGTGCCGTGCCGTGCTTGCCCTGGGATAGTGTCACAGCGATTGCCGAGCACGTCCATCAACCGCGATATTCAGCTCAGAACAATTCACTCACTTAGCGAATGTTCGCATTATCCTGCGAATTACGCCAAGGTTTTTTCGATCGAAATCTCGACAGAGCTTAATATTACGGTCGTATCCAAGTTTTGATTGGATAACTCTGACCAATGAAATTGACAGCCGGTGGAACCCGAAGAGTCGGGGCAGGCCGCTGGGGACCTCGCTTACCCTATCCCGCCAGTATACAAATTTCTATATTAATCTTATCCCTGCAAAATCGGGATCGCCGGTGGGTTAAGCTCTTGCGCCAGTGGATTGGAGCTCGATAGCCGGTTTGTCCATGCCACAGCCGAAGTGTTATCAGACCATGCTCTGAAAAAGATCATGGGTTTAGCTGGGGTTGACGCCCACTCAGGTCCAAATATCACGCCGCTAAGGACACAGTTGCTCCCGGACATTGATGTTAAATCCATCCGAGCCTGATGCTGCCTGAATGCGTGCTTGTTCTTCTTCATCAAATCGCACTTGGATGTACTGCTGCGTGCCGGGATTGAGGACGGCCAGGCCACTGTTGCTGGCGTCCATGTAAAGATGAACATCGATGGGTTGTTCATCCGCAAACACTGTCAGGGGTAGCTGTTGAAGCCGGCCATGAGTTAGGATCATGGTAAACCACTGCAGATCAAGACCATCGAATTCTCGACAGCTATTCTTCCATAGCGTGGCGCTCGAATACTCGCAGCATGTAGTCGTTGGTAGAATGGTTTTGCGGCGCGGAGACACGAACAAATATGGCGTAGACTTCCTAGGAGTTGCTGCAGCTGGGTTCGAGTGACGTGTTGCTCAATTGCTAATGATTGAGCCCGAACAAGGGCTTTAGCGATTTTTTCGCGAGGCATTGACACCGTCCGTGCAGCGGTGTCAAACACCAGTCCCAACACTTGAAGGCTTGATTCCCACGAGCTAAATTTTTCTTCGTTGATTGCTCCGGGACCGAGAATCGCTAGCATCGCCAGTCGTAGCGTTTCATTTGCGAGAAATAGCCGGTTGCCGGTGTCAGGTTCGACGAGGACATGATCATCGACCCATTCGTAGGCATAAAATGGGTCGTGGTCGCGAGAGGTTTTGTCCATGGAGGCGGGGCTTTCGCGACTAACTAACCACGTGATGGCACCACCAAATGCGCCATAAAAGGCGGGAGAATTTGTCCACCCGAATAGAGCGGACATATCCACGATCAGTACACCAAGTTCAGGGATTGTGGCCGCCATCCAGCGAACATGGCCGCTAGCCAGCATTTGGTGGCGGAAGGCTCCTTTCACGTCGCCCTTCATGATCATTATAGCGGCTCGCTTGTATCGAGCGTGGCATGCTTCAATTCGTTTCGCGATCGCAGCCACGTGTTTATACTCGACGTCAGGACAATCTTCTGTTCTCGATGCATCGTTTGTCGAGTGACCGCGGGGGAATGAGAGGTCATGAATTAGCCTTACTTCGTCTTCAGGAGAACAATCTTTTTTCGTGACTGCGCCGAGGGGGCTGATCTGAATATTTTCCCAATGCCGAAGCACTTTAGCATCGAGAACGAGGTACTGCCCCGCATCTTGGCCCTTGCGAATGGCCCTGATGACAGCGTGAGGTGTCGAGATGCCGATCAGTGGTTTTTAATCGGCTTCGTTCGAGAGGGGTCGTGCTGCTTCCAAGTTAGTCGAATACCAGTGCGGGCTATCTGCACCAAGAGGTCCTTGTGTCGGTAGCCATCTAGCAGTCGAGTGAAACGAGACGGATATATTGTCTTGTTCGGGCGAAAATCACCTCGCTCCTGGTCTCGTACCAGTTCAACAATGTCTTGGAGGCGCATCTTGTGTCCACATGCCATCGCCGTAGTAACACGCTGCAGTTCCGTGTTAAGTTGCCAGTGACCGTTGTTCTGGCGGAGAGGGACGTCTCGTGGGGGATCTACGCCGAGCCGCGTGCAGAATGCGTTGAACGCTTGCGCTTGGCTAGTTGCACGTGCTGTCGCCCGCTCACTCAGTATCCGTTGGACGTAACTTGCCATCGACTTCGGCTCTTGTAAAGGGACCGTGAGGGAGTTCAGCGTTTGTCGCGGTAGCTTCGTTGCGTATAGACATAGTTTCGGGTGCCCTTCACGTTGTAGCTGGGGTGCTGGCGTAGCGGTGGGACCAGCATGCGCGCGAGCTACTGGTACCTGGCACATTGTTCCGACGCGCAGCTGAGCCGTTTTGTTGCTGGATGTGATTTTGCGCGGGTCGAGCTTGCTAAGTATGGGCAACTCCGCACCGCTGTTCTGGTAACCACCATTTATTCTCGGGTTTTTGCCGGCGCCACTGGTACGAACAAGATGCTGAGTTGATGACTCCTGCTGAGCCGTGGCAGGTAAACCAGGCTGTGTTGCCTGATGGGGGCCGTGAAATTGAGACTTCAGTGGCTCAAGCTGAGCCGTGCCGAGCGAACTGCTACGACCTGAAGCACGAGACCGGTGATGTCGGGTGCACGGAAACTCGAACTGAGTCAAGCCACGCGAGCTGCGTGGGTTGCAGTCCTGAGCCCGGGGGAGTGCGCGCCGCTGGGACTCGAGCTGGGATATCCGGGCCAGCGTGGCGTTGTAGGCGGGTTGTGAGCTGATGTGAGCTAGTTCCGCGTCGTGTTCGTTGGTGACGGCAGCGGGATGCTCTGCTCCCGACAAGGTAACTGGGGGTACGTACTGAGAAGCCGAGTCTATTGAGGCGTCTAATACGTGATGGTCCACACTACTCTGTCCAAGGTCGCAAGGATCATCGCTTCCTGGACGTCTTCATGTGGAGGTATACTTGCTATTGATGCCACCGAATGTGTTGCAGATGTAGCCTTTGAGCTTCTCCTTCAGCGCTGCCGGGAAGAAGTGCACTCTGCTGGCGTAGTCGCACACATTCGGGTCGATTGATGGGCAGCCGCGCCTCGACAGGAACTTCAAGCAGACTTACTTTCCATCCTGACGTGGAATTGGGATGCCCTCAGGTACTTTCCTCCCTTTGTTGCTACCGTGCCGCTGGGGACGTGGCGGCCGTGGTTGCTCATCGGAGCGAGTGGTGTTGCAGGGAGCCGACCGCGTCATTGCCTCCATCTTTTCTCGCTGAGCGGTTGTGTAGCTCGAGGTTGTCTGGAGTAAATCGTGACGAAATCAGGTTTCTTGTTGCTGTCCCATTTACACCGTTGACCGCCACCGCGTTCCTGTACTGCTCGAGTTGTGAGTCGATCCACAGTACTAGCGTGAGAAGCATGTCCTGGGGCCACATGTTTCGACTCTTGAGAGCACCGATGAAGTTGTAGAGTGTCGTGGCGAGTTGTTGGGTCACCACATCACACATCACTGCACAGTATTGCTGAAAACCGATCGCACCTGCCAGGATGTCGTCGAGGGTTCCGAGGCTGGTAGAAACTTGGCAGAGACGGAGAAATCACTCATGATCACGAAGCTTTCCCGCTGACGCTTGAGCCGAACCAAATGATCCACAGGCGTAAAGTGTAGAAACGAAAGTCCACGACTTCCAAACTGGAGGTCATACGCGCGCATTGCGACACCGGGGTAGGCCCACAACAGGAGCTCGGCGTTGGACACCATTGAATCCATACAAGAGGTGGGCGACTTACCTTTGTAAGCATCCGAGGTGACGATGTCATGAACTTGGCGTTGCCCGGGCGTTGGTGCAAAGCTGAATTTACTCCGTTTGGCTGTCCCTCTGTCTTCCGCTTCTTCCGCTGGGCGTTTAGCTCCAGTGGCGGGCACTCGGCGAGACTCCATGAGGTGGGGTAGGAGGTGCGGTTTGTGCATCCGCACTAGATCCAGAATTGCAACGTCGGCTGAAGTCTCGGTATTCATTCGCTCTGCTACCACCGGTACAGCCGTGCACGGTACGTGCCCGCTTTGGCCCTGTTGCTCCGGGGCAGGCCCCGCGGGTCTTGGCTGAGTATGTTGCGAGCGATTGATGGGCACCAGGCGCCCTTCATTTTCAGCGCCGTTGGTGCCGTTCGATATTAAAGCTTGCGCGAGCACGGCTTCGTCTGCCGCGGTTTCTGCATCGTCGTCCACGGCAGTCATGTCGAAGAATGCGGTGGTGTCGGGGGCTGCAGTAGCCGTTCCTTCATCGTTCCGACTTCGTGTAGACGAACCCACGCTCGTTCCAACGGGTTGGGTTGGGTTGGGTTCAGGTCACAGAAAGAGGAACCAAAGGAGGATCCCATGTCCACCGCAACATTTTTCCCACCGTCGATGTAATATACGTAGTTGATTACATGCTGAAGCGAGACTCGGGTACGCTTTCCTGTGCAGGGGTCGATCCAGGTGTACATTCGGTCGTATGCGGGTGACACTTCGGGTAGCAGTCCATGCATGAGTTGGGCTACTGAGATTGTCGCCGTCGTAGAAGCTGGATTTAACAGGCGATCCATGATGGCCCCATGAATTTCGTCTAGTTGGTCGTAACTCCAGCTGTCAAGCGGGAACTCGTGACACCCCATGACCATTGCTACCACGGGATACACCGAGTCGCAGATATCGGCCTTGTTGGTCTCCACCGGACCTGACTTCGTGCTGATGATGAGTTCCGACTCGGAGTATCCCGTGACTTGACCGTAGCAGAAGTGGCCGTCGATCTTGGCACACACAGCTTATCGGACCCAGGCACCCAGTTTCTCGCCTTCGGCATCCCTGCTGTCGACTTTTCTTGCCAGAGCAGTAGCTCTTGGCAGCTTCACCGTAGGTCCCCACTCGTCGCCATCCGCGTCGAGCAGCGCCGTCACCGCCGTGCCTCTGGCGTTCGAGATCTTCGCGTAGACCGGGGAGGCGATGGACCCGTTCAGGTCTTCCGGGAAGACGAGGAGGTAGGAACCGCGAGAGAGCGAGGATGCAGCCATCTTCGACGTAGATTATCTGCGGACGGTTTGTGCACTGCGAATTCGCGTTAACGGTTGCTTTCCTTGGAAGCTTGTCAGCTTCTAGCGCGTTGAAAGTTGGAAAATGACTGCATCTACACTACGCCGACGTGCAGGCCTTGAACGTGGAGGGTGAGATTCCGCGCGTACTCGCCTTCTTATCTCCGAAAAATAGCCTTACCTCGAATTAACTCAGGAAACCATCCATTGTGGATGCAAGCCCTCCAGCTGACATGATCAGTTTGACATCACTTGCCAATTTCCTGTCAACCCCACAAGTGCCCAAGACCAAGCTATCATGCAGCTCGGGTTTTTCCTGCTGGTGGTCGTTGCTGCGCTGGCTGCAAGCTTGGAGGCTGTTATAGCCTCCGCCGATATGGCCATCACGCTCTTAGAGAAGGACTCTGTGGACGTCGCCAGACACTCCAACACTGCCGTTTCGGCTCACGGCGGCAGGTTCTTGAGAGCCCACGATAACGGCGCTCATGACCCCTACGACAAGTCACCCGATGACGAGAGAACAAGCACGTGGTACAAACAAGCGATGAGATTGATCAAAGGAGAACCGGTTTTGAACAGAAAATTTAGATCGCCTCCGACCGCGGATAAACTGAAGAGATCGAAATCACTCTCCTCTCGAAATGCTGCGGCGCCGAAGTGGACTCGATCCGAATCGCTTCCGAATTTAAACGCTATCGGGCTCGAGGATGTCTTGCAGAAGGGCGAAAAGGCTCTCAACAAGGACTTCAAAACCATGATCAAGTTGAAAAAGACATGGTCAACCATTTTCATCTCGACAAAAAGCCTGTGAAGACCAACGAAGAGTTCGGACAGCTAGAGCTGTGGCACAGGTACTCGGCGTACTACAAGGAAGAACACCGCCGCTGGGCTAGCCAGATCAATTGGCAACCGGATTTTGATTCACTGCAGAAGTGGCGGCTTGACCAGCTACCCCGGGTGTAAGCGTCCTGAGAGAGATCGCAGCTCGTAAGGCTTGAAATTTTGATCGTGGGTGCAAAACGGAAATCGACTTTTCTTACAGTAATTTCTAGTCTGGTGGGCCCTTCATATCGATAGTCACAGTGGCCGTGTCCCAGTGTGAAAGTGCACCCCAGCCCCTTCATAATATGGAGGTGCCCATGTCACGCTGCGCAGTCCATGGCGTTGGTTGAACACTCTTCTGACCGATTCTCGTGTAGCCATTTGACGACTTCGAGAATTCCACGCTCGACGGCAAAGTCCATAGCACGAGTCGTGCAGCCTTCCCGTCGGTTGGAATGGAGCCACTGCACTACTTTCAGGTGTCCGTTCAAGGCAGCATAGTCCATGGCCTTCGTAGTGCGACCCTCCGTTCGGTGCTGATGCAGCCACTTGACAATGTTCAAATGGTCATTTTTGGCGGCTGAGTTCATGGCTCCTGTAGCGGCTCGATTTAAGTGAAGCCATTTGACAATTTTTAAGTATCCATTTTCAGCGGCAGCGTTCATGGCATTCGTAGTGCAGCCCTCTGTTCAGTTCTGATGCAGCCATTTCACAATTTACAAATGACCATTCCAGACAGCAAAGTCCATGGGCAGCCCACGCCCGTTATGTTGGTAAGTAGCCATTTCACTCCACATCGTTCGTAGTAAAGCCGTTGTCACCAGATTCTCGGCTTAGCAGCAGTTGACCGAGTTGAAGATTTCCATAGTGAACCGATTCCACTGCTGCTGATTGAACCCGACACACTTTTCGGGGTATTTTTCGAGCAATATCATTTCGCCAGAAGAAGCGGCTAGTGATAAAATCAAGCTTCTGCATCCATACAGTCGAGCAGCCATTGTAAAATATCCTAGTATCCTTGCCCGATTGACGTGTCGATCGCGTCATTGAGATTATCTTGGCAGTCACAGTGTGCGCAAGCACTTTCCACAATCTCCTTTTGGGAATTCCTGGACTCGATGTCTTTTTACTATTCACCAATGTTTGTGTCAGGGTTGCTGGGGAGATTTCCCACAACGAGTTCTTTCGTTCGTTCGATTTCATGCGCTCCGTAGGCAATCGCTCTGATGGCAGTCGGTAACGAATAAAAGTGAAACTATCATGTCTTTCCGTTGTGGCAACATGGTGCAACACGTGATTTGGTGATTTGCAATTCTGTACCGGCGTCCCCAGCCTATTCGCCACAGTGGTACTTATGATGTTTGCGAATCAACAAGATTCACGGGGTCTGAACATAAATGAATATGTACTGACTTACTACAAGCTTAGCTCAAGAATACGGTGGAGGTATTCCCGCAACGTGCCACTTGTCGCAGTAGGTCTCGCTGTACACTCATCTAAATCAATATGTTTGCAGAAGTAGCGCGCAAATCTTGAGAGCTTGTTGTACTTCCTGTGCGAGGTACATTAAAATATACAGCCGGGACTAGCCCGGGGACGCCTGTATTATCACTTTTCATACTACAGTACGAATCGATTGTGGCCATCACGAAGTGACACTAAATGAACCTAGAGAATAAATCACAGAGTAAGTAATGATTGACGGTTCCATCCTTCTGCATTTCCCTTCTGTACCGCGTAAAGATGATCGATGGCATTCCTCACCTTCCAGCTACCGTCAACGACTTTCTGGGCCCCCCTCCGCCGACCATTGTGCACGTATGTAAACAGAATCACTCGTCAATCTGCGCCGTGGAGCTCAAGTCGCCGGGAGGACCAATCAGCGGGCAGTGCGGCGATAGAGCCAGCTGACCCAGCGGTCCGGCCACTCAGAGCGCGCCGGTGAGCATCGAGAGCGCTCTGATTGGCCACGACTGGACGACGGCGACTCCCTTGTGGAGCCAGTCGTTCCTGGCGACCGGAGCTCCAGCGAAAGGCATGCACCTGGCCGGCGTGCTTGCACGCCACGGCTGGGCAGCTCGGGGGTGAAGCCGCGGACCAAGCTGGATTTCTGCGTCGCTGCGTGCGGCGGCGTATTGCGGCGGTCTTTTGACCGTCGGCCGGAAGGCGGGGCCTGTGGGGGGTCCACGGTGGTCTACATGTAGCCCATCGCGCCGTTTCCCATTACAAACCAGGCCACGGGTGGCGCCGTGGGCCTTCCTGGTAGTCATAGCCTACAAAGGTTGCGTGCGATACTGGCAGGTCTCCAGATCGTCGGGTGTGCAGCACTCCAACGTGCGCACACCCTCCACACTATTCGGCGGGGCATCGGGAGATATGAGCTCGGTGTTGACGGTGGATGCGTCGGTCGTTATCTTAGTTAGGATAAATGAACTCAATCTAACCTCAACCTTGAAATGAAACGAAAAATGTATGTATACAGAACGCACCGAAGCTGCTGTGACGGGTTGGGTCAGACGAGCGGCCTGAACCCCAGCCTGGCGAAGAATGACGAAAGCGAGGAGCGGCTGAGGGACGAGTGGGACGTTGAACCCCAGCGGACCCCGGAGACCACACGGTCGCCAGGATCTGCTGCACCTGTGCGGCGGGCATGGGACTCAGGACCTCGAGCATCGAGCTCACTCTTGAAATAGACGGCGAGGGCGCAGAGGCCTCGGCGACAGACGCAGCTCGGGAGCGAGTTGCAGGACGAACGAACGGCTGCTTCGGTGGACGTGCTACTGGACGACGTGGTGAGTGACGGACAGGAGAGCCCTTGGCACTCCGAGTCTTCTGTGGACTGCGAAGTGAGGACGGGCACAGCGGTGGTGTACGTCCAAGTGGTTTAGAGGGCGACGAAGTTGTTCACTGCGTACGTGTCTAGGAAGTGCGTGTATTGTTAGTTAGTCAGCAGCGCCGGCTGCTACGAGTTTGTCTTAGTTTAAATAAAATTGGTTGCGTTGCCAGTCGGGCACGCGCCGGCGGGGTATCGGAAGTTCCGGTACCGACGGCCTGACGGACTTTGGCTGAGATCAGCACTGTGACGACCAAACTCTCGTGTGCGGAGACAACCAGCACGTTGCACTGCTGCGGTGGATTATTGCCAACGTGGAGCGTGAACCAGACGAAAGTTTACTGAAACTACCAGGCTTTCGTCGCAAGGCATGAAAAACGCTATAATCGGATGACATCTCGAAATGGTCAAGACGCTTTCTGAACTATGAAGTATCCGTCAGCGTTGTAAAAACAGCTCTGTCTCACTCTTAGTTGGAGACTTTCCGTGGCTACTAGTACGTGTTTACCGCCTGAGCGATGATACCGAGGTCGTTGCGAGAATGGTCGCGCTCGCAGTCGAGAGTGAGAGTCATTTTAGTCTCTCGAGGGATGACAGAACGTTCGCCACGCTCTCGTCGTCACGCCAATCCAAACCGGTTAAGAATTCAACATCAAAATATCCCGCTCCCACAGCTCTGTAGAGTGCCTGCCCTGGGTAAGCTTCGTATTCATTCCTACGAAGCCACCGTACAACATCGAAGAGCTTGTACATTGCTGTCCAGTTTATTGCCCGAGCGGTGCACCCATCCGTGAGGTTGTCATGTAGCCACTGTACGACATGGCAACACTCTACAGCACCAAGTCCAGCCGTTCGAGCTGGAAGTCCCAGCCAAGCCTGGAGCCCGCAAGATTCTTGCGTTCTTCCTCGTTGCTCCTACGGCCTCCATCCCTTCGACTTCCATTATCCCACCGCAGCAAGAGGAATGGATGAAAGCGCCTTTGGATTTCGCAGTCATTGACGGAGTGAAGCAGAATATCCGATCGATGCTACCCGGAGAATGACTCTCGAAGAAGCGAAACGGTAGGCTCAACGATCCTCGCTATTTCTCGCTGTGCGAGCACTAGACGGCTACCAGATATACATTCATGGGCTATCATACCTGCAGCTGATATGCCGCGTCATATACGCGCATAGATCTCGCGGGGCAGATATCGTCTCGATAAACTGCCCTACCCCTAGATATATGCCGTGTAGCCATCCTAAAGTTTTGTCTTGTTGTTAGTATACTTTATGCTGACCATCATTCTAACATATGCATCCTTCACTCTACGGGCATATCGATGATCATACATATTCCGCCAAATCGAAAAGACGCTCAGTTGCGAATTTGCCGCCGGCGGCGCGAAGTCGACAGCAGCCAACACTTCGAAAGGTGAGCGTGGTTGATGGCTTTGTATGCACTTCTCTATGAGAGGACTCACCGCGTGTTTGATTACAGGGACAATGGTGCGATTAACCCACTCCGCCGTTCACTGGCGGCGTCGGTGCATCAATGACACGTCCAGCGAGGACGAAGAGAACACGCCGCCGAACATCCAGCCCAGCCACCAGTACGAACGCGACAGCAAGCGCCGCATCGAAGACGCCAGCGAGTCCGCCAGCGCTACGGGCACAGCAACGCCTCCGTGGTTGCCGCCAAAGAGAAGCCGCCCCAAGTCCAAGTTGGCAACGAACCCGCCGCCAAGCCAGGAGTCGACGTCTGCGCCCGTGTCGCCACCGGTGCCCAGCCGTCCGTACGCCAGCCCCACCACGTCGTCGCCGGTGCTCCTGGTGACGCCGCCGAGATCCCTAGCGGCGCTTCAACCTCGCCACGAGGGCCGTCGTGCGCGTCGTGAAGCTGCCGCGCCTTACGCTCGCCGGCAGTCGGCGCCTCAGCGCGATGCCCGACCCGTCATCAACCCACGCGGGGCGATGTGAGTCACTGCAGACGGATCGCCTCGGACGCAACTACGGGGGCCGCGGTCACGGGATCGGTTCATTCCAGCGCAGTGGCCGCACCGCGTGATTCAGCTTCGCGAGCAGTTCAACCCGCTCGCGACGGTATTTCCGTCGGTGCCTCACTTTGGGTGGTGCGACTGTCCATCGCCGTGCCGTGTGGACTCCTGCCGCAATTCGTTAATGCATCTCTACTGCAGTATCAACTGCTGCCCGTACGGGGGGCTCTGTGGCAACGCGCTGGCCGAGTCGAGCAAGGTGTATCTAGGGAGGAACGTGCGCACGAGGTCGTTGGGCGTGGTCGCTGGCGAGGACATCGAAGCGGGCGAAGTGCTGGGGCAATACCTCGGCGAGATGGAGCACTTGAGTGTTTCGCACACGACCCAACCGCGCAATAGCGGCTACCGCTTTGTGATGAGGCAGCGGCCAGAGCGACCGACGTTCCCAGTCTGCGTGGCGATCAACGCCGAGAACATGGGAGAGCTGATGCGCTTCGTAAACCACTCGTGCCAACCGGTGGCGAAGTTCGTGGAAGTGGCCAACGGCCGCCGTACCACCGTGGCCGTGGCGTCGACGCAAGACATCCACCGCGGCGAGGAGGTGACAGTCGACTATGGCGACGACTTGTGGTTTGTTTGCAGCTGTGGGCTGGATGGCTGTCGCCACCGCAACATTCGAGACGCCCAAGACCCGTGAGAGGGCCAAAGAGTGAGCATGACGAGAGAGCAAGCAAGGTGAAGAGAGAGACCAGCGAGAAGGGGGAGGGAGCGAAGTGAAGGAGGTGTAGTTGTGTAGGTAAGCGTGTTGTGAACAAATGAATTGCTTTGAGATAACCTATTGCTGTGCGGTTGATGATGGTGGTTGCCGTGAGTGCAAAGTAGCTGCAGGCTAGCAACAAGCAGGGAAGCATGAAAAACTGGTGCCAATGTTCGCGCCAAACGACGGGTTCATGGGCTCATCTTCGTTCGAAGTTTTCACGTACACTGACTTGCTATTTGCGCGCAAAATCTGCGCGCGCAGCGTTGAAGTTGAGAGCTACTAGCATCCTTTCAAGATCGATGCGAACTGGTGGCGGCGAAGGCATCGCCCTGGCAAGCTGCTGCCGCGGCGAAGCTGTCGTCGTCTCTCACTTCTGGTTTTACCACGTTCCAAGCAGTTCACCCCCCCCCCCCCAAGCGCGTCTCCGCCGCCTCGCCTCCGCCCATCACTCCCGGTACGCCGCGCCAACACGGTCCAACGTGGCAATGAGCAGCGTGGCTGACTTTTTATTGATTCGTTTGTGTGTGTAGATGCCCAAGCACTCTGGAACCACCAACTATTCGACGGCCGATGTCGACCGCCTCCTCACGCTCGTCGAGAAGATGCTGCCGGTTGGCAGGGACGAGTGGGAACACCTCGCTATGACGTACAACGCCAACAGGCCTCGAGGCTTGCCCGAGCGAGACTTCGAGAGCTTACGGCGTAAGTTCAAGGTGCTTCACAGCACCCGGAAGCCGACCGGCGTGCAGGAGATTCCTCCGCTCATCAAGAAAGCCAAGGAGGTCAAGCGTGCCATCGACGACAAGGCCAACGTCGTGGAGATGGACGACGAGGCCGACAACGACCAGCCCGACTTCTGCTTTGAAGTCGACCCGGACGACAGCTTCTACGAGGGCGGCGACGGCGAGGGCGAAGGTTTGGGAGTGTCCATTGCCGCCACTGTGGGCAGGTCCGACTGCGGCGAGTCGCCGGGCTCCGACGAGTCGGCCGAGGACGAGTCGACGGCTTCCAGCCGCTCATCGAGCCGAGGCGCGTTCCAAGACTTGCTCTCGTCACCGCTAACCACCGATGATCTGGACGAGCTTGCGCGCACGCCGCGTCCTGCTCCTGTCCGAGCAGCGACAAGTACACGTCGTGCTGGCTCGGGAGGGCTGCCGCAACCACGTAAGACGGCTGTTACTGCCCCCAGTAGTGATGCTTCACAGCAGCCATCGACTCAAGGTGCCGCCGCTGCCACCAACCACGATACCGAAGCGGCCAAGTACCCCAAGCTCCACAAGACGTCGAACCGTCTCGGAGGCGTGGACTTGGCCGGCTTTCGCGACACGGTGGGCGCCAAGCGCGCTCATGAAGAAGACAAAGACACGGCGGAAGCTAGCTACGCCAAAGCTAAGCGCATCCGTGCCATGAAGGCAACAACAGCTCTCAAGACAAAGCTGGATGGCCTTGAAAACAACGCCAGCAACATGCGAGGAGGCATCCTCGAGGCGCTTCTGCTGCTCCGCGAAGAGAGCGAGCGGAAGGCTAATGCCCGTCGCGCCGAGGAAGATCAGCGCCGCCGCGACGAAAAGGCGGCCAACGAGGCCCGCCTTCTGGAAGCCAAGGCTGAAGCTGAGGCGCGCCGCCGTGAGGAGAAGCTGGAGAGAGAGGACCGTGCGCGCCGTGAGCGCGAAGATGCGCGCGCCCGCACTCAAGAGCTGCTCATATTGATCGGCGCACTGACTAAGAAGGCGTGAGCGGAAGGAGCGCATGTTCTTCGAAGTGAGGCTATCAGTCACGTTCTAGTTACTATATACTTGTCACTTACCACTAAGCCTCAAATCGAACATGTTATTCATGATCCGCTAGCGTGTCCGTCATGGGTTACGTGATCTTCTAGCGCCTTCATCATCACATGTACTTCTCGTGCTGCGTACACATCTCTGTGAAGTCAAGTGCAAGACGCACGAGCATCGAGTTCGGCTCTCCGTCGCAAAACGTTTGCAGCACGCTGCTGCCAGCAACATTGAGATAATGAAGCAGCTCAATTCAACGGCAAAGAAAAATGTATTGTTGCATGCAGTACAAACACGGCTAGTTCGACACCCTACTCGCTGGATAGCTCCATCTCGTCTGAAAACGTCGTGCGTATCTGCGAGATGCCGACCGTGCGGACGCGATAGTTAGCCATTCTGAAGATGTTGTTGATTCGGTGCCCACGAAGCTCGGGGTCGTACGGCAGGGGGAGGTTCAGGCGGCATGCTCCCCATGCCCCACTCCGCCGCCTGCCTCACGGACGTGATGGCGTTATGAAGCGCCCGCGCGGAGCTTCTCAGCGACGGGAGAATCCTCTCGAGATCGCCATCTTTGAGAGTAGTCAGGATGCGACCGACCATGCTGGGCGAACACGGGAAGGCCGAGTCCGACACCACGTTCATACGTGTGTCCGGGCAAAGGGTAGGGTCGAGCAACTTGGAACGGAAGTCCAAGGAGGAGTCGGAGTCGTTCCACGACCCGGGGCAATTGTGCTTACACCAAATGATGCGGCCGTCGGCTGCGAAGCAGATTGTGCCAGTCACGAAAACGGAGTGCAACCACCCGTTATACATGGCGTTCTGCAAGTCCGCATTCGACGGCTGCTGAACCTACAATATCATTGATGTTAGCATTCTATCATAGACCCTAAACCCTACAACTCACCCTTAAGTTCTTCCCATCAATGAAGCCGAATGTGTGTTTGAGAAGCGGCTCGCGGGCTTCCACAAGCTTTGCGAGTTCGGCTTGGCGAGCAAGGGAGGGCCAAGAGATTCTGGCAGGAGTATAGCCTTTTAGCGCCAGCGACAGCGCTTCCTCGGCGCGGCGTAGCGTCCTTGATATGGTGCTCGGCGGAGCCCCAAACATCGTACACAGGGAGCTCTGCTCCATCGACCCGACGTAGAAGCACAGCACCAGGCCCAGGATCTGGTGGTAGTGTCGTAGCTTCGGGGGCCGCCCGCGTGCCGTGCTGCGTGGGATGTAGTAAAAGCGGCTGAAGCGTCGCAGTAGTTGGTGGAAAGCCGACCTGAAAGCATGCATGAATTAGATATGGCGCAGCAACTTCAGATAGTAAGTAGGGTCGCACCTGGTCAAGCTCGTCGCGTTTAGGAAGTTGATGTCGCTTCCGCCCGTGTACAACATCATCCACGCGGAGTCGCAGGGCGTGTCCAGGCACTGGGTGGTCAGGTAGTGCCTCGTCCGCATGGCGATCCTCCACGCCTCTTCCACGAGCTTGTCGTACACCTCCCTGCGCACCTCGTGCAGCGTCTCCTCCTGCTCGACGAAGGCGCTAGCCAGCACCAGCATCGCATCGACGTCCTCTGCGGCCATCGCTCCGGCGCTTGTGTCCGACGCGCGCCAAATTCGAAACTGGTGAAATTTAGAAGGGATGCAGCGTCGGCGGTGTCCGGAACGAAATGACGGGTACATTCTTAAAGCCCAGCAAACGTATATCAAGCCGCCTGATTCAGGGCGATATCAAGCGGACACAAGTGACGCATGTACGACAATTGCGGTGGAGATTTTGAGCGCTATGTCAGCATATATCTTTTTAAACCCTGTCATATCTGCTGCGGGTATGACAGCCCGTTAATGTATATCTGGTAGGCGTCCACTAGGTACCAAGGAGTCTAAGCCTGGGCTTAGCTGTATCGTAGTGCGAACAATCGATTACAGGAAAATCATGTTTTTTGTTACTTGTTACTCTGCTAGCCGTGCAAAACACACAATAGCCAGATCTCTCAATTGAGTTTTAACAACGTTACTTACCCAAATGTAGTAGATGTATGAGCAGTTTTGCTACGTGGCCACGTTAGCTCTGCCGAAGGTAGGAGCAGAAACAAAATGAAACAGAAATTTGAATTAATTTCTTTGTGCTGGGCGGCAGAAATGGTAAAACTACGTCATGTTCGCTTGGCATTTGGTCGGTGAAGGGCATTGCAGCGGTTTTCAACGCGTAAGCACTTTTCGAAACCTTTCCAGTATCGGTAGCGCAACTTCAGGTGCGTGGTACGAGTACAGCCAGTCCGAAAATGCCCACGTGAAAGATCTGGACAGATAACTCGGAAAGGTAGGTTCACTGGGATGACGCTCGAAGCACAGGAGCGCAACATCAAAGTGTGAAGTCCCTACAGCACGATATAGATCCCCCTTTGAGCAATACCCAGTTTTGTGTTCAAGCAACCACAATATCACTGGCAAATGCCCATTCCTTGCTGCTAATCTAAACGCGTCGCCCGTGCATCCTTCCGCTCGATTTTCGTGCAGCCACTTCACAACATGGAGGTGACCGTTTCCAGCTGCACCATCCATAGCGCTGGTTGAACACCCTTCCGACCGATTCTCCAGTAACCACTTCACAACTTCGAGGAATCCATTGCTTGCTGCACCATCCACAGCACGATTCGAACAACCTTCCTGCCGGTTGACATGCAACCACTGGACTACCTCCAGGTGCCCATTCATGGAAGCAAGGTTTATGGCTCTGGTCGTGCAGCCCTCCGTCCGGTTCTCGTGTAGCCAATTGACGACCTCCAAATGCCCGTTCCCGGCAGCATTGTCCATGGCATCTGTAGTACAGCTCTCGGCCTCTTTAATAGATAGCCGCCACTTGAGCACCTCCAGATGCCCATTCCCCGCAGTTGCATCAACCGTCTCGGCACTAAAGTTGCAGTTCTCTGGGTCGTAGTACAGGAGCAAACGTGCCAGATCGAGTCTGCCACCGCTGGCGCACTCGTTCGTAACTCTGTCAAGCCCCACCCACCGTCCTGGCAGGTTTGACAGCACCCATTCGACAATGTGAAAGTGTCCGCGGGATGACGCTCGAGATAAGTCCACGTACGTCTCCATATCCACTTGCTCAAGCAGCCATTTCAAAATGTTCAGATGTCCTTGGTCACATGCCTCGTCGATTGCCTCTCCAACGTCAACGTCATCTTTGTCAACACATTGAGCATGGGCCCACTTCACCGTTTCGAGATCCCCGATCTTGACCGCAAGCACCACTATTCTAGTATCAACCACGACGCCAATGCTCTGGCGATATGCAAACAACCATCGCAAGATATCCAACCGGCCGCGAGACAGCGCGCTTTCCACAACGCGGGCGGCAACCTGATAGGTTGGGAAGCTCACCGCATGCACCTTGACCATCTCCAAATGTCCAGCGACTACCGCATTCTCCATGCCTTGCTCAAATTGCCAGACGCGAAAGGCGGGCAGTATCAGTAAACTATCACCGGGCTCGTTGTCCACTTTAGCAATAACCTCAGCTTGCACGCTTGCGCGATAGTGCGCCGAGGGGGGCCCATGAAGGCTTCAATCGTAACTTGGATGTGGGCAATCCCTTCGATTTTCTTCTCGTGGCACAGAAGTCGCAGACCCTCCTGCAGATCGTTCTTTTCCGTAGATGGAGGCTGTAAGGAGAGTTTTTGACGCTTACTGGGGGCCTCCATTGTGCACTATCAACCCGAAAGAAAAGTGTGACAGACAACAACCGAATCAAATCCCATCAACCCAGGCTGGGACGGGGTTGGTCATAATGTCAGTCGCTCCTCCAACTGCCGCCAACTCCAATGCTCCAGCAGCTCGACACTCCAGCCAAATGAGGTGATCTGACGCCACTCACGACGCTCTACGCAATCAAGCCGATTGCAAGTTGCTGTCCTACCCGCCTCACGCTCTCTCATTGGTCGAACGCCGTGCGTTCGCCGCGGATTCTTGTGGCGCTCAGCCCTCCGTCGTGTGGAGCACACCAAATGTCTCGTCGCACGCGTTAACCCCCCCCCATACAAACTCCCATACTTAAGCCGCTTAAGTTCGCGTCCGCGCTGTGCGCCACCAAAAAGCCCGTGTTCGCATCGCAACTTCAGATCTCGATATCCGCCTTCCCTCTCACACACATCCCGACCGCCATGCTGGCCTCCTCCGTGCTCCGTTCCCGTGGCGTGCAGTCGTCGGCCGCGTCGACGTCCCGCCGGTTCGCCAGCGTGCAGGCCTCCGCGCCCACCTCCAAGGCCGTGCTGACGCCCGACGCCTCCGCGGACCAGAAGCTCACGGAGACGCAGGCCCACGACCAGTACCTGCACCGGCCCGTGACGTACCCGCTGGACAAGATCAAGGTGGTGCTGCTGGAGAACATCCACCCGCGCGCCAAGGAGGTCTTCGAGCGCGAGGGCTACACGGTGGAGACGCACAAGCGCGCGATGTCGGGCGAAGAGCTGGCGCGCGTCGGCGGCGACGCCCACATCCTGGGCATCCGCTCCAAGACGCAGCTGGACCCCGAGTTCTTCAACACTGTGGGCTGGCACGAGCACCGCCTCTGGGCCGTGGGCTGCTTCTGCATCGGCACCAACCAGGTGGCGCTGCAGGACGCCGCGGGCGCTGGCATTCCCGTGTTCAACGCGCCCTTCTCCAACACCCGCTCCGTGGCCGAGAAGACGCTGAGCGAGATCATCGCGCTGCACCGCAAGCTGTTCCTGCGCTCCACGGAGCTGCACCAGGGCATCTGGACCAAGTCGGCCACGGGTGCGCACGAAGTGCGCGGCACCACGCTGGGCATTGTCGGCTACGGCCGCATTGGATCCCAAGTGTCCGTGCTGGCGGAGCTGCTGGGTATGAAGGTGGTGTTCTACGACCCCATCAAGTGTCTGCCGCTGGGCAACGCCCACCAGGTGGAGACGCTGGAGGAGCTGCTCGGTATGGCCGACGCCGTGACCCTCCACGTGCCTGCCACCCCCACCACCAACAAGATGATCAACCGCGAGACCATCGCGCAGATGAAGGACGGCGCACTGTTGGTCAACAACGCGCGTGGCTCGGTCATTGACATCGAGGCGGCCAAGGAGGCCGTGGAGAGCGGCAAGATCGTCGGCATGGCGGTGGACGTGTTCCCCAAGGAGCCGGCCAAGAACGGCGAGCCGTTCGACACGCCCCTGCGCGGTCTGCCGAACGTGATCCTCACGCCCCACATTGGTGGCAGTACCGAGGAGGCCCAGGGCAACATTGCTGTGGAAGTGGCCTCGAAGCTGGTGCGCTACATCAACGACGGCTCCACCACCACGTCCACGAACACGCCCGAGATCGACATGCTGCCCATCCGCAACAACTCGATGCGTATCCTGCACATGCACCAGAACGTGCCCGGCGTGCTGAGCAAGATCCACTCGGTGCTGTCGGACTACGGCATTAACGTGACGTCGCAGTACCTGCAGTCGGACCCTCGCCACGGCTACATCGCGCTCGAGGTGGAGAAGTTCCACGCCAAGGTGGTGACACGCGAGCTCGAGAAGATCAAGGAGACCATCTTCCTGCGCACCATCATTTAAGCAGTGAGCTTCCGCTCTTGACATGATCGTGGACGGGCTGGGCTGGGCTGGCTCCGACTGCAGGAGTCTGCAGTGATTGGGGCTGTGGAGAAAGCAACAACAGCAAATCAGCAACTAACCCAACACGAAAATGTATGTGAACGACGTCGTCCTCGAGTGGTTGGCGCTCGTGACTGTAGGCGCAATTGATGGAGGGGATAGATACACACTCGTCCCTCCTGTTGGCAACCTGGTAGGCAGATAGATAGAGGAGACCATAGAGATAGACGTCTACCAGCATCCCAATACAATACCCGCCTGCTGCGTCGTTCCATTTCCGAGGGACACGCAGGGCTGCTTCATGACCAATCTTGTCTCTATCGCTACCGTCATTGTGCTGGAAGATCACCATTGACTCGGATCAATGCCGCAATGTGTATTGCAGCAACCTGTCATCACCATAAGTTTGTCCGCGCCATCAAACGTAAAACAGTCCAGTTCTCCCAGTAGCAGAGCTAAGCAACGATCAAGAGGACAGCATAAAAGTCGGTCGAATGGTGGCGTACAAGCCTCCGCTTTTGCTTCATTACAAACTCAAAGACGAAGTGAGCCTTCCAGCGCACCAGGTCGGCCGTGTCTTTTTCTCTCGTCGAGGGCAGGCCGTTCTCTCAATCTCAATCGGTCGCTAGTCCACAAACTTAAGCCGAGGCGTCGTCACGGATCTTGCGAAGACGAGCCAGCGTCGAGCGGACCGTGGCGGCCGAAGCCGTGTTCAGCAGGTAGGCGCCGCCGGCGATGGTCTTGTGGCACGAGCGGCACTCCCAGATGCCCGTCACGTTGCGCTTGATCGAGTCCTTGCCGCAGAACACGCAGTTGTACTTGGAGTGCTGCGAGATTTCGATCTTCTTCACCACCTTACGGAGCGAAGAGCCGTAGCGCGTGCCGTACTTGCCGCAAATGCCAACCTTTTTCGTGCGCTTGCCCTGTAAAATCAACCAGCCAAAACGTCAGCCGCCTGCGCACACGTCTCAAGTGATCGAAGACCCCGCTGATCCAGCCCTGTGTGGCGTCCGCTTCCTCGCGCAATTCATGTCTGTCTGACTGTGGGTTCCTGTTCATGCCCTTTGTTGCACATTGGCACTGCACTGCGGCGCTGCTAGAGGGAGATGGCGCTCGCAACCGACACCGACTGAAGGAGAAGCGCGAGGGGAAGCGGACGCGCACTTTGGAGCGGCCTGTGGGGGTCTAGAGCGCAGGGGAAGGGAAGAGCAAGCGCACCATTTTAGCCTCTTGAGATTATCCGGAGAGAAATCGACTTTGAAAAGTGAAGAGCTCCGCGGCCCGCAACAGCAGCGCAGCCAACGATTGAATGGCCCGAGCGCAGCGCCAGACTTTCCTCCAATCCACACGTTGCACGCTGTTTTCCTCCAATCAGGAGGTGATGCCAAATATAGCGTGGTGCACATATACTATCTGTAACCTGATATGGCTGCAGAAAAATCGGATTCGTCAGGTTGTTGAAGCGCGTAACGGCACGTCGGGAGTGAATGTCACGGCAGCGGGGACTTTGGTGGGCGTCGTAGCGTCTCGGGGGCTTCCCGATGATCGGCCGCAAGCAGCGCAAGCGTAAGTCCGACCCTTACGAGCATGCCAAAATATTGTCTCCAGATGCCCTGTAGCCTACGAACGGCGCAACTGAATAACGCCACGGTGTCCTGTGTGTGAAGGTGTGGTATACGTGGATGGCATCCCCATCGAGTCCACTCTCCTGGACGCTGGTGAGTCCGGACTTAAAGGCGAGAAGCAGAACGACCCAACATCTCTGGCAGCGCTCGATCCGCGCGTCGTAGGTGCATTTGACTGCGTTAATGGGGCCTAAACTGAGGCGTTTGACTCCCTTTTTGCTGCTAAATGCTGCAGTTGTTCGACAAATACGACACGGACGGCTCCGGGGATATCGATTTTGACGAGTTCAAGGTGCTGCTGCACGACCTCAATGTGAACCTGACGGAGCCCAAGGCGCGCGCCTACTTCAAGCGCTGCGACCGTCGACGCCGAGGCAGCATCTCGTTCGAGGAGTTCCGCTTGGCACTGTACACGTGCGACCCAAAGAACCCAGATAGAACGGGAGGCTTTGCCCCGGGTCAGTCGCTGGCGCCCAAAGATCTGTTCGAGATGTTTGACAAGGATGAAGAGGGTGCCATCGACCGAGGGACGTTTATGGAGCTCCTGGAGTTCATCGGACACAAGATGCCGCTCGACAAGATGGAAGAACTCTTTGCGACCTATGAGGATGTGAGTGTGAGAGTGTATTGAGAAGAGGCAGTTGTGGTGCTTACTTGCTTGTGTTGTTGTTGTTCAGCAAGAACTGGAGATGCTGCCGTACGTGCAGTTCAAGAAGGCTTGGTTGTCTGTGGTTGACGTGCAGGCAGAGCTCCGCCTGCGTGGGGAGCGGTTCAACAGGTTCTTGCCGAATTCGATTCTTGCGAAGAAGTTGGCCATGCTCGTGAATATGGAGGAAAAGCAGGAGGCTATGACGCTGCTGGAGGCCAATAACACGCTTAGTGATGAGATCATCGCTGCGCAACGCTGCGAGTTGGTTAGAGAAGCCAAGTATCTAGCGCGTGTGACGCTGGCTGAGGCTCTGGATGCTGCGGGACAGGTATATGTATTTGGAAAAGGGGCGTATCAGCGCTTCGACAGTGAACCGAGAGAGCCTGATTTCGTCGAGTTCATGGAGTATGGCATCGTGCGAGATTTATGGCATCAGCGAGTCGCTCCACCGCCTGGTAAGACTCCAATTTCTCCTACAAGCACTACTGGTAAAGCGGATACGTCCGCTGCTGCTCCCACCAAACAAGCCAAAAGCCCAGGCAATTCGAAAACTAAGGGGAAGTCTGGACCACGCGCTGAACAAATAGAAACCGAGGAAGTCGGCGGCAACAATGATGACGACGACAACCATAAACGTCCGTCTCCCTCCAGAACGAAGCTCGAGACGTCTGCACGAGCATTTACAAACCGTCAGGTCTCGAAAGCAACAGCGTTTCTGTGGGGAAAGCGTGTGACCCAGGTAGTCTGTGGTGCTGCGGTTGCGTATGCGCTTACGGATGCTGGAGAAGTCTTTTGTTGGGGTGGAAACAAACGACGGTGGCGGTACTTCTACGATGAGGCCACCGCTGAGAGCGGATTGAACTCTTCTTCAGTGCCGGCCACAGAAGACCGTGGCAGCGATGGAGGTGGTGCAAGTAAGTCTGGTAGTGGTGTGGTAGACCCCGCCAAAGCAGGCACGCGTAGAAAGACTGGGTTACTTGATCGCCCGCTGACCACGCGCAGTGAGATGTTAAGACTGTTCGCACTCCCATCACAAGTGACAGAAAGTCAGGAAGTGCACGACCAGCTTGGACTCCGCGTGAAGTATGCCAAAATCTTCGAAAGACCCGCGCCATTGATCTCTACAGAAGAGGATAAACGCAGGAGGTTGCAACTTGTGGGTCGATACTATGGTCTTCTGGATCCTTTGGCACCCCCGACAGCAGGAAAGCCCCCATCTTTGGATGAGCTGATGGAAACTGTAGAGCCTGAGCTTGATGTGGACGACTTGTCGCTATCGCTGTTTATGCGTGGGGTGGAATTGAGCAAGCCTACTCGCATGGCGCTGCTCGAGACGCTTGGGGAATGTCTCGATCTCGAGATCGAGTGTGTTGGAGACCTGTTCCACGACCATTTGAAGCAACAAGACCAAATTGCTCGGAGGTATCGCAAGGAACGACGGGAACGACCGCTGATGAGGATAGTGGCTAAAGCTAAGGCGCTCTGGTTCGAGCTTGGTGAACTTCGTGACAACATGCTTGCCGCGGAGAAACAGCGCCTCATTAAGGGCGAGGAAGAGTACGACAACATGAAACGTAAAATCACGCACGCTACCCAGAAGCTCAAGCGACGAGCCCGAGAGGGGCACTCCGCTATCGTCGCCGCAGACAGCAGCAGCAATAACAACAATAGCAACAAGACGACTCCAAGTGATGAAGAAGCACTACTCTACATCAACGGATTGACTTCGAGGGGTCCGGCACTGCGCTTTTTCAACGGTGCTCAAGCCCTGCAAAACATTGCGGTGGGTTCACGTCACGCTCTTGCGATACACTCTTCCGGAAAGTTGTACACGTGGGGAGTTGGCTCCTTCGGGCGGTTAGGTGGTGCTCAGCCCCAAGCATCGGCCGATGATCCAACGAATCGTAAGGGTGGCAGTAATAACGACGATACCGATGACGCTCCTGTCGACTCCTGGCATCGCGACGTGCACGCGGCGCAGATCATACCTACCGTACGCCACATCCGTTTCCGGTCAATTTCATGCGGATTCGGTCATAGTCTTGCGCTTTCCACCGACGGAACAGTGTACGCATGGGGCTCGGCAACCCACGGCAAGCTTGGAATTGGCCCAGTGCAGGTCAAAGAAAGTTTCACGCTAGCACCTGTCGTGCTTTCTTCTCTCGTGAATTCTGGTGTTCGCGTGCGAAAAATTGCCTGTGGGCCGTCACATTCAGCTCTTATCACTACGGACGGTGCATTGTTCGTGTGGGGATGTGGGGACGGCGGACGGCTTGGTCTCGGAGACGGGCGAGACATTGGTGAAGACCGAGTACCTCGCAACGGTGGGCAGCTTCGTGTGATACCCACGCCGACGCGTGTTACGGAGCCGTTTGGACACGAAAGACTGGTTGAAGTGGCCTGTGGAGCTGCTCACACCGTGGTTTTGACAGCGCTGGAGAGAAGTAACAGCGGCCAGCCTTACGGTGGAGGATGTGTCTATGTGGCTGGGAGCAACCACGCCTTAGACAAGTTCACTCCGCAGTTCACTCACGTGGAGATAAAAGACGTGACTTCACGCGTCATGATGGTTAAGGTGGGTTGTGGTCCAGCGCATACAGCTCTCGTAAGCACTGAAGGCGAGCTGTACACATGGGGGAAGAATGTCGGTGGCAGTACGGGGCACTCTGTGAGCATACCCCTCATCGTAGAGCCGACTCGTGTAGGCTGTATGTTTGAGCGACCCCGGAATTTATCTCTAGATGAGGCTGCGACAGCTAATCAAAGCAGCCAAAACGCCAGTGCTCTTGCCGAGTACGCATTGGGTGGTGATCACGCAGCAAAGGAGATTAAACGAAGGCGACAAAGTCGTCGAGCCAGTGGCGGAGATCGTCCCCGGATAAGCACTGCCGCCAAATTCGCGCAAACTCAGCAGGAGATGTGTCCGTTTTGGCAGGTTGCTCTGGCCGAACGCTCTCGGATTGTGTCTATTCGCGTTGTTCTGGTGTCGGCGAGTGTTGACGATGATAATAATTCGACGGCGCGATCGACTTTATCTACCAAACGATCATTGCGCTCTGCTGGAGGGTCCAAGTACGCTATTATGGTGTCGGAAGATGCGTTCGACCCGGATCTTCGAGGAAAGCAGTCGCTCGCGAAGGCCAGAGGTCAAAGTGTGCACGTTTCGTTGAGTGGAGCCGCACAGAATGAGCTCACGTGGGTGGTCCCAGCTGACACCTTTGGAAGCTTCATTCGCGTTCAGCTTGAGGGCAGTAGCGGTGCTGGGATGCTCGGATTGGAGCGTGTTGAGGTGCTAGGTTCGTCTAGCGAGCAGTATGTGGGCCCACGAGTTAGTGATGTGGTATGTGCTGAGGGCATGACTGTCGCGATCTGCACCCCGCTATGTAAACGAGAAGAACTGATCGAGAAATTCCAGCGTGCTGCCCGAGCAGACCGAGCTAGCGTTGGCGTGCTGGCTCAACTCGAAACTTATCATCCTTTCGTGCGCGAGGAGGAAGATGAAGCGCGTGCTGAAGATACCTTGTATGCAGCCAGTTTAACGGCGAAGAGTGGAATGGAGAAGCGGGAAGTGGCCACTGCCATTGCAGCGCTTGAGGCAAAACGAAGAGCGGAAACGTGCGTGCTCTGTCGACCTCAACTGCCCTGTGTTATTTGTGAAGTGGAGAAACAAGTCAAAGCTGTGAAGCAAAAGCCCTCGGCAGTGCCCAGCTCATCACTTCCCGCGAGTCTGGAACTGCAACAGCCGAAACAGTCAGTGAATGGTCGAAGGAAGCATCCAGGCCAAACACCAATTCCTCCCCCTTCTATAAGTAAGCGTCCCGAGCCAGCACTGACGTTGGAGGCACTTTGCGCTGAGTTCCTGGCGCTGGACACACGGTCAAAGGAAGAAGAGGAAGAAGCTCAAAGGCAACTGGAGCTGGAACTGATGGACCCTGCCGCGCTTGCCCGAGCAAAGGAGGAGGAAGAAGCTGCTTCTCGGCAAGCGTTAGGACAAGTGGTGGCAAAACCTGGTGTGGTACATGCACCTCGCGTAAGTCAAGTGATTTTCAAACTGTTAACCACCGCAGGCTTGCTAGGGCGGAAAGGGCCCGAGAAGACGCTACAACTAGCACAATGAACTCTGCACGTTGGGTTCGCTGATAACATGCAGGAGAAATTGGCTGTGTCCACTGCCGTGAAGGGAAGGCGCAATGGTTTTTCGTTTGAAGTCCTACATGATATTATGACTGAGAAATGATGCTGAGGGTGTTCTTGGCGATAGATTCAAGATGAAGAAGCCAATATGTTCGAACAAACCGCTTCAACTGGATTAAAAATACGGGATCCAAGTGCAACTTCAAGACCGTGAACTCTTGACGGTTAGTTGCACAGAAAGAAAGAAGAGAACGTGAGTGAAAGGCGATCCCTGTCGCTTTAATTTGCGTTGGCGAACGACTAGTTCCCTTTTCATTCACAAAATACCGTTAAGCCACGACGATGGAGATGCCCCCGCCACTTTTGAGCGCTAGCCTGGCGATCCCTGACGACGTGCAAGCTCTCCCGCATGTTGTCGATCTCATTAGTTCGTTCCTAATGCCCAAACCATTGACGCTGCCGTGTTCAACGACTTGCACCGGGTGATTCGGACGTATGGAGATTTCCGTCCGTGGACAGTTGGAGCCATGGACGGAGCTGCTGCTCGAGGACGTCTCGACCTTCTGCGCTGGCTGCGTGTCGATCGAACGGAAGGCTGCTCAATCAAGGCGTTCACTGGTGCAGCTGCTGATGGTCACCTCGGCGTGCTTCTGTGGCTTCGTGGGGTTTATCCGGGTTTGTTTAACCTTGCGAGGGACCTCACGACTGCTGCTGGACATGGTCGCGCACATGTTGCAGCCGCGCTGAAGAGGGGCGTTTTGGAGATCGACGAAGTCGAATCTGCGTTGGAAGCAGCTGCAACGAATGGCTACGTCGTCGTGGTCGAAAAACTCCTTCCAGGCCCTTATGACATGACCCGACCTCTTTTTGCTGCGGTGCGGAATGGTCATATCGCTGTGGTGCAGCTCTTGTGTGACGAAAACTTCAAGCGTGGCGGGTGGTTTGACTTTGACCAGGCACTAAATATTGCTTTGCAGGAAGGCCAGGCCATACAAATCAAACGATGCCGTCTTTATGTTGCCCCGTCCGCATTGAAGCTGGCTGCTTCGCGTGGCTACCAAGAGATTGCTGTGATGATTCTCGACAGGTATACGTTCGATCATCGTGAACTGGCGTCCGTATTGGCAAGCGCAGCATCAAATGAAGATTGCGATTTGATCCAACTACTGCTTGGGAAATGCCCGCTGCTGGAAGACACCCTAGCACCACGCAAATACGTTTTTCTTGAACTTGCCGCAGAGGATGCATTGCGTGTTGCGGTGAAAGCCGATCGAGTTGACGTAGCGAAGCTAATTGTGGAGAAACTCAAGCGATCATAAGCTCGCAAATGCTTTGGAGAAATCTACCCAGAATGCGCAAGAATCGATGACCAAGTTTCTCCTGCAGTATTTGCCTCAGAAGGTTCCCGGCTTCCTCTCCACAGGAAACACTAGCATCCGTGGCGATTACTCCCAATTGACAATCGACAGCGCATTTTATTCTGCTGCGGAAAGCGGTCGGGTTTCAATGGTCAGATTGCTTGCCGAGAGAATTTCGGACAAGTTTGGCGATTCTTTGGTTGCAGCAGCGACCAACAATCACTTGTCTGTAACGAAAACGCTGCTCGAGCTTTACGAGGAAAGAAATATTCCGCGTTGCGAGGTCTACCGCAGCCTTGAAGAAGCTTTAAGCGTAGCCAAAAACGCTGAGATGAGGAACCTTCTAGCTAAGACCAAGACACGATTCGATAACATTTTGGCCCTGACGGAAGCAGTGCTGGTCCGTGATCTAAAAAAACCGAAGCTGTTTGCCAAGAAGAACAGTCCGTCGTCCATAGCAACAGTGCTTTCTGATGCACCGACAGATTGCTCCGCGATATTGGAAGTTCTTGTGGAGCACAGCGACCAGGAAACAATCGAGCGAGCTTTGATGCAGAGCAGATTTGATAAGAAGACTCGAGTTTTGCGGTTGCTGCTGAAAAAGTGTGACCCAGGTGCATACATTACGATCTTCATGGAAGCAGTCGTACAGAGCCGTACCGCGTTGATGCAGCTGATGCTGGACAAAATCGATTCCGCTATGTTGACGCGAGTGTTATTGGCTGGGGTTGTTGCCGGTAACTTAGACTTGGTCAAGCTGCTGCGAGATGTGTGCTACGCGTCCAGCGTGTCATTTGCCATGGAGACGGCAGCATTTACAGGTCAGTCGGGTATGGTCGACTTGCTGCGTGGCAAGTGCGATGCAAAAAGCCGACGTTCAGCCGCCGCGAGAGCCTAAGCCACTGGATACGACGACGTGGCGCGGTTGCTGACAAGTAAAAAGGCTCGGATGAAGTGAACAAGCGACGTGCAACTACGAGCACTGTTTTGATGTGTTGTTGTGTTGTAGCGTACCTTTGGCTGATTTCCATGAGGGGTTTCTTTTAGCGTCGAGTGCTAATGTTCTTGCTTGTATTACCTGCTGAGCATGCCTCCTGGAACCGCCTGACTTCACATTTCCGGGTTGCAAACCGTCAACGAACGCCTGTACTGTACCATGCACGTTTTGCTAACTTTTTAAAGGCAAATGCGATGCAGCACCAACTGTCGGCAAGCTTGCCGAACGGAATCGCTTGTATGCAGATGAAAGCAGCATTGTGGATGAATGAAGACGTCGCCTAAGATCGACATACTACATACCGTTTTTACAATCGTTGTGCGTTGACGAGAACAATGCAGTTGAAGGTGGCCCCTGTCGCTTTTTTTTCTTTGCGAAAGGGAGCAGAACTTGCTTCACTCGCAAAATAACGATTAGCCACAAGCCGCCGCCGCTATTGAGCGCTAGCCTGGTGGTTCCTGACGAGTTGCAAGCTCTTCCGCATGTTCTCGACCTCATCACTATTTTTCTGATGCCTGAGACGATCGACGCTGCCGTCTACAACGACTTGCATCGGTGTACGGAGATTTTCGACCCTGGACAATTGGAGCCTTGGATGGAGCTGCTGCCCGTGGCTGCACACCACTCGAACGGAGGGCTGCTCAGCCGAGGCGTTTGCTGGTGCAGCTGCTAATGGTCATCTCAATCTTCTGCAGTGGCTTTGTGGAGCTTATCCACATTTGTTCGATCGGGTGAGGGAGCTCAGGACCGCTGGTCGATGTGGCCACGTACCTGTCGTAGCCTTCTTGAGGAGCGGCATCATTGCATGGTGGAGCCGGCCCTGACAGCAGCAGCGGCCAGGGGTAATGTCAATGTGGTTGAAAGTCTTCTACCAGGGCCTGACGAGACCTCTTCTTGCTGCGGCGCGGAGAGGCCATACAGCAGTAGTCCAGCTTTGTTCGAGCGATGTCCGCTTTACTCTATCCAGCGCGCGTTGGATTCAGCTGCATTGTTTTGCTGCACCGATATCGTTGTGAAGATACTCGACAGAGGCGACCTGACGGACTCTCAAGTTGCAACGGCACTGACAAGCGCAGCAGCACATGGTGATTGCGATTTGATTAAACTGCTGCTCGAAAAGTTGCCGATGCAGGTAGACACTCCAGCATACCGATTCCAGATTGCTACAACGGATGTGTTGTGCGCTGCGATTAAGGCCGATCGTGCTGATGTGGTGCAATTAGTTGTGGGAAAACTCAGACTTGATAACGATGAAGTTGAACGCGCTCTGAAGAGTTCAGTGCACTGTGGGCAAGTAAAAGTGACGAAATTCCTTCTCCAGCGTTTGCCTCAGGATGCTCCAAGCTTTCTCACTACAGGAAAAACCACGCCTTCGATGCTTTTTAGTGCCCAAAGAAGTATCAACAACGCGTTCTATTCTGCTGCGGAAAATGGCTTGCTCGCCGGAATAATTTCCGATCGGTTTGGCGATGCTTTGGTTGCAGCAGTTACGAACAACCAGGTGGCTGTATTGACAGAGCTGCTGGAGCTTGGCGAGAAAGGTGGCGTCGGCCAGAAAGCGCTCCAGCAAGTGCTGACGCAGGGCGAAGTCGATGGCAACACTCAAGTGTTGTCTTTGCTGCTGGAGAAGTGCGACCCAGGTACATTCGCGGTGACCTTTACGGGAGCAGCAGCAAAAGGCCGCATTGCATTGATGCGGTTGATGCTGGACTGGGTCGATACGGAGGTGCTTGAGCTACTACTGAGTGAGTGCGACAAATTTGTCGTTTACGATAGAGGCGGCAGCTTCAACACATCAATGGACTTTGGCCGAACTGCTGCGTGATGCAATAGACAGACGTAGCGTAGCCATAGTCTCTGGTGAAGATGACGCGGAGCATCTGCCCGAAAGTGAGAGAGCTCGGATGAACTGAGCATGTGGCCGAGCAAGGAGGCACTGGATGTCCGACGTCGTCTTTGCAGTACGGCACTGCTGCCAGTATTCGTTTGCAGTCTTGGGATTTATTGTGGTACGTAGCGATATGGAACAATTCAAGCTTTGGCTTTGCATTGGGCGAATGCCTTCCGAACATTTTTTTTTTCGTTTTGTCTCATCGTGTGGCACCCTGTACGCATTGCGGCTAAAAGTTGGCTTAGCCTCGGAGACGGACGAATACCGATTACCTCGCAATGGTGGTGGTCAACTTCGTGTTATCCCAAACGCCGGCGATGGAGAATGGGAATGGATATGTGGCTAGGAGGAATCACGAGTTCTGGGTGCAGGCCCGCGCATGAGCCAACCCAGTCAACCACGGCAGGATTGCTGGGACGAAAAGGACCAGAAACTCTTCAACTAACAAAACGAGACCTGCAAGTTGCGAGTTGCAGGATACGTTGGCCGCAATCGTGTTTAGCCTGCACAGCTAACTTACTGCCAAAATGAAAGGGGGCTCACGTGCTCATCAACAACAGAAATATGATCGATGAGTTGGCGTAACTCGATGATCCTCAAAGAAGAAACCAGCTGCACTATGCGTGTTGACAGTGCAAGTGCAAGGTTTTGGTTTGCTTATGAGTTGCGAAATGGAGGAAAAATTGTAGCGCCGCATTGACGTGTTCCCTCTTATCTGCTAAGCATGGCTTCACTCCTTTTGGCTGGAACCTGACACGTGAAACGGTGTGAATGTTTCTCTCACCACGGAGCCAACCCTTTACCCGAGCCAAAGGTTCAACCACAACCTGGGTCGCTTGCGACCTTGAATGGACTCGGCTTCTCCGGGCTCGCGTACATATTATTAGTTTAGCGTAATGTGCTTATGGATCGTAGATTTCGTGTTGTAGTGCCTGTGCAATTCTCCCAATTTCACATGAATAGTGGCCAGCGTATCATCACTCCTCGCGCGATATAGCTGTCGATAAAGAATAATATACAGCGCAACAATCAACATGTTTCTAATGTTTTGACGACGAATCGAGTGCAATACAAGCTCATCAAGTGCCAAATGGGCGGCATTATCACTACAGTACTGTACACTGGTAGTTAACGATATTGTACCGTCAATATGGTACAAATCTCGATAGTGATACCTCTATATAGTGATAAACATGCATGCTATCACTCGGCAGAGGATTGTCTGCACGCGGCCAAATCCCGAGAACGGCAAACCATGTATACATGTATGTCTGGCTGCAGTAAGCAATTCAAACTTAGATTTTACCCAGAGTGGCTCCAAACTCCCTCGGGCAGCACTTCAGGGCAAGTCCTGGATCTTGACGGCTACCTTTCTGATGTTCTTGCGCGCCATTACGTACTCCAGCGCATCAGAGATACTGTCCAGCCAAACAAACTTGACGTCGTCCATCCCATAGCGTAGTTTTCCCCTCTTGAACATCTCCAGCACTTTGGGGCGGAGTCGCTCCACAGGTTCCGGGTACGCCGTGAGGCTAATCCCACGGATCGAGGCACACTTGGAGATAAGCGGCGATAGAACACTGTTCAGCGTGGCCTCGTCCTTCTTCTCGTCGCTGTTGCTCGAGTCCCCAGATGGAAAGTAGCCCGACGTCGTGCCGAACGCAATGACGCGCCCATGCATAACGAGATGAGGGACCAACGACGCCAGTAGGTCTCCCCCGACGCTGTCAAAGAGCAGGTGAATCCCATTGGGGAACTGGGACAGGCCACTGTCACACAGGCGCCATCGCGTGTGCGCGGTGGCCAATCAGAGCCCACTATAGGTTTAATGGCTGGAACGGTCTCGAGTGCCGAGACCGTCTCGGCACTTAATACCAGAGTTCAATTTGCCTACTACTTCCTCTGCTTGTGTAAGCACGTAACGGGCTGCACTTAGCCCGTTACACCTGGTAGCACTTCGCTAATCCGTCCAACGCCCAAGATCGTGATGAACATGAACGACACGTCAATGCCTGACGTGTCCCGGACGACTGCCACTTCACTGGAGCACGCCAGCTTTCCTCACCTGTCGGCGATCGAGTGGGAGGCGCTACACCGCATCACAGCGGTGTCTGGTGACGCTGTGATCAAGACACTGCTGACGGCGGGAACCGAGGAGCAACAACGCCTGGCCGCCCAGGAGTTCATGGCGAGTGAACTCGCTGACAGATGTCAGCGAGTGTCGACTCCCACGCAGACCAAGAACAAGTCCGACATCGTGAAGCTCGATGTCTCCACGTACAGCGGTGAAGGCGAGGGCCGCCTTCACCTGAACCGCTGGTTCTGCGAGGTGGACATCGCGATCGAAGCTCAGCAGCTGTCTACTGAGCTCGCGCGCACGCGCTTTCTCCTGTCCAAACTGGCGGAGAAGGCGAAGGAGTGGGCGCTCGGCAAGCTCGTGGCTGACGCTTCCTGCTTCCCGACCATGGCATCGATGAAGGCGGACTTGCGGCTCGCGTTCGAGCCGCCCCAAGATGAAAGCGTTCAGCGCTCCGCCTTCCTGGCGTTGAAGCAAGGACGCATGTCCATGCAAGAGTACATCCAGCGCGCACGACACCTTGTGTCGTGCATCACGACGCATCCCGTAGACATGGAAAAGGAAGAGCACTTGAGCAGTAGTTGGCAAAATGCAAAGTGATTCGATTCAGGTCCTTAGTTCGCAACCGCGTGCTACCTCTAAGCCTGCTACTGGATACCTCTTACTGGATACACCCTACTGGATTCTCTACTGGATACACAGTTACCTTATCCAATCAGAGAACGCCACGTCGATGCCCATCTTGTACCCACAATCTTGGCGTAATCACCGTGACGTAATCATCGTCCCGTAATCACCTGAATGATTTCGGTACCACACAGTGAAGGTCACGCCGACCTCACTGATGACGCGTTCACGTCACACGGTCGCTTGGCGGGGCGTCGTCACATCAGTCTTGACAACACTCCCACTCGACTCGTCAGCGACCACGATGCCCAGCTTCGTCCTGAGCGCGTCGAACTGCGGCGCCGCGATCGGCTTCGTCATGATGTCCGCCAGCATGTCGAGTGTCGAAACATACTGCAACACCACTTGACCGTCTTCCACCTTCTCGCGCACGAAGTGGTAGCGAATGTCGATGTGCTTGGTGCGCTTGTGGAACTCCGGGTTCTTGGCCAACGCGATGGAGCCTTGGTTGTCCTCGTAGATCTTCACCGCTTCATCGCTCGCCATCTCGCCCAGCTCGCACAGAAACACCTTGAGCCACACCGCCTCCTGCGTGGCCTCCGACAGCGCCATGTACTCGGCTTCCGTCGACGAGAGCGCCACCGTGCGCTGCTTCTTGCTTCGCCAGCTGATGCATCCGCCGTTCATCATGAACGCGTAGCCGCTCGTACTCCGTCGAGACTCGATGTCGCCGGCCCAGTCCGCGTCCGAGTAGCCTTGCAGTCCGTCCTCGCTGCTCGCTTGAAACACGAGGCCGTGCGTCTTCGTGCCTCGGATGTAGCGGAAGACCCTCTTGAGCGCCTGCCAGTGTGTCGGACATGGGTCCGCTGCGAACTGGCTCAGCACTCCCACTGCCGCTGCGAGGTCCGGACGAGTCCCCACCATGAGATACATGAGGCAGCCCACGGCGTTCCGGTACGGAACATTCGCCATGGTCTCGTCGTGCTTGCAGCCTCCCTCGCACATGGCCTTGGTCAGCTTCAGACCCGGATCCTGCGGTGTCTTCACAGGGTTGCTCTCATCCATCTTGAACTTCTCGAGAATGTCCTTCGCGAACTTGGTCTGCCGCACCGACACCTTCCCAGTCGCCACATCTTGCTCGATCTCCATACCGAGAAAGTACTTGAGCTGGTCCATGTCGGTCATCTCGAACCGGTCACTCAGCGCCTGCTTCGTGTCCTTCAGCATCCTGTCGCTGCTGCTGGCGAGGACCAGATCGTCCACGTACAGTGCCACGAACATCATGTCGTGACTGTCCCGCTTCAAGTAGATGCAGTGGTCGGACTCGCACTTCTTGAACCCCAGCTTCAACATGAACTCGTCGATCGTCTTGTTCCACATCCGCGGCGACTGCTTCAGGCCGTACAGCGAACGCTTGAGCCAGCACACGTAGTCGGGTCGATCTCCGTCCACATATCCGTCCGGCTGCGCCATGTAGATGTCCTCGTCCAACAAGCCGTTGAGGAACGCGGTCTTCACATCCATCTGGTGCACTGTGAGCTTGTACTTGGCCGCCAGACTCAGCAACACCCGAATCGACGTGAACTTGGCCACCGGCGCAAACGTCTCGTCGTAGTCGATGCCGTACTTCTGCGAGAACCCCTTCGCCACCAGTCGCGCCTTGAACCGCTCGATCTCTCCAGACTGGTTCTCCTTCACGCGGAACACCCATCTGCAGCCGATCGCCTTGCGTTCCTTCGGCAGTGGCACCAGGGTCCACGTCTCGTTCTTGCGGAGCGACTCCACCTCCGAGTCGCACGCCTCTTTCCACTTGTCTGCGTCGCTGGATTCCATCGCCGACTTGAACGTTGTCGGCATCTCTCCCACTGAATCCACGACGTACGCAGCCTCGAAGTCTTCCTTCTCTTGTGCTGCGGCAGACATCTCGTCCAGCGGTTGCTGTCGTCTTGGCACCGCATACCGCTTGGCACTCGGAACCTCCACGGCTTCCTCGAGCGACTGCGTGCGCGGGTGTCGCTTGCTGCCGGGTTCAAAGTCTTGATTCCGCGCAGCTTCTTCTCTGTTCTCGTCTGATCCGGACTGAGTCTCTTCATCCGTGGTGTCTTCATCATCATCTGTCGGAAGACCCACCAACACCTCCTTCGAAGCGTAGTCGCGTCTCCCACCGTCGAAGACATCCTCCATGAACTGCGCGTCGCGGCTCACCAACACGCGACCGCTCTCGATCTCCTCGAACCGATACGCCTTCTCGTGCTCCGAGTACCCGAGGAAACGACAGCGCACCGACCGAGCGTCGAACTTCGACCGCTTCTCCTTCGGCACGTGCACGTACGCGTGGCACCCGAACACCTTGAGGTTGGCCAGCAAAGGCTTCTTGCCGGTCCAAACGTGGTGCGGCGACTTGTCGTGACTGATGGCGCGCGTCGGACACCGGTTGCGGAGGAACGTGGCCGTCATCACCGCTTCTCCCCAGTACTCCTTCGACAACCCGGCGTGCTCCAGCATGCAGCGCGCACACTCCACCAGCGTCCGATTCATTCGCTCGGCCACTCCGTTGAGCTGAGGCGTGTATGGTGGCGTGAACTTCTGCTCGATGCCGCGATCCGCACACAACTTGGCCATCGCACCCGAAGTGTACTCGCCGCCGTTGTCGCTCCGAAGCACCTTCACTCGCTTGCCGGTCTGCGTCTCAGCCAACGCGACGAACGCAGCGAACTTGGCAGCCACCTCCGACTTGTTCCGTAGCAGGTACACCACGCAGAAGTGCGACTTGTCGTCGATGAACGTGACGAAGTAGCGCTTGCCTCCGAACGTCGCCGTCTGCATCGGACCGCACACATCGCTGTGGACCACCTCCAGCACTTGCTTCGCACGGTTCGGCGACGACTTCATGAAGCTTACTCGCGTTTGCTTGCCGAGTGCGCACCCGTCGCACACCTCCCACTGCTTCACCGACGTCATTGGGATGCCAGTGCCGTAGCCCTTCTTGACGATGGCGTCGAGACCACCATGGCCGATGTGACCAAGTCGAAGGTGCCAGAGGTACGACGTGGTGTCCCCTTGGCGATTCTTCGAGCTTGCCGCATTGGCCTCGTCAGCGGGCGTCCTCGGCGTCATGCAGAGCTTGAACAGTCCTTTGCCTTCGCGAGCGCCGAGCTTCCACTTGAGACCCTTCGTTTCCGCAAAGCACCCGTCGCTCTCGAAGGTCACTGGCCCGACGTCCTTGGTGAAGCGGCCGACGGAGAACAGGTTGCGCGACAGCTTCGGGATGTGCCACACACCCGTGAGCACACCCTTCTTCATGCCGCGCGGTGTCTGCATCGACATCACGATGTCGCCGCTCCCCACCGCCTGAACCACGCCGTCGTCCGCCAGATGCACGTCCACCGGAGAGATCTTCTTGTAGTTCTTCATGTACTCCTTCGAGTACGTCATGTGCTGCGTCGCACCCGAGTCGACCAGCCACATGCCGCTCAGCTTGGAGGCACCCGTGTCGCCACCAACCGAGAAGAGGAAGTCGCCAGAGTCATCTTCGACCTGCGCGACGTTCGCTCGTTGCGGCCTCTGCCGCTCCCCGTTCTCGCGGATCCGCACCGGACACTTGGCGATCCAATGTCCGTGCTCGCCGCAGTAGTGACAGGCGCTCGTCCTCTGCGCTTGCGCCTGCCGTCCCTTGCGCTTCCCGTTGTCGCTTGTCATGAACGCTTGACCTTGAGCGTGCGCGGTTCCGTCAGCACCGCCACCTTGTTCCTTGCGCTTCATGTCCTCGTGCAGGAGCCGAGACGTCACGAGCTCCCACGTCAGCGTGTCGGAGCGCGATTCCAACGCCGTGATGAGGAACTGGTACGACTCGCTCAGACTGGCAAGAAGCGTGATCACCAAGTCGTCCTCGCTGACCGGAGCGCCGACCGCGTCGAGTTGTTCCGCCAGCGTCTTGAGCTTGTTAATGTGCTCCAGCACATCATCACCTTCGTCCATCGTTGTCGTGAAGAACCGTCGACGAAGAAAGAGCTTGTTCGCCAGGCTCTTCTTCTCGAAGTGTCCCTCGAGTCTTGACCATGCATCATGCGCGTCCTTCGCCGACCGCACCAGCGGCAGCTGCGAGTCCTCCAACGCGAGACAGACGATCGCCAGCGCCTTGCGCGACTTCTTGCGAAACGTCGCTTGGTCCGCCGCGGTCGTGCACTGCTCGAGCTTCACTTCCCCACTCGTCACTTCCCACAGTTCGCGCTCCTCCAGCACCATCTGCATCTTGAACTTCCATGTGTGGAAGTTGGTTCCGTCGAACTTGTTGATGCGGGCGGTCGCGGTCGGGGCGGCGTCCATGGCGAAGGCGTAGTCGGGGTCTTGGTCAGGGAAGACGGGGCTTGGGCTCATAACCAAAAGGAAGAGCACTTGAGCAGTAGTTGGCAAAATGCAAAGTGATTCGATTCAGGTCCTTAGTTCGCAACCGCGTGCTACCTCTAAGCCTGCTACTGGATACCTCTTACTGGATACACCCTACTGGATTCTCTACTGGATACACAGTTACCTTATCCAATCAGAGAACGCCACGTCGATGCCCATCTTGTACCCACAATCTTGGCGTAATCACCGTGACGTAATCATCGTCCCGTAATCACCTGAATGATTTCGGTACCACACAGTGAAGGTCACGCCGACCTCACTGATGACGCGTTCACGTCACACGGTCGCTTGGCGGGGCGTCGTCACATCAGTCTTGACAACACATGGCGACCCAACTCCACGTCTTCATCTCCGGCATGAGCGCTGGCTACCAGCGCTTCTACCTGACCCGGAAAATCCCCACCGACACTCGAAGAGGCCTTCGCTGTTGCGCTCCGTGAAGACTACAGTGGGACGGCGTCGCCGGCTTTCTATGTCTCTCGGGCTCCGGTGCCCGAGCCGGAGCCGATGGAGGTGGATGCGATTCAACAGTTCGGTGGACGACGTCATCAGCAAGGCCGCCAACGGCCTCGTCAACGCGTAGTCCCCGTCCGATGCGCTGCTACCGCTGTGGGAAACCTGGACATCGCGCGGCTATTTGCCGCGCTCCGGCGCCGATGCAGGCAAACGTCACGGTCGCGAACGACGTCGCCGCACCAAAAAACGGCGACAACCAGTAGGTCCGGGGCGCCCTACTGGTCGTGGAAGGAGCGATGGTTCTCTGGTGGCAGAACCTTCTCCTAGCCCTCCCGTGCTTCATGCACAACTCTTTGCCACCACCTCCGGCAGTGACACGAGGCTGATTGTGCTCAGCCTCCACGTTGACGGCGCGACGCGCCCTCTTCGTGCGCTGCTGGACTCGGGCGCGAAGAACAACTTCGTTCGCGCCGAGAGCTTGCCAGTGTTACCGGCGGACATGAACATTCGCGACAGGACTAGCGACATGATCGTGAAGTACTCTGATGGGAAGCCGCGGCGCTCGGCGACCTTCGCGTACGAGTTCGACGGGTTCCGCAGTTCCGAGGAGTTCTTGGTGATCGAGCTGAGCGGCTCGCTCGACAGTGTCTTCGGCATCCCGTGGCTCGCTCGCCACCAGCCTGAGATCAACTGGCCGACTGGCACAGTCCGCCCCCGAGACATTGATGTGAATGCAGTATTGGTGCTCCTGTGCGGAACGCCTAACCAGTGGCCGCATGTTGCCGTCATGGACCCCGACTCCATGACCCATGCTGCGCACGAAGCGAGCGATGGCCCTTCGTGTGCGATGTGCGAACTCGGAACCTGCGCCGGTCCTGAGCAGGAGCCTCAGGACGTGTCTGACGTGGTCGAGCATGGGTTCCCACGTCCCGATGAGCAGCGGTTCTCGGAAGCAGACAATGACGTGGTCGAGCCACGTCAGGACGAGCAGCGGCTCTCCAACGTTGAAGAGCGAGAAGATGTGGTTGAGCGTGGCCTCCCACACGCGGTCGAGCATGGGTTCCCGCGAGTGGTCGAGCGGGAGCTCCCTGATGAAGTCGACGCGGTCGTGTCCAATGACCCGCGTCCAGGCGCCGACGTTGTATCCCGGTGCCCTAGTTCAGCGGCCGTGATCGAGCATGGGCTCTCATCGGCAGTTTTGGACAACACTCCACGTCCAGTTCGACGTCGCGGACGTCGCAACCCGCGCCGTCCTTGTACGCTATCGGCGGACTCGGTTGAGGCTGAGGCTGAGGCTGAAGTGATCTCAGTCCTGGTGGGGGACGACGCGGAGGCGGCTCCGCGTGTACGCGACGTCGAAGTCGCACGTCCACCGTGCAACGCCGCTGAGATCACTCGGCTGCCTGGGCTCTCGTGGAAACACTTCCTCCGTGACCTGAAGAAGGGCGAGATCGAGCAGGTGTGCATGATCGTCGCCGAAGACGCCGAGTCAATTGCGGCCGTCGCAACCAGTGCGTCGGACCCAGCTTCCGACGCCAGGACGCGCCCAAAAGAAGCCGAGCCGAATTACGCCCGTCAAGCCCGCTACGCAACTCAGTTGTTGCCGGCGCTCGAAGCGGCCGGCAACCCAGTCGCTCCGCTCGTGCGCGAGTTCATGGAGATTTTCCCGGACAAGGTTCCAGCCGTTCTTCCACCCGACCGCGGTGTTCGGCACGAGATTGACCTCGTGCCCGGTGCGAAGTACTGCGTGACGCGGCAGTGGCCGCTTCCTCGCGACCAAGTCGAAGCCATTGACGCCTTCTTCGAGAGTCGCCGGCAAGCCGGCCACGTTCGCGAGAGTCTCTCGCCGCACTCCAGTCCAACGTTCTGCGTGAAGAAAGCAACCGGCGACTGGAGAATCGTCCACGTCTTCAACAAGCTCAACGAGGCCACCATACCGGCGCAAACGCCGATCCCGAGGAAGGACATGGTGTTAGACACCATGTCTGGCAGCACGAAGTACAGTGCCATTGACCTGATGGATGGCTTCTATCAGATCTTGATGCGCGAAGACGATGTGCCGCTGACAGCGGTCAGCACGCCCAGCGGGATGTTGTGGGAATGGCTCGTGATGCCGCAGGGGCTCAAGAACGCCCCCGCCACCTTCAACCGGATGGTGTCCAACTTGCTTCGGCCGTACCGAGACTTCGCGCCCAGCTACTTCGACGACATCTTCATTCACAGTCGTGCCGAGGACGGCATGACGGACGTTGAGGTCCACCTACAACACCTGCGCAAGGTGTTCGAGGTGATGAAGGAGAACAAGCTGTACGACAACGTGAAGAAGTGCATCTTCTACGCTCCCGAGATCCCTGTGCTCGGGAGCTACGTCAGCAAGGACGGTGTCCGCGTCGACCCCGAGAAGATCGAGGCCATCCGCGCGTGGGCGACGCCGCAGGACCAGAAGCAGCTCCGGCAGTGGCTGGGGCTCGCCACGAATCTTCACCATTACTCGAAGAACTTCGCTTCGACGATCCGCCCGCTATCTCAACTACTCAAGGCAGACGCCACGTGGTCGTGGCGTCCCGAGCACCAAGCTGCCTTCGACGCGGTGAAGTCGAGCTTGTCCACCGCGCCCGTGCTCAGGCTTCCAGACCACTCGAAGCCCTGCCATCTCGTGCGCGACGCGAGCGACTTCGCGATCGGATGCGCCTTGATGCAGTTCCATGACGAAGGACGCGAGCGGGTCAGCAGCTACCAGTCTCGTCAGCTGAAGCCGGCGGAACGGAATTATCTGGTCCATGATAAGGAGCTGCTGGCCATGCGCTACGCCCTCATCAAGTTCCGCGTGTATCTTCTCGGCGAGCAGACCTTCGCGATCTACACCGATCACGCGTCGTTGAGGATAGCGACGAAGAGCCCCCACTTGTCCCAGCGCATGGCGCGCTGGTTGTACCTGTTCTCCGAGTACAACTTCGTCGTGTACTACAAGCCGGGCAAGACCAACATCCTTGCCGACGCGTTATCGCGTCGGCCTGACTATGTGCAGTCAGGTCGCCACGCAGCTGCCGACGAGGACGAGGACGAGTGCGCCGTATGCACTGCCGAAGACGTCGCAGCTGTTGAGGTTGCAGCGGCCAGTCCGCTCCGTGACTTGATCGTGGACGCGTACAAGGAGGGCGCGTCCTGCTTGGAGCTGATCCAGTTCCTGCGAGACCCTGGTGCCGTGGCGAAGCGCAAGCTGTCTCCACGCAGCCGCTCCCGCGTCGACCACTACTCGCTGGACGGCGAGTTGCTCACGTACCGCGTCGACCGTGAAGACCCCCCGCGCATCGTCGTTCCTCTGGACGACGATCTCCGAGCTCGGCTGATCCACGAGTTCCATGACACGCCGAGCGGCGGCCACCTCGGACGCGAGAAGACGTTCGCGTCGCTGTCCAGAGACTTCTACTGGCCGCATATGTACAAGTGGGTCCGGAAATGGGTACGCTCCTGCGAAGCGTGCCAACGCGTGAAGCCGAATCCGTCCAAGCAGGCTCCGCTTCGACCTCTCCCAGTCACCACAGACGCATGGGCGTCTGTCAGCATGGACTTCGTCTTCGGGCTGCCCCGAGACACTCAAGGGCGCACTGGCGTGTTGGTCTTCGTTGATCGGTTCAGCAAGATGCTCCATCTTGCTCCTGTTGCTGCCAGCATCACGGCGAAGCAAACCGCCGCGATCTTCGTGGACGTGGTGTACCGCCACCACGGGCTTCCGTCCTCCAACGTATCGGATCGCGACCCTCGCTTTACGTCTGCTTTCTGGCGAGAGCTTTTCCAGTTGCTGGGGACGGGGTTGTGCATGTCCACCGCGTCGCATCCGGAGACAGACGGCCAAACTGAGCGCGCCAACCGTGTTGTTGAAGACGTGCTACGCAGCTTCGCTACGTCGTTCAAGTCGTGGAGCACCTTCCTGCCCCTGGTCGAATTCGCCCTCAACAACGCTGTCCACGCATCGACCGGGCTGTCCCCGTTCTTCGTCAACTTCGGTCGCCATACTCGCGTTCCAGCGCTCCTTGGTGTGGAGCGCTCTGAGACTCCGGCTGGTCGCGCTGCTGAAGACGCGGGCGATCCCGCGTCACTCGTTCCGGATGAAGACGATGCTGTAGTCCCCGACCCAGGCCAAACTGATCGTCGTGGCCCCATACCCGACGCTGTCTCCGCGTTATTACATGGCGTCACCACTCGTCGAGGCTCTAACGCTCCAGCAGTCGGAGTGCGCACGCGTGCCGCCACGCGGGCGGCACACGAGAGACCACGCGCCAACCTCGAACGATCTTCGCGCACACGTGCCGCTAGGAGGGCAGCACTTTCGGACATCGCAGCTTGGATTTCGCGCACGCTGATTGACCCGATGCCACGTCGGGCCGTCGAGTATCAAGACGCGCAAGAGGTGGCGACACCTGCCGCGCCGGTTCCTGCCAACTTCGATCCGCTCCCAGCGCCGCAGCCCCAAGACACTGCGGCTGTCCGCGACTTCTTGCAGAAACGTGCGTCGGTTGTGCGTTATGTACGCGACACCATCGCGGCGGCGGTGGACAGGCAAGAGGAATATGCCGATCGACGAGGGCGACGACATCTGGAGACGTTCGCCGTGAGCGATCGGCTACTGCTCTCTACGACGGGCATGTCGCCAAGTTTGGTGACGAACTTGAGCGCGAACAAGCTCGCGCCCCGATTTATTGGACCTTTAAAGTGACGAAGGTACTCAGCGACGCCTACACGCTGCAGCTCCCTACGGCGCTCCGGCTGCACCCTACGTTCTACGTTGGCCGACTGCGGCGATACCATCCCGCCGCCATTCCCGGTGGCGCCGATGACCATGCCCAAGTCGATCAAGACGCTGTGCCATCGCAGCGTCAGCCCGAGGTTCGCGCATCTGCATTCCAGCGCGACGGTCCTGCTCCCCTAGTGGACGCTGTTGCGAACCAGCGTCACATTGGCGAAGCCTTTCTCAACCACGACGACCACCGAGATGCACCGCAGCGCGCACGCATGGATCGCGGCACTCGTCGCCGCGATGGAGAGATACCTTCGCACCGCCGGTATCTGGTTCGATGGCTTGGCCCGATGGACGACAGCTGGGAGCCACGCGAGGTCCTACTCGCAGATGTCCCCGACTGCGTGGCGGCGTACGAGACGTCGCTTGCAGAGGGCGCGGCGGCGAGCCGTGCATAACTCAACGAGAGCCTCACAAGAGCGGACAGCCCAACGGCGATGCTCGAATTCAGACGACGGACGACCTTCGGTGTTCCAGGATTCGCGGCGACCTGACCCACGGTGGAGTTACGGTGCGTACCACCGCGACGGACTCGCTTCATGCCACGCCAGCGCCGGGCAAGCTGCACCAAGATCGCTCCGTTGAAGCCCACGCTGCTGCTGCGGTCGCGCAGCAGCCGGCCCTTGATGACGTCCGAGACATTACTGCGCTTCTTCACTCACTTCGCGCGCGCCGTCGACCCGCGCCTGCCAAGTAGCGTCACGTCCGCCTCGCGAAGCTCTGCAGTTCCTTTCTAGAGTTTAGATATGTGTATGTTCCAATCTTAAGTAGGGGGTGGTGTGACAGGCCACTGTCACACAGGCGCCACCGCGTGTGCGCGGTGGCCAATCAGAGCCCACTATAGGTTTAATGGCTGGAACGGTCTCGAGTGCCGAGACCGTCTCGGCACTTAATACCAGAGTTCAATTTGCCTACTACTTCCTCTGCTTGTGTAAGCACGTAACGGGCTGCAGTTAGTCCGTTACAGGAACTCCTTACTCAGCACATTCCACTGAGTAATTGATGACCCGATCGCATCCAAGACCCCTCAGGAAATCTGCCTTCCGGTCGGAGCTCGTCATGCCGATGACCGTGTTGCCAGCGTTCTTGGAGAGCTTGGCAACGTATTGGCCGGTGCCTCCAGCGGATGCGGTCACGAAGACCGTCTCACCCCCAGACTTCATCTCACCCGCTTCTTCCAGCGACGCCAGGGCCCACACGGCGGACGTGAACGACATGGTCTCCGCTGCACTGGGCGGGACCTTGACCACTGCTTCGACTGGGACGACTGCGTACTCGGCAAAGGCACCAGGGGCTGCAGATAAAGTAGTGTAAGAATTATCTTCGAAGTGAGCCCATACCCTTCACGGAGGGGTATTTGCTAAAATATTACTGATCCGGCACAGGATTAAATCGGTGTCGCATGAAGCCGTGTGTGTATCGCACCTGTTTAAGTATCCATCATATATTGAAAATTTATGAAAGTAAACTTAATAGGTCATCTAAATAATTATCTAGTCGGTCTCAATCGGTGAGGAAGCATCAATCGCATCATCAAGTTTCATTCGAACCATTTCCCATTCTCACGCCCGACCCGAAGACGCAACACCAGGACGAAGCTACAGCACGAAGGTAAGTGCTTGGCAGGGCGCTGTTGCAGCTAATAGCTTGCTTGTATGTGATTATTAACAGCGCGGAGGTAAGAAAGTAAATTGATATTATCGCAAGTGGGTTATTGCACTAAGAAGCTGCTTATCTGGTAGTTGTGGATGTTCATAATATAATACGCACAGCGCGGACGACTAAGGCGCGCCGCACTTGCGGCGCACCAGTCGTCCGCGCTGTGCGTATATCTGTTCTGTTTTATTTTCGCTATCTCAGCCCCCGCGAAGCCCTAGTTAGAGTCTAAACTTTAGAACGCACCGATGTACGTGACGCTTTCGCCGACTGCAACAGAGTCGACGCCTTCGCCAACTTCAGTCACGATTCCAACCAGGAAATCCACGACAAAGTGGTTAGAGCGAGTTCGAACTACTGTAGCAGTGCACCTCTACTTTGTATGATGCACCAGCTTCGAGTGAACGGAAATTCCTGCTGCTGCACGAAGCGGTTCTCGAGCACGAGCACGTCGTAGGCAGCCACACAGGCAGCCGTGTTCTTGACGAGGACGTGGCCAGCACTGGCCTTTGGAATCGGAAGCTCGACGATCTTGCCGGCGCTGCGGTAGTCGCTGGAGGCTTCAGTCACGAGCAGTGGCAGTGGCAGCGGCTTTGACAAGCAAATCGGATAATGAGCGGCATGAGCTGCTGCCGCCAGAGATTCTGTGAGCTCATAAACTCTATGCATGTAGCCATTGGATTACTTTCAACGCTTCGACACTATGATTTGGCCAACACTTCGTCACTAGGAGTGCTGCAGGTGAAGGAATCAAGGACGAGATGATTATGATAGATGGATACATGCTTGCCTTGAAGTTGACACCTGTCGTATTTTGTCATTTCTCGAGAAATTCCCGTTTGCCAGCACACAACTCGAATTCCCAGCACACGGCAACGAGGTCAAATGCAAGCCAATCCCGACGAAGGGAAGGAGTTCTACGCCGTCTTGTTCACTCGATACGAGGGCGTTTGCTCCAATTTCACGGCCGCGCGAAAGCTTGAAGCGCAAGGCGACAAACGCGGACAAATCTTGGGGCTGTCGTCTTTTGCCGAGGCGGAAACATTATTTGGCGAAAGGGGCATCATGGTGGATCCCCAGGGGCATCTAGAAGGTTGTGATTCCTGGACGTGGAGAGCGTACCGACGTGGGATGTCGCTCTATGAGTTTCCTGACGTCGAAAAGCCGGAAACGTTGGTGGCATTTTGCGCTGGGAATGTCATTAATCCAAGACAGTACAACTGCCACGCCGCTTTCGCTTGTATTTGTCCGCACAATCGGTCGTGGGACATCGTGGAGAGAGTCAAGGGACCCTTCATGACGTTCAAGCGTGCAGGGTATTTAGCACTTCTCGAGGCCTTGAGACGAGCGAACTTTGAGGATCCGCAGCAGAGTAAAACGCTCGTGGTCTACTCGAACGACGAATCTGTCGTGAATTCAATGCGGAAATGGGTGATCGACTGGATGTACGACGGCTGGGTCACCTCGAGTGGGAACCCGGTGAAGAATCGGGACTTGCTACAGTTATTACTGGAGACTCGCGGGAACCATCGCGCTGTTCACCTTGAGTACGTGAAAGCGGGAACTGATAATGCTGCCGATTGGAAGTCGAAGTGGACTAGCGTTGCGGCTGAAGCTGCAAAAACTACGGCTCAAGATGCTGCAGCCAGTGCAAAGCCTGCGGTTCCGCGCCCTCGACTCTGTCACATGCCTGCTCTCGGATTGTACGGCGGTCCGACGAACATTATGAGATACGATGTGCTGCAAAAGCCTGGGGAGGAGGATGTCATGGCTGGCGAGGAAGATGCAGCGGCGGCCTACTATAATGGATTTCGAGCGCTGAATGAAGACGTAGTGATCAATTAAGCGAGTGAATATACACATTTTCACGGAGATTTCATCGGTACATAATTAAGGTGTGAAGACATCAATCAGGAGGGGTATTCTTCTCCTTATAGTGCTCACAAGTTGGTTTCCCATTTAGTTGTCTAATGGAGGCGACCTCACCTGCAAAGCCAGATAACCTTGCTACTTTGGAGACGAAAGTCGCCGACTTAATTAAGCGGGTGGAAAATCTGGAGTGCTACTGGCGAATGCACACGCAGCAGCAGATAACCCGTCTGAAAGAGTTGAAGAAGAATAAACTAGAGTGGAATTCGCACATGCCGCCATCAAGAACTCCGGTCGACGAACACCTACGCCACGTCAGCGAAGCGTTTTACTCCATCGTGAAGGTCGCCCATGGTGGCGAGGGTTGCTACAACACGGGCTTCTGCATCTCGGAAGACGGCTTCTTACTCACAATGAACGATTCGTGTCGAAGTTTCCAAGGTGAAAACACGGACCACCGACACTCCGAGGTCACGTTTTTCGATGGCACACGGCTTGATTGCACCCACGTCCAGATTTTCCAGTGCTCGGGGGTCTCGCTCTCACTGCTGAAAGGCGATTTCCCGGTTCCACCCCTTAGGCCTGATGATCTCTTTATCACGAACGAGTCGATGGCTCTCGCTCCGTTTGGAGTAGACGACATTGGCTTTCCCACACCTGCGATTACTGTTGGTCGAGTTCGGACACCGCTTGACACGAAAGAGAAATTCGCTCGGTTGGAACTGGGAACCCCTAGCGATACTAAAGCGGGGGAATTGGAAACCAGAATGACGGGCGGCCCAGTGTTGAGCATGCGACCTGGATACTTTGCTGGTGTTATCACGAGTATGGAGCAAAGTGAAGCGGTTCGCTTCTGCCCGGTTACGCTGACTTCGTTGGTATGGCTGGCGATTCAACGTGCAATGAAGCAATACCGCGAGACTTACATGGTCCAAGAGCCGACAACGAAACAACATGGTGACTTGCATTGCTGTGTGCTGCTTTAAGGCTTTTAGTCACATTTAATCTTCTTATCTCGAAGACGCCTGAAACCCAACATAAAATCTTCAGAAATGACAACTTCTTGTTGGTTTATTACCTTGCAATGTTATCAAATGGTTATACTACTCCCAGATACTGGTCGTCCTTGACTTGGCAACGACCTTGGGCTGATCTTCTAGCTTCGACGGCACCTGCCGTTGTACGCCACTTTCAAACCCGAGTCTCTGCATTTGGCTTTGTCGAACTCGCAGGGATTTAAGTAGGTGATGCCGTTACTTCCACACACGAGATTTGACTCATTGGCACAATAAATCACGGAGCAGTCGGAGCCGTCAGTGCCGGAGGTGCCGGCAGCGGAGGCGTCAACAATCACGAGTACGGTGAGTGCAGCCAAAGCGGTGAACTTCATGATGACTTGAGTCGGAGTGTTCTGGTCTTCGAAAATTGGGCAGTGACGGACGAGTTATGTTGGAGGTGAAACAGCGCGGTAGTGATTACTTTTGGTCTGTTCGTGATTACTAACTATACTAGGCTCTGTTGTCGGTTCCAGCGAATCGAGGAATTTCATTTTTATCCAGATGACAACTTTTTCAATGTCCTCTGGCCTGACTTATTTGAAACTTCGCTGTATTGAATCCTCACTTTACTTTAGAGGTATAAGCTCAAGGCATCGATCAGCTCCATACCCCTTGATTCGCGTAATAATGAAGGCGAAGAACTCACGCGGATCTGTCGGATTCCAAGAGATACGGTATCCCACTCAATCGCTCGATTCGCGAGGAACTAAAATCGCGAATTGTCATGAAAGCCACCCGAAGTAATCATGATAGTCCGCGCAAACAGTAATCACCATTCAATACTTCACTTGGCAATTTTCGAGGGCCAGAACTTTCATCAAATTCGACATGTGATAACCTAAGAATGATCTTGCAATGGACTACCGTTCAAGAGTGTTGCCTTATTCTCTCCAAAAGGATACTCTAACGTCGTGCGAGAGCAAATGCCCTAGTGTGAAAGCTGTGAGGCAAATCGAGAGCTTTTGAGCAATGAGGATCAGTTTTATGCATTGTCAGTACAGAGTGTTTCCAAGTCAGTGATAACTTGTATCGTATCGCGAAATTTATGTTTGCATAGGATCTGATGTATGCGGGTTGTATCCAAAATAATAGTACCAGCTCACGATTTGTAAACTATAGAGAAAATATTATAGTTCCTAAACCATTTTACATTTCGAACCCATTTAAAAACGCAAAACTCGTCCCCGAAATCCTCGCAAAATTAACCATGAAATCGCAAGCCAGTTGGCTAGTACTTAGTATTACTCTGCCTAGCAGCGTAGTGGGTCGGAATGTTGAGCTCTTAGTTTTTCACTTTGGCCTTCCTGCTGTACATTGTACATGTAGTATGATGTGTTGATTTATTCGGTGATTATTATTCATTTCAGTTACGTTCTAAACTACTACTTAAGTATGCTGTTTCGAAACCCGCCTACCCTCATTACTATATCTACAAACTACATCCCCTCAAGCCTCCGCCTCCCCACGACCTCAGGAAGTCAACCAAACCAGAAGAATAATCTTAGGGGTAACTTAGTTTGGCGTCAAAGTGCCAGCTTCAGCTGGCTCCGAAATAATGCGTCACCAGGTCAAGCAAGACCTGGGGCCTTCTCTCTCGTAAACCGGTGGAAGACAGTGGGATTGAAAGGTTTTCAGTGCATGTAAGAAACTTGTCGTTTTTCAATTCTACACCTTTTCAACTTCAAAACTGCAAATTTTAAGTTCAAAACTGCACGAGCAGAGACCAGGCTAGCTTCGTACTTTTATACACAGCTCATTGGTTGGCACGCAGCATAGCTAGCCAATAGGCAAATTGTACTTTATAATCGTATACGATGATAGATATCATTCAGTTTGTAATATACATTAATAGAGTATTGTTGTTTTGATCTTGCCTTTTGCTGTTTTGAACTTACAATTTGCAGTTTTGAAGTTGAAAAGGTGTAGTACAATTGCAACGGGCCCGCCATGCTTGCTAGTCCGATGTTATAGTTTAGGTCGCGATTAGCTACAGCATCCACAACTTCGACGTTACGATTGCTAACCACATTATGGCTGGGCGCGTTGCAGAGCGGTTGCACGGCGCTAGAAGTGCTTACGGAGAGAGCAGAAGGAACACATTTGGGCAGAGATTTACTGCATAATAACGCTAATTCATTATCCTGCAAGGTTACATGACTATACCACCCCAAGCCTAGTGCGTTCAAAGCAGAAACCGGTTGTCCCGATGATTGTGAACGATTCCGTCCAGCTCGAATAGCTTGCGCTTGACTGCCAGCTTGAATTTACTTCTCGCCTTCATCCCTCCGGCACATGCCGTTGTGCGCCACTTGTAAAGTTAAACCTTTGCTCAGGGCTTCGCATTAAGTGGTAATACTCAATACGGTATTAATACAGCACCCCATGCCTACTGTATTGCTACTGGGTGCACCACTATCTGGCTTATGTATTAGCTGCATTACTATAGTTGTAGTTTGTATTATTACGGTCGTAATACAGACGGGGCCATGTCTACCAGTACGTAGAGTGGCCGCAAATGGCATTGAATCCCAACATTTTAGCACGCAATGGGCTTGAATAGGACTCCTGCTGTCGATCTGGGCTCCCGTGGCATGGATGACCGAGATATCGAACCACCGAAACGCGCTCCATCCTATACTTTCATTCATTATTATTTAAGTTCTCTACGAAATGCGCACGACTCTACAGTAGACTACGCAACAGTATAACAGCAAACTACAAAGCAGCACCCATCTACTTCCAACTCCGCCGAATTGATTCCGAGATCAATCGTATCCAGTCAGCTCTCAATTCGTACTTACTAGCTGTGAATAGCACTTATCTGAATACTACAGTTTATCCTAGTAAATCTTTGGGAGCTCATTAGACTGCTGCTGTATCTACTACTGTAGTACTGTATTACTACACACCCTGTCTATTTCTGTCAGCATGCTATTATAATAATGCGCACCATTCATCCGTATTACCTGTAGTGGTACAGCTCAAAAGGTGGTTAATGCGAAGCCCTGCCTTTGCTGCAGTTGGCGTTGTCGAACTCGCATTGATTCAAGTAGGTGACGCCGTCACTTCCACAAATGAGATTGGACTCCGTGGGGCAGGATTCAAGCACAACGCAGCCGCTGTAGGTTACGGCGGAGGAAGTGCCGATGGTCGAGAGCGTGACGAATACAGCCGAAGTGGCGAGCTTCATGGTGTTTTCAGTTCGGTGAGGTAGGAGTGTTCTGGTCGTCGAAAATTGGGAAGTGACTCCCGCGTTCACGCCTGCGTCCTCCGGATATAAATCATGATTACTAGACCAAGCTCCGTTATAGTTTCCTGGTGAATCGTGCGATTGAGTAATGTCGCTAGAATCCGACAGATCAGCGTCTGGGTAGGAACATGAGTTGCGCTACAAGTAGGAGCCACTGTAGTTTCTAAGTTGCTACCACTTGCTGGTTCAATAGCATATGCCGTTAAAGCTATAGGAGAGCAGCGATCAAATTTCTACAGGACACGGAGACTTTTTTGCGCAGTCTTTGGCACCCTTGGCACGCACCGACGACACTGCGGAGATTATCATACACTGTACTATATGGTGGCGATTATTTATCCTATATCAAGTTTTCTTTTTGATGATACGATGCCCATAGGCAATGCGTACTGTAAAACTACAGTAGTCCGGTCGGACTTCTCTGCAAAATCATCGTTCTCTTTTTCCCAATGTTGGTTTAACTATTATATTTTTATTGATAGCATTTTAACGTGTATTTAAAAGTGCATGTTTCCCTTTCAGAAGGAAGGTCAACACTGTATCGTGCAAAGCAATCTGAGACGCTGGTCTGCCGGATTCTTGCGCCATTACTCAAACAGACGAATATGATAACGGCATGTGGTCTAGTAATAAAAAAACTCAGTCGGAGAACTCACAGGCAAGGTCAAACGCAATTTATTCGGTAATCTGGCAGTCACTTCCCAATTCTCGAAGACCAGAACACTCCCGCCGCACCTGATTCAAGACAAATTGAAGTTCGCCCCTTTGGTGGTGCTTCTTACAGTTGATCGACGTCACCTCCGCGATCGAAAGCTCCAGCGAATGCACCACGGGTGGATGTACCAAGGTAATCAATTTCGTGTGTGGAAGTAACTGCGTCACCTACTTGAATCAGTGTGAGTTCGACAGCGACAACTGCATCAAAGGGTTGACCTTGAAAGTGGCGCACAAGGGCATGTGCCGGAGGGGTGAAGGTGGAAAATAAACCCAGGATGAACATCACGGGCGGCCATTTGGTCTGGACAATCGCATTTCCGGGTCAACAAGACGAGGTTTCTGCTTTGAGCGTTCCACTTCGCGACACAGTTCTCTTGTAGAGAACTGTAGTTTCTGGAGCTATTTTGGACTTGGAGCTAGATAAAATCCGGATTATCTTAGATAATCCGGAAATATATTACGGATATAATACCGGCGGATACTCCGATACTTAACTCCAGTGGAGCTATCGGGTAACCCTGTAACTCCTAGGAGTATTTTTGGAGCAACGCCATTTTAGCTCCAGAAACTACAGTTCTCTACATACGTACTTGTATACAGGTAGTAACCTTGCCAGGAAATGGAATTTTCTTGAAAGTGCCACAATTCTTAGTGTTTTGTGATAACACCAATCTAAAACCCTAAATTATAAACGTGCATTTTCATTTCTAATCCGTTTAGAAATCCGAACAGCGTAAATATATCTCACGAAACCATGGCGGCGCAATACTCTCGTCTAGCACTGCACCCCATGCACGCCCCCACCCCCTCTCTGGACTACGAGGAAGTAGACGAAATCCCCGCACTGACCTGCATTAGCGTCGTGTGTCGCAATGGCCCGGAGGTGCTGCGACTGCCCCACGTGGTCGAGAAGCTCCACGAATTGCTCGACTGGTCCGCCCGATGGACGTTCACGAAGGCCTGCAACGCCAAGTTGCCGTTTCTAGTGGGTCGGATCATTGCCAGGCAAGAATTTCAACCTCTGGACAGCGGGTTACGGCTCCCCGGCGTCCGACAGTGGCAGTTCACGGAAGGGATGCTCAACGCGGTCTCAGATGGGAATATGACGCTAGTCGAGCTATTGTCGACGAAATTCCAAGGATGTCACATGCATTCGACAGTGGTGGAGGAGGCTGCGAGAAGGGGTAGAGTGGAGATATTGCAGTGGCTAGTGGCCAACCGGAGCGACGTGAGGTGGACGGATCGAGAGGTAGCGGCTGCGATTCGAGGAGACCACTTTGAACTGGCCAAGTGGATGAAGGACAAGGTGACTACAGCTTCCGTCGTGATGCTAGAGAGGTGGGCGGCTATTGCGGCGGGGAAGGGGAATCTAGAGATGCTCCAATGGGTTTGCAGTCTGTCGACAGTGGTGAATCCAAGGAATGCGGTGTGTGAAGCTGTGGATAACGGGCATTTGGAGGTAGTCAAGTGGATCATGAGCCAGCCTGCACGTGGGGACGACTTATCGCAGATGAATGAGGTTAATCCGCCTCAGCTCCAGATCGATCTGTATCGAGCAACTGGCGGTGGGAATTTCGACGTTCTGGAATGGCTGCTCTGTCATCACCCGAAAAGTTGTCGGGTTAACGGTGCCGACATCGAGGCTGCGCAGAATGGGCGGTTGGATATTGTCCGATTGTTTTATGAGAGCGGCGTGGAGTGCAGTTCTGAGCGAGCCTTCACTTCTGCAGTTGCAGGAGGCCATCTCGACATTGTTACGTTGTTGTATGACCATCGGCCCAAAGGATCTCTACCTGGGCAAGCCATTGATCTAGCTGCACGGAACGGATTCCTCGGTATCGTTGAGTGGCTCCACGACAACACGTCTGAAGGATGCACGACGTTCGCGATGGACGGTGCAGCGCAGAACAATCATTTCGAGGTGGTGAAGTGGTTGCACAAACACCGACTCGCTGGTTGCACGAATATCGCCATGGACTCTGCAGCGGAAGAGGGAAATCTTGAGCTTGTCAAGTGGCTTCATGCGAACAGGAAGGAGAGCTGTTCGCCCGATGCAATGAATCTTGCAGCAGCAAATGGGCACCTTGAAATGGTCAAGTGGCTCGACGCGAATCGACACGAAGGTTGCACTACCGACGCCATGGACAAGGCTGCAGCTAATGGTCACCTCGATGTGGTGATTTGGCTCCAAACTAATCGATTCGAGGGCTGTACGACCGATGCAATGGATCGGGCCGCTGAAAATGGACATCTGCATGTACTGGAATGGCTACACGTCCACCGAAGCGAAGGTTGCACGGTCCGCGCAATGAACGCAGCGGCAAGGAATAATCACCTTAAAGTTGTGCAATGGCTGGACGCTCACAGAACGGAAGGATGTACGACGGTAGCTATGGACAGTGCTGCGGAACGAGGCCATTTTGAGATGGTTCAGTGGCTGGATTGCTATCGTCATGAGGGATGCACTACCGCTGCCATGGAGTCGGCCGTACTTGGTGGGCACTTTGAGATTGCATTGTGGATATTCCAACGACATCCAGAGTACGATGTCGTGGACGCTTTGAGGAGATGTCCCACTCAGAACCGACGCTGGGAGTTTGTGGAGTGGGCATACTTGTGCGAGCCTGTCGTGTTTGAGATCAGCATTGCGGAACGGCTCGTTGTTGATTAGAAGTGCAAGATAATGCCTTTTATGGGGGGGCAGATTTTTATTTTATTGAGCTCTTCTCATCTGTGAGGCAAGTGGAACCATTATTGTGGTCGGTTTTACACTTTCGATCTTTTCCAAGAAGCACTGCACCCTACTTCACGTTGGAGGCGACTAACGCAATGGACTGCACGTGGGCCGGGCTCGCTCAGTAAGCGAAGAGATCTCTTGCAATCGTGGCCTCGAACTGCTCGCGGTGGTGGATGTACATCCACTCGGCGAATTCCCAACGGCGCGACGCGTTAAAGTACTCGTACTTGCACTTTTTCAACGCTTGAATAATGTCCAATTCTGGACGCGTTTAGTGGAGGAACCACGCGATTTCGAAGCGAGACCCACTCCATGGCTTCGGTATTGCACCCTTCTTGTCGATGGGCTGTCAGCCAGCGGACCATTTCCAAGTGGCCTTGTTGTGCAGCGTTGTCAATTGCCGCGGTGGTGCAGCCCTCGACTCGGTTACAATGCAGCCACTTTACGACCTCAAGGTGGTTGTTTCTGGCGGCTCCATTCATGGCGAGAGTTGTACAGCCTTCGCTTCGGTGAGTGTGCAGCCACTTGACAACGTCGAGGTGGCCCATTGCTGCGGCGGCGTCCATGGCGTGTTTAGTGCAGCCCTCCGACCGGTTGTCATGGAGCCACTCAACCACTTCGAGATGACCATTTGCGGCAGGCCCTTCCATTACATTAGTTGTGCAGCCTTCGCTTCGATTCGTGTGCAGCCACTGCACAATACTGAGGTGGCCGTTGCCAGCTGCCAAATCCATGGCGGATTTAGTGCAGAGCTTGCGACGATCGTGGGTATTTTCATGTAGCCATTTCACGACGTCAAGATGCCCTTGCTCAGCAGCCCTTTCATCGCCGCATGCGTCCACGACTCCGACGTATTCGTGACCAGCCACTTGACCACCTCCAAATGTCCGTTTCTGGCGGCGAGATCAATCGCCTTTGCAGGATTAGTTTCTGCCACGGGATGCGCGTACAACCACTGCACGATCTCGAGGTGGCCAGCTCCTGCAGCAGCGCTCAGTGCGTCGTTTGACCGGGACGCGGTTCTCATGGAACAGACGCACGATGTCCAAGCGTCCGTGGCGCGCGGCGTGGCAGTCAGCCTCGATAATGCTGCATCTCCCAGCAAAGAGATGAATAAACTGCTGCAACACGTCGAAGTTCAACTGGTCGGCTCCTCGTTCCAGCGTCACGTCACGGAACATCGAGTGGTTCATAGCATCCAGGACTCCACGAGCCACGAACCACGCCGCCGCCTCCACCTGGTTGTGGCGAACAGCTTCAGACAGCGCCATGTGATGTTCGATGCCGTCCGACAGACTGTCGACCCACTCCAGTATCTCCACCTCAGCCGCAGCTTCCATCCATCTTGACAAGTGCCGGGTGCGGTCGATCCTCTGGTTCAGCCACTTGGCTAACTCCAAGTTGTTCGTCCTGATGGCGTTCGTCACGGCGTGGTTGACCCAGCGCGCATCGCTGCGATTGGCCACTAGCCACTTGGCGATCTCGTGATGGCTCATGGCGTTCTGCATCATCAATTGAGGCACGTGGCAGCCCGTGAAGTGCGTGGCCAGCAGCTTGACCAGCTCCAAGCTGTCATTGGCCACCGCCTTCCTCATGCACTCGGCAAACCGCCACTGGCGGAAGCGAGGGTCCCTCTTGCCGCTGTCAAATGGCTCCATCTCGTCCTCGGCGATGAGGCGGGGCGCCAAACTCAGAGAATCGGCAGCGCACGCTCGAGCCAGCGTGTAGTCGAGGAAACTGGTCAAGGAGCTCACGACGTGCGGCAGGCGCGGCGCCTCCGGCCCATAGCGAGACAGCGCCACAACGGTGACCAACGGCTGCTGCAGATCCGCGTCCAGGACGCAGTCTCGCGACAACAGCGTCGCGGTGTGCGCGCGGAACTCGAGACGACGACGCTTCAAGATCGTCGTCTCCTCCAGGCAAATATGGTGTCCACCGCAACAGTAGCCCCTACTTGCAGATCATCAGATCGACTGCCTGTGAGTGAGTATGCTGATCAAGCGCCGCCGCATCGATCCGGACGAGATCCCAGTGCTCCTGCCAGCGCTGGACAAGGCTCCAGAGGAGGCGCTGTCTCTGCTCTCCAGCGTCAGCTTCGTCTCCCGAGCGTCGTGGAGAATCTCCAGGCGTTGCTTGACTGGTCCCCCAGGTGGACGCTGGTGCAGGCCTTTGGCTCGGGTTTCCAGCGGCTGGTCTACCGCGTGCTAGAGCGAGACGCCCTGGCGCCTGCAGATAGCGGCCTGAGGATCCATGGATACCGCCAGAAAGAGTTCGAGGAGGCGTTGCTGCTGGTCATCAAGTCTGACAGGTTGGCGCTGGTGAAGCTGCTGTCCGAGTACTTCCGAGGCTTCTACGTGACTTCGACCGTGGTGACGGAGGCTGCGAGGCTCGGGAGGAGCGAGATTCTGCGGTGGCTGGTGGACCACCGCAGTGACATGCGGTGGGGGGAGGACCAAGTGACTGCGGCCGTGCAGGGCGACCACTTCGAGCTGGCCAAGAGGATGAAGCAGAAAGTGGTGACGGTGTTGCCGTCATCGATGGAGGAGTGGACGGAGATTTCAGCAAGAAATGGGAACCTCGAGATGTTGAAGTGGGCCGGGGGACTGTCGGGAAAAGTAACGAACCCGTTGGCAGCAGTCCAAGGATCCGTGGATGGTGGTCACTTGGAAGTCGTCAAGTCGCTTATGGACCAGGTAGATGTGGACGGTCTCGATGCGTCACGGGTGAGCTTCGACCTCGATCGGGCAGCTGAAAATGGGCATGCCGATGTGATGAATTGGGTGGTGAAAAATCACGCTGATCGATGCTGCATCCAGGACGGCGACTGCAGTGCTGCGCGCGATGGACGGCTGGATACCATCCAGTTGCTCTACACACACAACATCAAGGGTTGCACCGACCGGGCCTTCATCGATGCTGCGGACGCTGGACACCTGGATATTGTCACGTGGATGCACGATCACCGCGGGAAACAGGGAGCATTCTCGCAACCCGGTTGATCTCGCAGCGAACAACGGCTACTTTGATATAGCCAAGTGGCTCCATGAGAACACGCCAGTGAGAGCCACCACCGCTGCCATGGATGGAGCTGCCAAGAACAATCATTTCGACATCGTCCAGTGGCTACACGTCAACCAGCACGGAGGATGTACAACGGATGCCATGGATTCAGCGGCTGGTAATGGTCACCTTGAGTTGGTGCAATGGCTGAGTGAAAACAGAAAAGAAGGCTGCACCACTGCCGCAATGAACATGGCAGCCGCAGCTGGGCATCTTGATGTCGTTAAATGGCTGCATAAGAACCGCAGTGAAGGCTGCACTGTCGACGCAATGGATAACGCCGCGACCAACGGCCATCTTGATGTGGTGCAATGGCTCGATGCTCATCGTCGCGAAGGCTGCACAACAGTCGCCATGGACGGTGCTGCTGAAAATGCGCATCTGGATATCGTGTGGTGGCTTCATGCTCACCGACGAGAGGGTTGTACGACGCGTGCGATGGACGGGGCCGCCAAGAACGACCACATTGAAACCTTGGGGTGGCTTGATGAGAACCGCACTGAAGGATGCACAACTAATGCAATCGACCTTGCAGCGGAGCGAGGCCAGGCGAGAATGGTCTTTTGCCTACTCTTTGCCCGAGATGAAGGCCACACCCGTTTTGGAGTTGAAGCCGCGTTACGCAATGGACACTACGAGGCGGCCCGCATGATTTGCCAGCTGACTGCTGTCATGACTGAAGCAGATACTAATACACGGCAACGTTGGGAGATTGCGGAGTGGCTCTACGTGCATGAACCGGAAGAGCTCCAGAGTCTGAGCCTGATGTCTCGACTCTTTGACGATTGATTTCGTGCAACAACTGCCTTCTCCGGGTATTCTAGCGCCTCAACACAGTCGATGCGTGACCTCTGGCTATCGTTTTCACGGATAAGCACTTCAGATGCTCTTTATACATGGAGGTAGTACAATATATTTCTGGGATAGCAGTAACGCTAAAGCTGCTAGCGCAGCCCACATCCGATTATTTGAAGCCGATCAGATGAAGTTGCAGAAATGTAGATATTTAAATGGACAAATTCGATAGAGTTAAAGTTCGTTGAAGTTCCCTGGTCAGAATCTCTCAAAACTCCAACAACACCGCGGTCCATTCCTGAATTTGCTGTCTGGGCGTCAGACCTGAAGAAAGAACGCTTTTTTGTCTTGTGTATTTCCTATCATCTAACTAAACAGGTAATACAATGTTATGGGTTTCCGCGATGAAGATATAAGGTACGTAAATATCGGGCAGTGCACAGTACTAGCGTTACTCCCCGCGGAAAGGATGCTGATTCTCTGTTCATTTATCATATCAAATACCAAACTCCTATTGTATTTTGTTTGTCCTACCATTTTCGTATTACGTTCTTGCCAGCCGTCCCCACCCTTAAAATTATAGCTCTAATGCTCTGGCAATGTGACTTACTTATTCTATTCGCGGCGTGATCTTTGGGGAAATTGTAATGTAAACTACCAAGCTATCCCAGCCTACGGCCGTAGCACTACGGTAGGCACTCAATGTACCCATTTCGTTTTCACGCTATTTCTTCGGTACGCTAAAAGATCGCAAGAGCCTCTTCATGGCCGAGTCAAACCCGCTGCCACCTTCGGATGCCGAGGAGTTTGGGGGAGTCCAACCATTGACCTGCGCCCGTGTGTGTGTCAATATGGCCCGGACGCTCTGCAGCTTCCGCACGTGCTGGAAACGCTCAGCGCCTTCCTCGATTGGTCACCCAAGTGGACTCTCGCTAGAGCCTGCGATATCAACTCGCTGTGCCTGGTTCGTCGACTGCTCCAAAGGGGCTCGATGCAGCCAGCTGACACCATCTGGAGATCTCGACGCACGCGTAGAGCGAGCTTTCGACGAGAGCTGTGAGCTATTCACCTTCTTGTGCTTACTCTCGCTTCACGATCGAAATATACGGAAGTACATGAACATTCAAAGTGTTTTTCATCCATTTTCAGGTTTTACTCATTCAACTTCGCTACAGATCGTATCTGCGCTTCATAAAGTGGAGCTCCCAGCTACAGCCAGCGAAAGTAAACAGGAGTGCGGGAACGAGGGATGCTGGCGTGTTACAGCCTGGCTCATGGAGACGAACTTGCTTGGGCACTTAGTACCACTTCTTCTGGCAGCGCTTGACGTTCTGGCCGTCGTCCGACCAGCGGCACTCGTAGCTCGAGTCGGCGCAGCACTTGCTCCCAGTCCAGTTCTGGCCGTCGCACTGCGACTCGTTGGTGATCGTGCACGACCCCCCATTATTCCCCGAGTTCGGTTGGTTCGGCTGGCTCCACCACTTCTTCTGGCAGCGCTTGACGTTCTGGCCATCGTCCGACCAGCGGCACTCGTAGTTGGAGTCGGCACAGCACGTGCTGCCGGTCCAATTCTGGCCGTCGCACTGCGACTCGTTCGTGATTGTGCATCCACCCTTGGTGCTGTGGACGCGCAGGTGCACGGAGGCCTGCTCGACAGCGTCGACAGTCGAAAGCGCGGCGATGGCGACGGCGGCGACGGCGAAGATCTTCATCTTGGGCTTGGACCTTGGGGACTAGGAGGGCTGGATTGGGAGTCGCGGAGCAGATTGCAAAGTGAGCGGCCGGACAGCGTGTGCCAATGGTGGAGGGTCTCTAAAAATCAGGGACCCTCCGCAAGCCACCGGGGGCAACAGATACCTAGATCTGGGATCTGGGATCTCGGATATCCTTCGAAGGCAGGCAGTCGCCTCAACTGGGAGATTCTCCGTGCCTTTTTCTTCTTCTTACAAGCAAGATAAAGACGTCCATGCAGCGTGTTACAGTGCCTTTGGCTTGAACACTACAAGGACACAACTTCCTTAGCTCCAGTGAACCCAAGTTGAACCAAGTTGAAGTTGACATTCTCAATTAAGGACGGTTCACTGTTCGGGGAGGGTGGTGGTGGATCTAATACGAACGACATTCGATCAACATTGGATCCGCTTTGAAAGCCACAGTGGCAAGCAATGCTGACCGCATGGACGATCGCCTTGAGTGCCTAGGATGTCTAATGGAGCTGCTCGGCAAATAACGTACTTGTACTGCACTGCACATATTTTCTACGCCTTCACCTGTAGGTTTCTTGCTGGCGTCGGGTAAGGTACGCGCTCCCGCACTTGCCCATCTGCTAAGGCCTGGAGGCAGCACTGTCAAGAAACCAGCTTGCTGTTCGCTGTATCGATACCTCACAGGCACTCGACGCCATCGGGTGCCTCCTGCAGGCTGCAGCAGGCGTGGCTTCCACCTGTAATCCCGGAGTACGTAGCACTGTACACCGAGCCACGCTACGGTCTGCCCCTCTCTGGTGCTTACCACTCCGACTCTGGGCAGCCGGAGTTGAAGTCACCAGCCCCGACCGAAATTCGCAATGTCACCTCCCAAGGCCGCCCCCAATCACTCACGGTCGCTGTTATCCTCTCGGTGCGTCACCTCACGGCCCCGCCAGAGACGTGAGTGCAGGATCGGATGGCGTTTTGGCCGTCATGCAACAGCAACAACAGACAGCTTGCTTGCTTCACCGTGCGGCAGCACCACCTGCGAGCCGACTCCTTCTCAGCTGCTGGGCCCCATCTTGTCGTGCCTCTCGCCAGCAGGCAGCGCCGGCGCGTTCATCTCGCCGATTCCAGCCGCAGGACTTCATCCATCGAACGTTAAACGCCACGTTGGCCGCGTTCAACTCGGGAGCCTTCGGCGTGACAAAGCGATCCATTACTGCCCTCGGGTTCTCCCCCTCTGTACGCCACAGGTAAGACGATGATTCTCCCACTTTGCCGCGGCGCGCCGCCACTCGGACCTCGGACACTCGTGCAGAGCTCCGACAGCGCCGGAGACGAAAATTGAGCTCAAATCGCGCTCGCCAAGGCCGACAGACCCTTGGAACACCTTTTGCTTTGACCGAACGACGCGAAAGCGCTTCTACTGGCATGATATGACACAGTGTACGGCCATGCAATCGATCCAGCGTGAGCATGACTGCGCTCCGAAAGTGTACGTAGCCTATCCACCCACCGAGGGCATGCAGCATTGGCATGGGGGCGCGAGGCTCGAGGCTCGGACTCCTGCGCTGCCATCTGCCAGCATAGGCGAGCCAACTGCTGTCGCGTCGAAGCCCGCATACCTCACTACAAGAATACAGAAGCAAAGCTCTCCTCTTCAGTATGCAAACATGACCTCTACACATTTTCACCTGTATAAGCCGATATTACGAACGCGAGGGGATGCAGGTGCTGAATACCTACCGACTCTCGTGTCCTTTCCGTGCGTGGCATAAAGAGTGGGGCAAGGATAGGATAGGGAACCATACCTGTAGCTCCTCAGCCCCGCCACGCCACGCCACTAGCGCTCTCGCCTCGCCTCGCCCTCATGTCCTTAGCGCCCGTGGACGACGAGCAGCACGCTCGGCTCTGCGGCCGCGCGCGCGCCAAAGAGATCTTCCAGCCGATGCGCTGGAAGCGCATCGGCTCGCTGCCCGACGAGGCCGCCAAGCTCTACGAGAGCGCGCGGCGCAGCAGCAGCCAGCGCAGCTACAGCCTCCGCGCCGTGCGGCCGTTGCAGGCCTCGCTGGCCGAGGTGGAGGCCGTGCTCACGGGCCAGACGGCGCTGCTCGGGCGGGATGACACGCCGTCGCTGCTCGCGCGCCTGCTGCCGGCCACGTACGTGTCGGGCGGGCGCATCACGCGCTACCCGACGCTCGAGCACTCGACCAGCGAGCGCGAGAACGTAGCGCTGCAGTACGCGCGCCTCAAGCCGTACTCGGCCCAGCACCAGCAGGAGACCAAGCACGCCGTGCTGCTCGAGAGCGTGGACAACTACGTGCTGCTGGGCTACACGCTGTCCACCAAGCTGCAGCGCTCGGACACGAGCAAGAGGAAGCCGTCCGGGCTCGAGCCGCCCGTCTCCGTGCCGTCGCTGCTGCATCTGTACCGCCCCGTGAGCGCGCCCGCGTTCGCCGAGAGGAGACACGACTTCCGAGCCGAGAGACTCGCGACCAACGAGTTCAGCATCACGTACATCATCCAGGAGCTGCCCCCCAGCGAGGACCAAGACGAACAAGAGCAGCAGCAGCAGAAGGAGAGCAGCGTCACACTCGAGGTGGTGCTCACCTGCTCACTGGACTCCCGACAGGCGGAGGCGGCGGCGGACGACGAGGCCAAGGAGATGCTGCACCAGCAGAAGCTGCGGCTTCGACACGACGCGCTGTGTCTGACAAGGCTGCAGCCGTTTATCGACGCCTACCGACAGGAGAAGGTCAAGGGCAACGCGACGGTCTCGCAGCCGCGCGAGCCGCAGCACGACCCGAAGGACTGCGACCCCAACATGCTGCGCGGCAGCATGTTCTTGGGCGGCCGCACGTGTGGCGTCTGCCACCGGAAGTTTGGCCCGTTCCGATGGAAGCGCCACTGCGAGTCGTGCGAGAAGATTGTGTGCAACCAGTGCCTGTCGGTGCTGGCGGCGGCGCCGTCGCTCTCGCGCCGCAAGAAGCGCGTGTGCTCGCAGTGTCTGTATGGAGAGACGGCGAACGTGGCGGCGATGCACAAGGCGGCGGCAGACGCTGCGCACGAGGACGGAGCTGGAGCGCCGAAGGCGCCTGAGACCACGACCATGAACGTGTTCCAGTTCCCGAGCTTGGAGTCGTTGGTGACCAAGCACAAGGCCAGCAGACCGGCGGCTCCTGTCACTTCCCAAAGCAGCAGAGGAACCTCATCAAGGTCTTCAGGCCGGGTACAGATCGACCTGGGCTTGGACCCTGCGTTGGCCACGTCGTCAAGGTCTTCCACTGACCGGAGACGTGCGCGCTCTCGGCAGTCACAGCTCTCGCAGGGGTCTGCCGTAAGCACATCCTCCAACACGAGCGCCACGAGCAGCTTCGTCACTGCAACTCCTGATAATCGACGCGCGACGCTTGCCGACCGCACTGACCTTGACGACAGTGAATCGGCCATGACCAAGTCCATGCGCACTCGACGTGCCAAGACCGTATTGATAGATGAACCGCAGGCCAAGTCCACGAGCCACAAGCCACTGAACTTCATCACGCCTCTGTCGACTTCGGCGCCGACGCACTCGTTGTTTCCCACCGAGGAGAAGGAGGAAGAGCTGGAGCTGGAGCCTGTGCAACCGGTGGCTAAGCCTCGCGCAACCTCGTGCACGAACTCCATGATGCAGTTTGTGCAGCTGAAGACGCCTGAGCCAGACTACGAGCTGGATTACAACTGGTACAACATCTTTCCCAAGGCCCCAGTCGATCGCACGACTGCGGAGATGGCGCGCGCGAAATACGTGGAAGTATCGGGACTCAAGGTGGACGCTCGTTCTCTGGTGTTCATGCGCCACGACACTGAGCTCGAGGAGATCGCTCGACGTGTTCTGGATGTCGCGTCGCAGTGGCATGGCTGCAGTATCAACATTGTGGGCAGCTACGAAGTGTACTGCCTCGTGACCGCCTCCAACAAGCCCGAACTTGACCTGGACGATGAGCTACTAGAGCTCGAGGCCTCCCCCGTGACGGTGGATGATGTTGTTCCTCGTGAAGAGAGTGTAAGTGCGTACGCAGTGCACCACCGCTCCCCGTTCTTCGTGGCCGAGATGGAGCACGACCCGCGCTTCCGTGCGCACCCGCTACACACAGACCAGGGGGCTGTATCGCTCCTAAGCTTCCCCATTTATTCGTCGGGTGCTGACGCCGCTGGATCAATGTCTACCGATGGAGAGGCTTACTGCGTGGCTACGCTGGACTTGTGGAAGCGGGATCACGTGCCTGCCAGCAGCCATGTCTCTCACGAGTGGATGTCGAGCATTGGTGAGTTACTACGCAACATCAGCGCACGTCTGGAGGCGCTGTCGATGGAGTCGCACGCGTTCCTCAAGCCCCGTGCTCGCGCTGGACACTCGTTCGGCTCGTCCTGCGATTCAAGGGGCAGCACTCGACGAGCGGACTCGATCGTCGACCTGTATGATATCGACAGTGAGGCGGTGGTAGACTCGCCTCCACTTTCTCAAGCAGAGACGATGGATCGGCTCACGAGTCTTTCATACGCCAAGGTGCGCGGCCTGGGCTTGGGAGGTATGAGCGGTCCCGGGTCGTCGACGTGGAAGTACGATAGCGACAACGAGAGCACGACGTCCAGCCAGAGCGCGAGCAGTCAGAGCTCGCGCTTCTCCTCGCACCTCTACACAGCCGCAGATATGCACTCAACGATCGAGTCACTGCTGCAGCAGGCTTCCAAGACTTCCAAGTACATCAGTGAGACGGGAGTATCCATTTAGACCATAGACGTCCTGAACTAAGAGTGAAGAAGAAACTATCAGTTTATCGTGATCATTCACGCCAGTCTCATTATCACTTCAACATGATCGGTGCTGTAGAGTGTAGGTAGGGTGGGAAACAGAATATCTGGCTAGGTTTAGCGTCACCTCAGCAAAGATTGCAACCACGCCGTCAAGCCATATCATGAGATGGCCCTCTTCCACCCAGAAGATCAATCTTGTCACGCTTGCGATAGTCGCAGCAGTGTGCATCTCATCGATTCACTCATCCAAACGAGGACAGTAAGACCATGGATCAAAGCAAAGGGAACTGAGTGTGCCCTCATTATCTCATTCACCCGCTTCCGATTAGGACCGAGCTTCGTACTACAGGGCATGGCAGTCTCCAGCATCACCAACAGTTCATCGCCTCGCCCGACCATCGAAGTTCGGCAGTATCGCCCCGAAGACCATGCCACCATCACCAAGATCTTCGTTGAGGGTTTGATGGCGTTCGACGACAACCTCGAGTATCGCTACCTGTGGGAGGAGCGTCTGCGCAAGGACCTGACCAACGACTTCGCCGACATCGAGGCGAGTCCCGGTGGCAACTTTTGGGTTGCAGTGGCAACGAAAGGTGGAGCGAGCAAGGTGGTCGGCATCATCGGCCTGCAACGCAGAAGTGAGACTGTGGGCGAGGTGCGCCGCTTGTTCGTGGACTCGAGCTGCCAACGCATGGGAATTGGTCGGAAGCTCATGACGCAGCAAGCTGGTCGAAGCAGCACGGGATCAAGAGCCTGTTTCTCACGACAAACCCGAAGAAGAAGCAGGCGCTGGCGTTCTACGCTGCTCTCGGATATGCCAAGGTCGACGAGGTCGTGCACTTCTGGGAAGACCCTGAATACTTTCAAGTCGACAAGCTCGTCAAGCAGTTGTAGATCGGAGCACTCGGTTCTAACACTCGCGAAAACTGCTCTTCAAGGCGTTCAACGTAAAACGAAGGGAATTCAGTCAGCATTTTTTAACGACGTCGACCACCATCTATCCCTGAACGATTGACCGCTCATCAAAACGAGAAGATTGGTTGTTTGAGCCGATGACTCTTGCCTTCAAGGGCTCATCAAAACGCGATGATTCAATCAAGCCTTCAAGGCCAAACACGCGCTCATCAAAACGCGATGATTCAATCATGGGAACACGTCAAAAGGTGTATGAATTTGAGACGTTTTGTCAAAAGCGGTTCACTATTAGGTGTATGCTAGGTTGTCGGTATGACAGTAGGTGTATGTGGTTCCAAGCGCACTAAGGTGCATGATAAAGCTACATCAACAACGAATGCGGTGACTGGTGTGTGGGCTTAGATCCAAATCCATAAAACTCGGGGTTAGGAAGGCTTCTACCTGATGCAACTAGCCCGGTTCGTGGTGTCCATGACTTTGATAGCGAATTGTACGGTACAATGAACGTCGTTATCCATTGTAGCTAGGCCTCAGCGTTGCCACAGTTCTACAATACCTACACTCTCCCCCGGTTGGGGGCTCTCACTAGAGCTCCTTCACCTCCGAAATTCAGATGCAAAACCTTCCTAGTATAGCCATGCTATATACGCTTGCGGTTTGCGTTGGTAGTTCCTTGTAGCTACAATAGCGAAGTTGTCGAGTACAATTGCTCTATATGCTATTATTAGTTGACCGTGTTCGCTACGAGCGTGTCGTTAATAAACTACTGTGCTTGGAAGCTCGATCCTGAGTCTGTATGACCCGACCTCGGCCGAAATACCGCGGCAACCAAAACGTTTGTCAGTACGTGTATGATGAGACATGACGCGACGTGACGCCCACGACCACTACACCTATTGACAAACGTTTTCCCAACGCATACACCTTTTGACGTTATCCCTTCAATCATCATGATTGATGGCCTCTGTACCATTCTGATAGGCTACCTACCCAAGCAGTCGCTCTTTGAAGATGGTGAATCCTGATGTTGTTGCAGTCGATGACCCCACAACAAGGCAGAGTAAGGTTTCCTGGTGTACAGGTTAGGAGGACTAACCTACCAGTAGGGTACAGCACTAATAGTCATTGTCCCCACTGCTTCATTATTTCATTTGCTCCGTCGCACTTAACTCCCTTCCACTACTATTTCCCCCATGACCACCGATACGCAAATCAAGGTGACATTCCGTCAGTATCGTCCTGAAGACCACGCCGCCGTCACCAAGATCTTCATCGAGGGTTTGGTCGTGTTCGACAAGAACCTGGACTACCGCTACCTGTGGGGAGAGCGCATTCGCAGCGACCTGACCACCGACTTGGCCGACATCCAAGCGAGCCACATGACCCTAGGCGGGAATTTCTGGATCGCGGTCGCGACGACCAAAGGATCGAGCAGAATCGTCGGCATCACGGGACTCAAGCGCGTATCCAAAGCCGTCGGGGAGGTGCGACGCGTGTACGTGGACCAAACCTGCCACCGCATGCGCGTCGGCCGCAAGCTAATGGCGGAGCTGGAAAGCTGGTCGCGCCAGAACGGAATCAAGCGCATATTCCTGACGACAGCCGCCTCGAACGAGAAGCCTCAGGCCTTCTACGCCGCTCTCGGGTACACCAAGACGGACAAAGTCATGTACGCCTGGGAGAAGCTCAAGTACTTCGAGATCTCCGAGTTCGTTAACCAGCTGTAGGGCGGCAATACTTGCCATTAGGCCTGTGACTTCGCCCTCTAAACGATGAAGCAGGCGTCCAATTCGTCGACAACCATGTTACTTCGTGCCCGTCTTGCCTTTACGAGCCCCTGGTGGCTTGTTTCCCATATTAAACCTCCTATCGATCCACGAATGCGCTGCAGGTCACCTCTGAACGTCGAGGTGAGCCCAGCCACACAAAGCGCAGCCACTTGGCATTGTCGATAGGCGCAACCCCCGGCGCTGAATCCGCAGCCATGTTGGTCAGCATGACGTTCACCATAACCTACCGATCCCGTTCTTCTGAAGCACGCTACGCCACGCGCGTTTTCCGCCCTCAGTGTCGAGTGTTCGTGCATGGTTCTGACCTGCATCCCGCCGCGCTTCAAGGAATTTCGTTCGAGACACCCGATCGGCGTGAAAACCAGCGACACGACAATCAGCAGCTGGGCGAGTGCATCCATGTGAGGCTCCTCTTCACTCTGTGCTTGGTGTCGGCCGACGTGGCGAACTAACCCACCCATTTCAAAAGCAGAGACCGTGACCAGGAGCTTCGGCCGGGGTGACACGCACCGGGAGTTGGTAACGGAGCCACGTCAGGCGGGGCAGTCCATCCGAGTCGCGATCCGATCCGCGCTCACTTATCCATTCTTCCTGCGCCACGCAGGACTCGGCACCAATCTACCCACTGGTATCGCATGAGCAATGGAGCGCAGGTCTCGCGTCTCGGCAGTCGAAGACGACTTGGAGCTCGCTGAACGCAGTCCGGAACCATCGCCAGAGTCGAGGCCGAGTCCGCCCATGCTGCCTCCGTTCCGTCGTCCTCGACGTCCGGCAGCGCCGCCCCCACCACCTCCAGCTGCAGTTCACACGGGGGCCCCTCGTCGGTCGTTGGGGGACTCGCTACCTCGTCGCTCGCTGCTGGCGCCGGAGGTGACGACGCCTTCGGACGATCAATACGCAAGGGGAAGAGACAGCGACGAGCGCAAGAGCGAGGAGGGACCGGAGAGCGAAAGGCCGAGGAAAGGAGATCGAAAGCCGAGAAAGAAGCGCCGCAGTCGCATCCTGAGCGAGTTGAGGCCCGTCGAGGGACCGGAGAGCGCTTTGCCGAGCGTGCCAGCTATCAATGATGATGGCTCGCAAGCCAGCGATGATCCGTTGGAAGCTCCCGACTCGGGCGAACGAGCAAAGAAGGCGTTCGCAGCGCAGCGAGTGCGGATGCGCAGGTCGTGGAGCCCCGATCTACGTGTTTACATGTACGTACGCTATGGGGGATGATAAGGTGGCGTTTGATGTTCATACTTACTTGTTCTGTGTTGGTGTGCAGGAAGAATGCTCACCCACTGTTTGGCATCTGCGCGGCGCATCGTCACCACCCGTATAAGCGCGGCGATCGCTTCCTCGTGCTGCTGGTTGCATTGTGTACGTCTAAAATATTGTTCTCGTTCTGTTTGCTGGAGCTAAGCTAACACTTTTTTCTTGCCCTCGTGTAGTGGTGGCGCTGCTGCTGTGTGGACTGTATGCGATTCGAGACTGCTGCTCTGAAGTGCTGAATGTGCCGGTCGCAGTTGTGAATCGACGATTGGAAACACACCAGAGCGGCGGGCAGCTAGTGACATCCAAAAATTATCTGGCGACGGGAGGACAGCCACCACGCTTTCTACGCGGAGGTAGAAGAGCAACCACCGTTGCTGCTTCATTGCCGCTGACGAGTGAAAGTGTGCAATGCCTGGCATTTTACGCCGACTGCAGTGACGATTCAGCCGTGTGTGCTGCAGGCTCGAAATGCCGACAGGATGACAACCACGGAGCCAGGAAGTGCGTTCCAGATGGGAATCCATCGGAGAAGTGTGCTGCTGGAGGAGAATCCGCGTGCCCGACGGGGTGGACATGCAGTGACAGCACCGATCTGTGTGTTCCTGCATCCAATTACGTTTGCGACCTCCCAACAAGTGGACAGGTGAGAACAGCAGTGAAGCTGGCGACAACCTCCGACGGCACCTATACAGCGATCGAAGCCATTTTCCAGATTCTTCAGATCGCTGCAACGAGGCATGCCCCGGAGATACAACAACCGTCGGCATCAGAAGGCAACCCAACCCAGCAATCGCAGTCTCCATCGTCTTCACCGAGCACGTCTCCTTCATCGAGTACGTCAGCACCAATAACCTCGTCACCGTCCACTACAGTACCAGAAGCAATCTCATCTTCGTCAGCCGAGCCTTCTCACTCGGTCGCAAAGTCAGCATCAGGTTCTTCCCAGTCTTCGACCTCAAGTCTGGCTGCAACATCCTACGAAAACGCGACTTCAAGCTCTGGTTCCCAGTCAACTTCAAGTTTGAGTTCGAGCTCGGCAGGATCGCAATCTCTCGAAAGTTCGACGGCGAAAGTGACTTTGACTGAGCCTGTCAACGGTGGTGTGTACAGTCTGTCGTCGATTATTCCGATTCAGTGGCATGTATCGCTGCTATCCGGACCTGACCCAGGACTTCACAGTTTTCGTATAGACTTCAGCGCTGATAACGGCGCGTTGAACACCATCGCTTCGAGCGTATCAGCTTCTTTGTCTTCGGGATCAAGTCAAGACAGCAACAACACTATTTTCCAGTACGAATGGGACCTAGCGAACAACCTTTCGTGGTTGTGCTCGACGTGTGTGCTACGAATCTGTGCTCTGGGTGTGGATTCTGGCTCGAATGAGAGCCTCTGCATTCGCTCGGACGGGCAAACGACCAGCAACAAGAGCTCAAGGCGTCTTCAAACCACCAGTGTGGAGGGCAGCGGGAGCAGTGATGTCGTCACCTTCCGCATCGTGCGCAAAGCGCTCGAGTGTTCTTGTGGATTGGCCCATGAGTCGTTCTTGCTGGCCGCTGTGATCATTGGCGCTTGTATCCCGGTGGTTGTACTCCTCGCAGAGCCTCTGGTTACGTTTTACCGCGATCGTCAAGTATTTGGGCTATTCGCACGGCGAGATGGCCCTGTTAGACCGGTGATTGCGGGTTATAGCAGCAAGTCTGCAACTCGCAAGGGTCGAACCGTGCTCTTGTTAGTGACTTTAGCGCTTGGGGTGGCGTGCGGCTTCGTGGCTGCGCAGATCACGACAACAAACTTTTTGACGGAGAAAGGGGCCATCGTTGTACTGTGGGTGGTGACATTCGCGATCGCGATGGCTTCGGGAGTGTTGGTGTATTGCACGCTGGTCTGCTTTGTAGTATTTGGCGTGCGTTGGTGGAGAGAGAGAGCTCATGAGCGACGTGAACCCTCGGGGGTGAGCGAGTTCCAAACCTCGCTGTTATCCGAGGTTAGCAACGCTAGCGATACAAGTCCTAAGTGACTAGAAAAAAAGAGGGAATATCAACGAAAGTAGAGAGAGATCGTAGATAGAGCAGATTCAATAAAAGGCGTATCACGATCGTTGGTTTATAAAAACACTTCGCACGTATGAGTCACTCCGTTGGTTATATTGTTTTACTATGTCAGATTACTACGGCACGGAGACACTCTTCCTATAAGTAGTAAACATCGAACACCGAAATGCCAACAATGTACGTCAGGCAACGAGACGGACTGTAGTGATCGGAAGCGGTGCAATTAAGCTGAATAACTTGAATGCTGTCCACTGACGAATATGCTCGTCGCGTAGCTGCTGGGAAAAAGCCATGATCTGTCGATCTTGAGCTGGGACTACTGGAACGGTTGCCACCCCCTTACAACTTTGCGATTCAAAGCCGTGCCGGTTCCTGTTTCCTCCCTTGTCCAAAAGATTCTGGGCTTAGCTGAACTACGAAGTACAGTGTAAAACGTTAATCACTTCCGCATTGGCCGCGCAGCACTCAAGTCTCCGACAGCAACCCGGGCATTCGGCAATCATGGTTGCCTCCAGCCCCGCGATCTTCGCTCTCTGCTCCCTCACCGCTTCCGTCGCCGCCCAGGCTGACATCGGCTCGTGTCTCGACAAGGCTGGCATTGAGAACTCGGTGCCCAAGACCTCGACCTGGACGATGGACATCCAGCCGTGGATCTCGCGTGTAAACCCCGTTCCTTCGGCTGTCGCCTTCCCCAAGACGGAGGAACAGGTCTCAGCCGCCCTGAAGTGTGCCGCCGACGCCGGCGTGAAGGTGACGACTCTGGGTGGCAACCGCTCGTTCTCGAGCATGGGTTTCGGCCGCAACGACGGCGCTCTCGTCATGAACCTCAAGTACCTCAAGCACCTCAAGTACGACGCGTCCACTGGTCTGCTCTCGTACGGCGGCCCCGTCATGATCTCGGAGGCCGCCAAGTACAAGTACATGTGGGAAGGGTTCAACCGCACGCTGCCCACGGTCGTTGCCCTGATGTCGGTATGACCGGTGTGGCCGCTTTGGGTTTCGGCACTCTGTCGCGCGCCAGCGGTACGGTGCTGGACAACATTGAGGCTGTGCGCGTGGCCCTTGCTAACGGCTCCATTGTGGACGCCAGCGCCAAACAGAACGCCGACCTGTTCTGGGGCGTGCGCGGTGCCGCGAGCTCCATGGGCGTGGTGCTGGACTTCAAGATCAAGACGCTCGAACCTCCGTCCATGCGCGTGACCAACTACACCATCGAGTTCAACGCCAACGCCACGCCGTCGCAGCAGGACAACGTCGACGCCCTCATCGGCACGCAGAAGTGGGCTCTGAGCGCGGACAACGACGACCTGGTGTCCATCCGCTTCAGCATCAAGACGTCGTCCACACTCAAGGGCTTCTTCTACGGCTCGTCCAAGGAGGCCAAGACCGTGCTGGGGTCGCTCATGAAGAACCTGCCGGCGTCGATGAAGCTCACGACCAGCGAGTATGACTTCTGGGCTTCGGAGGACATCTCGACCCCCGGACTGTTCAAGGAGACCATGTCCCCGCGTCGGTACTTCTACATTGCATCGGTCACTCTACCGCGTTCTACCCCGCTGGACAACTCCACTGCTTGGGAGCTCTTCTCCAACACGGCGTTCGTCCCCAAGCTTCCGGACGCTTCGGCCTCTGGCTTCATCGACGTCTGGGGTGGCGCCTACGCCCAGGGTGTTACCCCGGACGCTTCGGCCTGGAAGCACGACGACCGCCTGCACCTGCTCCGTTGGGACATCCGCACGTCCTCGTTCGACCTCAAGTTCGCCGACAGCTCGATCACCACCATGCGCGAGCACTTCTACAAGTTCGTGGACGCCCACAAGGCTGCGGGTGGCGCGCCCGGTGGATTCACGACGTACCGTGACGAGAAGTGGACGGTGGACGAGATGGCCGAGTACCTGTACGGCGGCGGCAACTTCGCCAAGATGTTCAACACGGACCCGCAGGCCATCCCCGCCCTGGCTTAGACGATCCCATAGAACAGAACCTCAGAGCTGGGTTAGCATTTTTTTCGGTGCAAAGAAATCTTTGTCAATACACGTACGTGTACTTCTCTGCTTCACACCAATACGACTCACAGGAGAGTGCGCTGCTCTATTATAAAGAGCTCTTGCATCAACGCTCGGTATCGTGAACGCAGCTCGATTATCAAGGAAAAACTGGCGAGATATAATACAACCGAAACAAATCAAGTAAGTACAATTTCTATATCGTGTCAACATTTAAAGCGCCAGCATCCTAGTGCGAGGCGAAGCTGCGGACGACGGTCTTGCGGTACTGGCGCGTGCGGCTCATTTCCTCTCCATTTGCTACGGCGTCCACGATGGACAGTTCGCCGCGCAGGTCCGTCTCCATCTTGGCCTTGAGCTCCTTGCCCTCAAAGCCCTTGCCCATGAGGTAGGCCAGCTTGGCGATGCAGGCCTCGATCGTCATGTCCAGAGACGTGATCACGCCCATGTTGAGCAGGTTCACGCCCGTAGCGTACGTGTCCAGCTGGGTGCGGCCCTGCACGCACTGGGACGTGATGGTCACGGGGATCTGCGCGTCGATGGCCATCTTGACGAGCCGCAGGAAGCCGTCCTTGCGCAGCGGGGCGTTGCCCGTGCCGTACAGCGCGAACACGAGCGCCTTCCGCTTGTCCTTGTCCTTGGTGGCGTTGTGGCGCTCGATGTACGCCTCGATGCACTCCTCGTCGAAGCCGGGCACCAGGTGGAAGACGCAGATGTTGGTGGACAGGTCGGTAAAGACGCGGAAGCGCGAGCGCGGGTACGGCAGGATGAGCGGCTGGTCCACGATGGCCTCGACGCCGGTCACCGCGAGCGACGGGAAGTTGGGCGAGTGGAAGGCGTCCACCGACATGTTGGCCACCTTGGTGGTGCGGTTGCCGCGCAGCAGCTTGTTGTTCGAGTAGATGCAGACCTCGGGGATGGCCAGCGACGCCGCGCACATTACCGACATGATGAGGTTGCGGCGCGCGTCGCTGTGCGGGAAGTGCAGCGGGATCATGGCGCCCGAGATGACCACGGGCTTGCCCAGGTACTCGAGCATGAAGCTCAGCGCCGAGGCCGTGTAGGCCATCGTGTCGGTGCCCTGCAGCACCACGAAGCCGTCGTAGTCCCAGTACTTGGCCTCGATCTCGCGCGCGATGGTGCCCCAGTCCGAGGGGGACATGTCGGACGAGTCGATGGGGTTTTTCCACTCGCTGACCGTCACGCGCGGCATGTTCTCGAACTTGAACTCGTCCATCTCGCTGATCTTCTTCTCCAGGAAGCCGCTGCTCGGGTGCAGCACGCCGTTCTCATCGGGCACCATGCCGAAGGTGCCGCCCGTGTAGATGACGAGGCAGTGCGAGCGCTCGGCCTTGCCGTCCGTGCCCACGCTCAGCGGCGTGGGCGCGCGCACCGAGCCGGGCGACGCGCACAGGTGCTCCGAGTCGCTGCTGAGCGACACGGCCACGGGGCTCACGCCGTTCTGCTCGCCGTCGAAGCTGGCGCTGAAGCTGTTGCTGACGTCGCGGGTCTTGGACTTGCTCTTCGCCATGGAGATCGAGAGATTGAGAGGGAGGAGGGGCGGGGGCGGAAGGAAGGAGAGCGAGCGAGCGAGCGAGCGGTGCGGCCCACGGAGCGAAAATGCGAATGACGCCGGACGAGTGGAGCTGCTCGGCCACGCACGAGCGGTGGACCCATTTCCACAGAGTCTGTCAAATCTGATGGATAGATAACACCCCCTGAAGTCGTGCTTGTATTGTTCTAGCTTCACGGTTTGAAATGTACTGAGTGGCGCAGTATAAGGATAGAGAGTGTGTGACGAGGTCCGTGTAACGTAGGTGGCCTGGCTATGCCTGCAAGAGACAGGAGGTTGCGGTTGATCCGGGGCGATTTGAGGTCGACCCCCCCTGTGCCTCGACCTGCGTGTTTGCTTGCTCGCGGTGGCTGGACGTGTGCGTCGCTGAGCTTGTCTGCGTTGATTGTGAGGCCAGCCATGCATGTGGGTTGGCATTGGCTTGCTGTGAGGAGACGTTGCTGCAAAGCTATTGAAGAGCATGGTCTGCTGTTGCTGCTGCCAGCGCTGCCGACCAACCATCTGAGCTTGATGGGCTGCACGATTAGAGCAGCAGGTTCCTGCGCTTGTACTGGGGCAGTGCCGGTAAACTTCAAGCGACTTGTTCGCGCAACGCTACGCTTACATACGACGCCTCGGGGACCGCCACCACTGGCCAGCGCGTTTCGGCGGTGTCTTCTCTATCGGCCGGTCGGTGGAGCTCATGAGCGTACAATTAAGCAAGCTTAGCGTCGAGGCGTAGGTGGAGAATACGAAAGCTCGCCTTCCGGGAGACTGTCGACGTCCGTGTCGAGCTAGCCAAGATGGCGTGAATGAAGCCGGGGGATTTGGTGGAGAGTTTTGGTGGGGCTCTCAACTTGGAATGAACGGCACTGATTAAAGCAACATTTAAATGTTGGCGTTGCGTAACATTGAGCGCAACAATGGTGCCTCTGCCTAACATTGCGCAATGTTACGGTATCTCTCGTAGCAGAATATTTGGTTTACCAATCTGACAATAGTGGACAGCTCGACAGCTCGACAGCTCGACGGCACGACAGCGAAGCACGCTGTATCACTCGGGGCGTGCGCCAACAGCTTCCGCCGCTAATGCGGCAAGCGCGTCATGGTGTACGCGCCGAGTCGCCGCCGCCGACACATGCAGCAGGAGAATGGGCTCTACGGGATCTACGCGCAGCTCTACCTGGGCGCCACGTGTTGTCTATTCCTAGCTGGCAGGACACTCTCGCGTTGGCTTTCGCCTGCGGACTTAGCGACGGCACTTCGGGGGGGGCCGCCCCTCGCTCGGGGGGGGCGCCGCTGTGCGGCCTGCCCCACCCCCTCGTGCCTTACGCTAAGTCCTCGGCTCGGCCAGGCGCGGTGTCTAGGAAAAAAATTATCGGGTTGCAGCGCTCGCCTTCGCTCGCTCGCGCAGACCCGCCCCCGCCTGATCGGCGGGTGTTGACGATCGGTGAGCGCGCTCAGCGAGGCTCGCGCTCGCGTTCGCTCGCCCTCCCCCTTTAACCTAACTGCGCTGTTGGCTAGAGGCGCATTAAAAGCGCTTACGCCTGCTTAGAAGGTAGCGCATTCGATTGCATGCAACACGCATCGCACCTGACGCAACGCAACGGACTGGGAAGGCGTTTGCTCCCGCATACGTAGTACACACATGCATATAAGCACCGCAGTAGGACATGCACACATTAGAATAAGGTTGAGCGGGTGACCGCTGCAGACGGTCGCACGACGCGGAGGCGGAGCGAGCGCGCGGGCGCTTGCTTTCTACCGGTAGATTCTGAAATGAGAGCTGTTGTGAGCCAGTCGCTCCAAACATGAAATTTCACGTCTGGAAAATTTACATTGCGTCAATGTTAGCGATCACGCAACATTGGACCCCATCAATGTTATTGATCCCACACGTGAGGCTGATTTTCAATGTTGCTTTAATGACTCTCGGAATGAACGCTGTCCAGTGTCTTGCGGGTGCATGGCGGATATCGGGTATGAATCTTCACTAGTGTTCGCACTTACCCTTACCGGTAAGACTTACCCCGGTTAATTTACGGAAAGTAAGCGGGAACTTTTTTTAGGTTACCGGTGATTGGAGTTAGAGAGTGTGCCCTTCAACCCTCCGTCCGAGCAGTTTGCTCTTTCACTCCTCGTTTTTCGTCTTCCAGTTAAGACATCGCAGCCCAATGTAGAACTTCTCTTCAAGACATACTCATCCGAACGACTCGACCATCATGCGCGTGACTAGAAGTACAGAACATTTGTACAAGTTTTGGTACTCGTTACCAAACCTCGTACTTAGTACAGAACATAACTCTATACCGTAATTGCAAATACAGCCTTCTTACTGTAGCCATTCACGAAGCGGCGTAATTGACACCAATGACGCCCAGTTCCACGGACGTTTCGGCGGGAGATCACCGTAACCAGGGAGGCCCCCAGCCGAAGAAGCCAAAACTGCAGAAGGAGACAAACAGCGAAGGAAGTGCAACACTTAACCCCAACACTTTTTGTCCTAGGATCCAGGACCGAAACTCACTTAAGTACGCCGTATTTAGCAGGGTTTTGTCCTAGAACCAGCAAAAAGGACCAAAAGTGACTTGGGGGTTGTATGGAAGGAAATAAGATCCAGGTAAGTACGAGGGTGTCATGTATAACAAAGACAACAACTGTTCGAGTGGTGTAACGGCTGAAGCCCTATACTGAACTCAAGTCATTTTAAGGAATTTGTCCTAGAATCCAGGACAAAAATGAAATGTAATATGTTATGAATGACACCTTTCAACTGTAGCTAGTGCCGTTATGGAAAATGGTGGACACTACGCATCACAAAGGATTAAAAGTGGGAATCAAAGGCTTTCTCGCCGTACCAATAAGATGGCTTATCTTTCAAAAACAACGCCAGCGTAAGCTTCTAACTTTTGGTCCTTGTTTTTGTCCTTGATTTGGCGTGTGTTGGGGTTAAGATGGAGCAAACAGCAGTCGGCTTTGCCTCCGAAGTCCGCGACGACGCCCCCGGGGTAGCAATCCCGTCATCAAGTGACAAACCACCTCGTGGTGACTGTTTAGCAGGCTTTGGTGCTGTATTTGATACCTGGGGCGAATTATTTTCCTCTCTAAGTGCGTTTGGTGACTCTACTTATCAGTTATTTCGCAAGCGTACATCGACTTCTGTCAAGCTTCGAAATTCCCAGATAGAGAAGCGCTGGAATGCAGCCAAAACACACCGTGCCGAGGTGATGCGGCTCCTCCCAGATACGTTTGAGTACTACAGCGTAACTATGCAGTGTACCCACGGCTTCCAACTGTCACGGAGTTCAAGACCGAAGCTGCCGTCGAGGCGCGCTGCCGTCACGCGTGGACAATGGCGCCGGACGAGCAGCATGTTGACGTGTGGAACATCCGGCTACAGACACTCGACGAGATTGGAAGAAGCCATGACTCGCTGCTTGATGGCAGCGAGTGATGATGGCATTGCATGTTACATCGCGCTGTTGATGATGGCGCTGGACACGAAGCGTAGGACAGAGCGGCGGCGCCACGGGGCGCCTAGGAAGCTTAGTTAGCGAGAAGTTTAACTGCCCTAGCTCAATGAATCATTCTACAACTTACCGCTTCCGGATCACCCCGGGTTGTGCGACACCAACGAACGACTAAAAGGACAGGGAAACGTTTTCACAGCACTAAAGGGGTACGGAGTGCCCCGTCCGTCTAAACGCAACGCTGGCTAGACATGAAGAGTGGCGGCTACAAAGTGTGTGTTTCGCGTGAAGGACTTCAACACAACCACGCCGTCGGCGAACAAATCTACAAGCACTACCCCGAAAGTCGGCGTCTCACCCACGCTGCTCTCCTTGATAAGGTTGACAGCATGGCTCGCAGTGGTGCAAAGGCTCGAGGCATTCAGATTTATCTGAGAGAGTTCACTGGTACGTTTGGGCTCTAACCTAATTTGTTGTGGGATTGAATCGGTAAGACTAACGATGATATTTCTTACCCCACCAAGACAATCATCCGAGTATCAAAGACATTCACAATTTGCTCGCTCGACTGAAAAAGAACCGACGGCAAGCCGGAAGCGACTCTGAACGGGCTGAACGGGCACTGCAAGAGCTATGTTCAACTGACCCTGGTGCTGTAGCCACTTGCTATCTCGATTCTGACAAAGTCGCACAAACCATTGTGTTCCAGACGAGAAAAATGCGTCGTCTCTTTTCCGCCTTTCCGGAGGTACTGACGATCGACACCAACAAAAATCGCTACAAGTTGTTCAGCTTTGTGATTCGTGATATCCACGGAAAGGTACTTATCATGCCATTGCTACCGCCTTGTATGATACAATTGCTTACTGTATTTGTAAATATCTAGGGGTAATACGTGCAACACTCTCTGCTAACCTCTGAGTCGAAAGTCAATATGTCTGAATTCAACATGTATCATGGCGGGCCTGTTGCACATTCGACAGCGGTTTTCAGACGTCGAGATGGTTCATCCTGCGTTCACGCAGTTCGATGATCCTCGCATCCGGTTCGAGGTGGCAGGAAAATGGGGAGTACATGCAGCAAGGCCAGACAGCACGATAGGTGGCGTGCTTCATGCTACCAGCAGTCATTGGACCGCGTTTCTGTCGTTTCCGACGGGCCATCCAGCAAGATTACAGAGCTTGGCGCAGGAGGGACGCAAAGGAGTTCGGGCAGCATTACCTTCATGCATATTTTAGGACTGCATGAAGGCACACTACTCGGAGTCAATCGAGCTGGTTCAAGAGCTGTTTGGCGAAAAGTACCCAGACATCAACTCTTATCGCGACACAGCCACAAAATGTGCGGATGGTATCAACTGTGGTGTTTTGTCTCTTCTCTTCGTTGAGATGAATGCTACGGACGTGATGCAATGGTCGAATGCAGTGACAAAATCGCGCGAATACTTTCGGCTTCGAACGTAGCTGATGTGCGCAACTACATTTTGAGTACAGCTCAAGGCTTAATCAATGTATATCTTCTTTTGGTTTTGTTTGCTACCGCGATAATCCCTAGCTCATGAATACGTTTCCCCCACACTCAACATTGACAGTCATTGCCAGCCATCATTGCTCAGTTGATGTTCGGTAAAGTTATGTTTGGTATGCGTACATACCTATGCATACAAGACGTACTGAACGTGCCCTGGACCGCTCACACTCGTTAGTTCTGTATACTGTTCGGTATAGGCACCATACAAAACATACCAAACGTTCCTACAATGTTCGGTACGAGTAGCCCGCCCGTCCGCGTCTGCGTCCCTGGAGGGAAAACGCGTTCTTTCTTGGCGAAACCGAGTACTTTCCCGTCTAACGCGCATTGCTACTCTCATTTTCACTGTTCCGACCTCTTTTGCTGCCGCTGAGAGAGTGTCGAGCTCCTTTTCGTTTGTATAGTCGAAGCGCCGCAACTGTTTAGCCACAGACGAGGTCGAGAAGCTTGTCTACTTTTTTTTGCTGGATTCAGAGGACGACAAACACTACGTGCGGCGCCTCGTTGAGGGTGATAGCGTAAATGAGGAGGAGGACCACGAAGAGATAGAGGTTGCTGAAGTATGACGTAGCTGAGACCGTCGCCAACAATGACAAGTCCACACAAGTTGATAAAGCTTTGCATTAGTGTACTCCCTAACGCTGACATGTTAGTTGCTATACATGTTAGCTAACTGTTAGTTAGTGTCTGGTATTTTGAGCTAACATGTTAGTAGCGTTAGAGCAAAAGTATGGAGACGAGTATATGTTTGCACCGAAGGCAACCGAGAAGGGCGATGCATCAAACTGAACATAAATACACCCTCAAACTAAGAATTTACCATCCAATCTATAATACTTTGAAGAATCTGCTAACATAGGGAAACATTTGCTGGGTGGAGCTCACATGGGAGGCTGGCACACCACTTATCAGCGCAGACGATGACCGATTTTAAGAGTGAAGACGACTTAGGTGCCTCCTACCTATGTCAAAGTCCGCGGCGCAATATAGACACCCAGACCAGCTAGTAAATACGCTTTCGTACAGATTACTAAGTAATCTCCACATGTACCGATTTCCTCCACTATGCAGTGTAGCTAACATGTGTAGTTTTTAACTAACTGTTAGTTAGTGTCCAGTAGAACCAGCTAACATGTTAGTGGAGTACACTGCTTTGCATGTTTCATATTAATCGACACTTACTCAGTTACCTGTAAATTTACCTCACTTCCGGGAAGTAAGTGGGAACTAAAATCAACTTACAGGTAAATGGAGAACACTAATCTTCATAGCTCTAGCCCCACATGGATTATTGCACAAGAGAGGAAACGATGTCTGCTCAGAAGTTAATCGACTGTGGACTCCCCATGACGAACGACACGAACGGCAAAATACCTGGTATAAGCAGAATGGGAAACAAATCTTTGCTATTGGGTGACAGCCATGAAACCATAAACAATTGACACCAATTTTTGCATAGGTAGAATTGGACGTCGAGCCGGGTTCAGTGTACCTATATCTGTGGAACAGTGTTTGCAAACGCGAGACTCAACGCAGAAAGCACTTATCGAAGAGATACTGGTACATGTAATAAAAAAATGTTTTTCTTCATTTTATTACCTGGTATCTCCAACTACATGCTTCATTTTCAGTTAATGAGGGTACTCTCGGTGCGGCTTGAACCGCAAGGCAAGCCGAGGCACCCCACAAATTAGCCGAGTTGACGGGGAATGACGTGCTCTAGCCAAACAATTTCGTCAGTAGCATGAGTGGTGAACGTGTGGACGAACCGTGCTCCATCGTTCGTTGCCCTCCAGGCAAGCAGCTCCGCCCTCGATCCACCCATTGGCCCCCTTCGATTTGAGCGCGAGTATGCCTCGCAGATGCCCCGCTACGCACAGCATGACGCCACCCAATCATGGGTGTTTGAGCGATCACTGCTTGCAGTTTGTCCACTTCACTGCTGCTTAGATGGTGTCACGCTTGAGCGTCTTCGACACACCATCTCCGCCTGTTCCTCCGCTAGACGGCCCAGGGGGTTGCGTAGATCGATCGAGCTTGCTGTACCTGGGGACGCAGCCTCATCAAGCAGTAGATACGAATACATAGCAGAGCACGCTTCAGTCTTCTTCCGGTTAGCTCCCTAAGGCAGCCACTTGTGCCATCGCGCGCCCCACAATAAATAGCGTTGGCGCTGTCGATGCACCCCGGACGGCGGGCCCGATGAGCCGGTAAACCCCTTCGTTGGTGGCAGGTCTTGTCTCCTTGACCCGCCCGTATCGCTGTGCCCCCTGCCAAGAGCTGAAGTTCTGCGTCGCCTACTTGCGAGCGCACGTCGTCGAATCGCTCAGCGCTGAGCGAAAGACCGAATGAAGCAGCTCACCTACTCGACCTCCTCGACACTACCGCTTGAACCGTGCACCCAGATTTAGACTTCCGTTGGCCAGGTCGCTGGGACAAGACAGACAAAACAAGCCCGAGGAGGCTGTTAACAGCATCATGGACTCGTCGTCCTTGGGAAGGAGCTTGTCATCTTGTCGGACTCGTTCCCTGATGCGATCTTGTGTGTTGGAGTCGTTGTGTAGTGGGCCTACTTGGCTCACTACTACGGCTTACACGTGTGCGCACGTGTATGAGGAAGCGTAGGTTTCTTTTACTTGAGTTAAATATACTCGAGATCCACAAGTATACTTTAAACAAGATAAAGGCTCTAAGTAGCGGGTTTTGGTAAAGATGAGAACTGTTATTTGTGATTTATGCTTTGGCTTCCCCTAAATGTAATATTCTAAACTAGGAATCTGCCAACGGCTGGTTGGCAGGATTCCGCTAACATGCAAGTCGCTCATTGGCTAAAAGGTGCTGCTTTCAGCCAATAGGAATCCTAAATGTGTATGAACCACCCGTCGTGGTGGTCCCAAATGTATGTAGCCATTGGTGTACCTTACACCAAGGTCGAAAAGTCTTTCGAACCTCTAACAGACGTCGTGTCTGTTAGGGTTACAAGTGGCTGTAGAGTCAACTTCCTGGTTTTGGCTCACGAAGAAAAGTCCCGAATAGCAGAAGTCCATGACAGCCAGCAAGCGATTTCCGCTGCCGGATACTTCGACGTTACATGTACAGTGCATCTGCATGTATCATGCATGTGTTCAATGTACCGTAGGCACTGATTAACATGTGAAGTAACATTGAAATGTTGGCTCTGCGTACCAATGAGCGCAACAAAGGTGCCTGTGTATCAAAAATGCTACCTACAACTGCTTAGCATGTATTCGGGTGAGTGCAACTAGCAGGTCTGAGAGCCGCCTTCGAAAGATAATGGAAACGGGAATTCGGCAAAGGAACAAGGACCATAGGAGCTGGTGTCCCGGCTCGACAACTCTAGACGTCCTACGGTTAAGAACCCCCGAATATTCATACCTTGTGATTTTGAATTGCATATTACTATGAGGGGATAATAATTAGATATACTCATCCAGAGTTTATATGTGTAGTATTCCTGATGAGCGGTCTTAAATGAGCGGTCTTAACAAGGGATTACTACCATATTGTGAAACGCGGAAGGAATGTCCACGCCTTATAAGCTATCACATTTATCCTAATCGGATTTTAATTTCAGGGTATAAAACTAGCTGCAAAGCGAAATCGGCTACCAAATACGAGTGTGTAATCCTGATTGGACAAGCTGGCGAGACTCTGTCTAATTTAGCGTCGGCGGCTAAGAGCTACAGAGACGCCTTTGGGCCAATATAGCCCGAAGTTTGGAGTCGTCCATGCCAACAAGGCTCCGACCGAGTTGACTATCTAGTGCACTGCCTCTAAATGCTTTGGCACCTTCCATATTGCACGCTACAAAGCTGGCGGCTTACATCGGCACCTACAGAGCTATAATTATTTAGCTCAAATAGCTCGGAATGCCGACTCCCACGGCGACATTTCGCCTTATTTACAAACAAATCTGTTGCGAATCGGATTAACCACATGAGCCTGCTTGCTAATCGCCATGATAATTCCTAATCTAAAATAGTCTAATTAGGAGATCAGTCGAAATAACAGACCGCGACAGCATCGAGAGGTGTTTTTGCTATAACTTTTCCGGATTACATGCAATTTGACCCAAATTTTCAGAGCTGCTTTGGATTGTGCTGTATAATATGCGGGAAGAGCTATGGATAGACCGCGTCTTGCGACAGAGCAGCAAGGGCACATTTATCGTCACCTACCCACACCTGTATATTATCCAATGATATCCGGCTATTTTGACTGGATAAACTTGTACCCCGCCAAATTAGATATTGCCTACAGTATCAGTTTGTCAGATAAATTGGGGTTACCGTAACCTAAATATGGGTTGTGTAGTTCGATGACAACTGAGCCACTTTACCGCTCCAAAGCAAGCACGCTGGTATCGAGATGCCTCCTTCCAAAAGAGCGCGAACTGAGACTCCTGACGCCGAGGCGGAAATCATCGCAGAAGCTCAAACTTACACAACAGATAACCGCGGCAGAGCTCTCACGCTCCTGGAACGTATTGAAGTCCTCATCGTCACAGCCAACTTGAAGTCTGGCGCTATGAAATTTCGTCAGAAAGAGCCACTCGCAGTCAAAGTTGGCCGTCTGTTGTCGCGCTCAGCCAACACAGTCCGTCAGATTTGGAATGACTTTGCCAAGTATCGGTCTCTACCCGTGGCATCGGCGCCATCTAACCTTGATCAGAAGCCGTCCCGTATATTGGCGACTGTTGATATGGAGAGGTCTGTGCGCGAGTTTATTCGTGAGCGCAGCGCGATTCGTGAGGGCACGGTAGCCAAGGACGTCATGCACCACCTCATACAGCAAGAGTTGTTAGTCGTCGACGTCACCGACAGTGCCGCTACGGCCTCAGCGCTCCGCACCGTCCAACGCTTCCTAAAACGATGTGGTTTCAAGCGGGGAAAGCGGAAAGGGTCGACATATCGGTTGTCACCTGCAAACGAAGCTAAGCGCGATAGCTACGTGCAGATTATGGCATGTGAAAGTGCCGATCGCGTTCGAACGGTTTATCTCGACGAAAGTTATATACATCACAACTACTCCAGTCATAATGACTCCCTTTATGACCCGACGGACCCCAACGTGATAAAGGAGAAACAAAAGGGTCGCCAATTTTGCTTCATCGCTGCCATTATCGACAAGGACCGTAACCTCCCGGATGCTGATCATACTGAGGCTGACAAAGCACAGTTTTTGCCGGAGACGCTTGACATTTTTGAGGGAGGCAAGCAAACTAAGGATTATCACGGGATGTTCAATCATGACAAGTTCAAACATTGGATTGAAACGCTGCTCGTTTGTCTGGAAGACCGCCAACTACATCACTGCCGCATCGTGATGGATAACACAAAATATCACAAGAAGTTGCCGCCCAACACCCCCCGAAAAGGGAGTCGGAGATCCGACATGCAGGCTGCTTGTAAGTTGTATGGCTTGCCTTACGCTGAATCTGATACAAGGGCGATCATGTGGGAAAAGTTGTCACGGCACATTGCTGAGCACGTAGAGCCAGAGATTGTGACTATGGCGAAGAAGAAGGGCCACGAAGTAGTGTTCACGCCTCCACACTACTCTGATTTACAGCCGATTGAGTATGTGTGGGCAAATGTAAAGGGAGAAGTTGGGCGCCAGTACACCAAGGATACTACATTCCAACAGGCCAGAAGTGGGCTTGATACAGCTTTCAAAACTTTGTCGTCGAAAACTGTTCAAGGCTGCATTGACAAAGCAAGAGCCCACTTGGTGGATCTGAATGCTCAGATCAAAAGTTATGATAGCCGCAGTGAAAACGAGGATTCGGACAGCTCCGAGACGAAAGCAGTGCTAGTGATGACTACACTAGCTAATATTTTAGATAGCCATAAGTAAGTCTAGACACTGATTCTAAGAAATATGATCCGATACATTTGTAGCCCTGTACGTCATCTTTCGATCTATCGGTGGAAGAATGAGGATAACGAGCATCCGTCCAGAGTATCATTTCTCTACGATCATGACTCTGCGACTAATCCGCTGCCTTATCATTGGCCGAGAAAAATCATAGGGGTGGTAATGATTGGCCCAAATGCAAGGCCGATTTATAATCAGCGCACATATTAAGGGGTGGTTATTATATAAATCAGGGAAAATTGGACTGCTGTTTCTGTGGAAACGACGCCGTGCTAAACCGTGAGACGCACATTTTCGCAATCAGGGAAGCGAGGCGGTTTTTGTGATACCAAAACATGTAGGGGTTAGAAAAAACCTCTCGATCGTGTCGTGGACTGTAAATAAGACTTCGAAGTCTAAATTAGCCAAAACCTTGACCGATTTACCATCCGATCAGACATTCGGGGTGCCGATCACAATACATAGGGGATTGTCCTGTTGATCCGTTTGGCCTGTCTCCATTAGAACTCAAACCAAGTAGGTGATCTATTGCGAAATTCGTTGTTGTATTTGTGCCCACTCAGTGATTTGGTTCGTTGAAAAGTGAAATGGTGGGGAAAGCAACAAAGCAACGGAGATTTGATATTTCCGAAGTCACTCAGTATTTTACGACCATACTCGGTTCTAATCGAGTGCATGGCACACACAAAGTCGCTTAATCTCTTTTTTCGGGTAGACTACTTAGACTCACTTATTTAAGATGCTAAACACTGTCGCGTCATTATCATCCCTCCTGCACCTGCTCCTTCGATGTCGCGACGGATGTGGAACATGCTGCGGATGAGTACCGCAACGGTTGCGGTCACGCTTCTTCGCATCGAAGCTCGCGGCAGGCTAGCAGCAGACGCACGCCGTGCAGACTGGGCTTCATTGAGCTGAGATAACCAGGCAACTGTCGACTGCTTCTTCGCGGGGCGCTCGAGCTCCACTGTATGCAGGCATGTCGTTTGATAGTTAACCAGGCTACTTAAGTACATGTACACAAGTGGACTCGGCGCCTGTCGGTGATGTCGAGACCGGCGCCAAGTAAGGCCAGAAGTGTCTAGTTTGACCGACAAGTACAGCGTGCTGGGTGGTTGCGAAGTCATTGAGCATTTTCCCAGGTCTATTGTGAAATTTCCGATATAGCGCCAAACTACCGATTAGATCAATCCTACGCCCCGAGCTAAGCTATTCAGACTTGCTAAAGTATTAGCGAGGATCGCCTTCAATAGCGAGAAGATAATCTCGGTTGGAACGACCACAGTCTTCGACAAGTGTATCATAGCAAAATCGTGTAGTGCTAAGAGTCTGACAGAGCGCTGACGAACTCGTTTTAAGGTCTATTGTAGAATTGTTGGATTTGCTGTTACTGCCTTGTGCTGTCACAGGGGCGTTCAGGCTCAACGTGATGACCACCGTGATCGACGACCACAATCGTGCAAGGGTGCCTGGATTTGTTCACCTCAACTCATAAAGAGTATTTTTGAACTGTACATGTACAGTAATCTGCCCGAGTAAGGAACGCCTGATATATATAAAGACGCAGAATATATAAATTGATGTTAAGTTGAGTATACTTTTCCAATGTACTGATTTAATTATTATTCAAAATGAACCGAAGAGCAGCTTTACCTACGAGTCCGGAATGATTCCAACAGTGGCGTATGGTCGAAGCACTAACCTTTGACCAGGCATCCTCGCATCACAACAGCGCTGTCAACTGGTCGACCTCGTAGGGATTATCTAGCCCTTCACCTTGTCGAGGATGCCCACTTTCTCAGACCAAGTGAGGCGGAGACGCTTGGACGGTGTAGACTTCATGGGTGGAGTGGGGGAGGAGGTGGGCTTGTGGGGCGAGGTGCAAAAGAAAAAGTGCGAGTCTACCACTACGGTACATGTAGTTTGAAGTCTAGTAAGATCGCTAAATGCGCGCCATTTTTCAAACGAGGGTGGAGAGCTGATGATTGGCACTGGATTTTTCACCTCAGAACATGCAGTACCTTGCACATCCCCCTATCGCCACATCGACTGGAAAAAATATTAAATATGCGAGGCTATTAGTTATACACCCGTTCCTTATTCGAGCAGAATTCTGTATTGGTGGGTTTGGAACCACTTCGACGCTTCACGAAGTGACGGGCGAGAAGGGGAGCGAAGCCCCTCTTCCCGAGCGCCAGACATAGGTACATGTTGAATAGTCAGTCTGCAATTTCCTCAGTAGCTTTCACCCGCATCTCCACGCCCCGCGACACAACACGAAAAACATTTTTTCCTGTTGGAATCGGTAATCTGAACTCTCCTCCAGTAGAACTGTACTACAGGCGTCCCCGGCCTATTCGCCACAGTGGTACTTGTGATGTTTGCGAATCAACAAGATTCACGTGGTCTGAACATAGATGAGTATGTATTGAGTTACTACAAGCTTAGCTCAAGAATACGGTGGAGGTATTGATGCAACGTGCCACTTGTCGCAGTAGATCTCGCTGTACACTCCTCTAAATCAATATGTTTGCAGAAGTAGCGCGCAAATCTTGAGAGCTTGTTGTACTTCCTGTGCGAGGTACATTAAAATATACAGCCGGGACTAGCCCGGGGACGCCTGTATAGTGGCACTTGGTTTCTTAATTACCCCAACCAAAACGATTACTGATTTCGTCCATGCATCAGTTCGTTGGCGAGTCCCTCTAAATCTTACAGTATCGGAAACCCGATGCCACTGACTACATGTATTGTGCCTTTCTGTCGTTTTGCCATCCTTCAGAGATAGCTCCGGAGGGGTTCCGAGCATAGATTGGTCTTCCTAATCTGAAAGACGGACCAGTAAAAATTGGCTTAATTAAAGGCTGTCCTGATTGGATGAAACATGTGACTGGACAGCCGACAAACAGTCCAACTCTCGCCGGCTCAAGTGCAAGCGCAACCGCCCGCTCTCGCGACCAGACCCAATCGCGTGCGTACACTCCAACACCAACGTAGCTCAACGGCAGAGTCCCGCTTGCGGGGGGCGGAGGTTCGATTCCTCCCGTGGGTATTACTACGTGACGCGTGTGTGGCGTCTGGTTCGAGCTGAGCAACAGCCGTATACAAGCGGTAAGTGACTCAGCAGCGGATAACTACAAATGCAAATCAGCTTGCGGTTGAGGGGTGATATGCTCGATATTGTATTCGTGTGATTGTGGCCTGTGTGTGCTCAGATACATAGGAGGCGAGGACGAGCGCAGCTGATGGCGCGACGCAGCCTGCGCTGAGAGGCAATGTGCGAGTGGTTGTGGGCTGTGTGTGCCTATCCGCAGATGCAGTGAGGGTGAGGGTGGGCGCGATTAAAAGGCATGTCGGTGCGCATGTGACTTGCGACAAGGGTAAGCACAGCTGGTAATGCGGAGCAGCAACCATTGGGAGTCAGTGTATGCGCCTTTGGCTTGATGGTGTGTGTGCTTCTCGATTGTGCGCTTGCTTTGCTCAGACATAGGAGGTCCCCTTCCGATTCTAGATCTCTACTGCTGAGTCAGGATGCTAGCCTCGTGACGCGACTCCAATGCAGAGCGAAGCTATTACGGTGAGGCAAGCAGGAGTTCCTAAGGACCACAGCGAAGCTTAGCCAACTGCTACCTACGAGAGGGTTGGACAGCCCACAGCGTCTGGTATCACGGATCTAGAAGAAGTGCAGATGCCGTAGCGGCATCCGGATGGGGGAATGAGACAAGAAGCCTATGCCTTTAGATGGATGAATGCACGGCACACAGCATTGCAGCTCGAACAATGTCTAGCTCAGGGAGCGCTGCAGTTCAGTCTGCTTTCGCCATTCGCAAAAGTGCTTGCTTGGAGAGCGGTGGACATGGAGGGTCTTCCCCTTCCCGAATCGCTAACCTGTCGTCTCAGCATCAAGAATGGTGACCCCCTTGAGGCATGTCGCGACAAGGTCCCCCCCGTCACCGACATTCGTGTACACGATCGCATCGGGCTATCACGCACTGAGCGCTAAAGTCCAAGAACATTTTGAGAGCAAATTTCCCGGCCAATGGAGACCTGAGTTTGATATCTATCTCAAGCCAAACAACAATGCAAAGCAGAAACATTTCGAAGTCATGTGTCAAGAAGATGTGGCGCTTCTTGCTCAGCTAAAAGAGGTCTGGTACAGGGCAAGACGAAGACGCAATGGGCAGGCCGGGTTCGAGCTTGAGGTATTTGTATACGTTCCCAAGCCCGAGGCACAAACGTCTCTTCGACGGGCAAGTGCTGCCCGAATCCAAGAGCAGATGCCCCGCGTGGCAGCGTTTCTGAGAGAGCACCAAGTCGAAGCGGGGCCAGCTTCGCGGAGATACATGGCTGTGACCCAAGCCCGTCTTCCTGAAGGAACGCCGTTAGCGGTACCAGACAGCGCTACCTTTCACCAGCGTCAGCATGTAGACGCTCAGCAGTCGGTCATGGATCAAGCCCTGGAAGCAGAGCAACTACTGAGCGCCAGCGAGTACCGAGTAGTGCGTGTCAAGCTTCATGGAGTGCCCGTCCCATTGCAAGTTAATGTCGGAGACCTGTGTGAGGCGCTCGGACTACCAAATTACAGCCTACGACCCCCGTTTCGGCCTCCAACGAACATTGAAACGCCGGTCCCTGCCACTAATATTGCGGACGAGGAGCACAGAGACCCGAATGTCGAATCGATGGAGCAATAAGAGGAAAACCACACACATTCGAACGAGCGTGTGTACTAGATTAGCTTGTTATCGCTAAGTCATTTGGTTTGTATCCGCAATGACTATATAAGTTTTGCCCCACTTCTTCTTTCTGTCTAGTACACTTGTACATCGCTACATTCAGCACGGCAAGTGGGTCTTCGCGAAATGCCATGTTGGCGTGCCGCTGAATCCAGCGCTTTAGGAGGGAAAACCCCACTTCAATCGGGTTCAGGTCTGGCGAATACGGGGGCAAAAAGAATAATAAAGCCCCTGTTGCGTGGATGAGCTCTTGTAGTTCCTTGTACATGTGGATCTTGACATTGTCCATGACGACAATTGAGCGCAGCAAAGGCCATGGGTTGAGGAATGCGAGGATTTTTTCCTTAAGCACGTTATGGAAATCAACACGCGTGAACGTACCCTCCACATTGCCCCACCCAAAGAAGCCCTGCACGTCTATTGCGGCCAAAATGGACACTCGTTTTCCCCTACTAAACGGTAGGGTCACTTGTGCAGGGGTTTTCCGGGTTGACCAGCCATACCGACGAAGAAGAGATCTAGCGAGCATTAAGATAGGCATCAATTTGGTTACGTCAGTAATTCCCAGTAATAAAACTTCAAGTATGAAATATACCTTCCATCCTTGGACGTTTCGTCAATGAAATCGAGCTGGTCGGGGCCACTATAGAAGGGCAGAAGCCGAGCGCCATACTCACGGCGCTCACTAGGCACACATTCTCGTGCCCGCTTTGTGAGCACCTTCGTGGTTAGGTTGAGGTCGAAGCGAAGTGCTCGGCAGATAGTTGAGTCCGACAGGCTGATCGTGTCTCGGAAGTTAGCTCGCAGCTCGAGGCGCAGCTCCTCGAAGTAGAAGCAAGGGTGGTTTTGTAAATACGATCGTACAAATGCACACACCTCACTTGGCCATCTTGACGTCTTGGCCCTTGGTTCATTCTTCAGTACGTTTCCTGTCGTACGAAAGCGACGGTACCAGCGGCCTAAACTACGCACCGATAGACCTAGAACACTAGCTACTGTCGCTGTGTCTATGGAATATACGTACATGAGCACGATCCCTCTCCAACGCATGTCAGTTGAGTTGGTCATCTTTAACTCTTCTGTAGCGACGAAAACCTAAAACGACCGGGCGAGTGTCGGCAGTGTATATAATTGGAGGAAATTTGAGAATTCCGCTACTGTGACTGGGTAAAATTTGATGTTATTTTAAGTACGAGGGTAATTCGTGGTGCCAATCACCGTCAAAACAGACGTAATAACCTAGCCCTCTCTCTAAGCGAGCACTTTCCGAAGTCCGATTTGCCAAAAGAAGTGAAAGGCACAATACATGTAGAACACTTCGAAGTGCTTGGCAAGCACTTCTTCCTGTTCGTATCACGAGTTCGTAAGCAAGTCGTAAGCAATGATCGTAGGCAAGAAATTGTTTACTCGCGGCAGAGTAAACGGCTGCGAAAATACAATCCTGTGCATGCACAAGAGTGTAGCATGAAGCTATATAATTGGAGGAAATTTGAGAATTCCGCTACTGTGACTGGGTAAAATTTGATGTTATTTTAAGTACGAGGGTAATTCGTGGTGCCAATCACCGTCAAAACAGACGTAATAACCTAGCCCTCTCTCTAAGCGAGCACTTTCCGAAGTCCGATTTGCCAAAAGAAGTGAAAGGCACAATACATGTAGAACACTTCGAAGTGCTTGGCAAGCACTTCTTCCTGTTCGTATCACGAGTTCGTAAGCAAGTCGTAAGCAATGATCGTAGGCAAGAAATTGTTTACTCGCGGCAGAGTAAACGGCTGCGAAAATACAATCCTGTGCATGCACAAGAGTGTAGCATGAAGCTATATAATTGGAGGAAATTTGAGAATTCCGCTACTGTGACTGGGTAAAATTTGATGTTATTTTAAGTACGAGGGTAATTCGTGGTGCCAATCACCGTCAAAACAGACGGGCTTCGAAGTGCTTGGCAAGCACTTCTTCCCGTTCGTATCACGAGTTCGTAAGCAAGTCGTAAGCAATGATCGTAGGCAAGAAATTGTTTACTCGCGGCAGAGTAAACGGCTGCGAAAATACAATCCTGTGCATGCACAAGAGTGTAGCATGAAGCTATATAATTGGAGGAAATTTGAGAATTCCGCTACTGTGACTGGGTAAAATTTGATGTTATTTTAAGTACGAGGGTAATTCGTGGTGCCAATCACCGTCAAAACAGACGTAATAACCTAGCCCTCTCTCTAAGCGAGCACTTTCCGAAGTCCGATTTGCCAAAAGAAGTGAAAGGCACAATACATGTAGAACACTTCGAAGTGCTTGGCAAGCACTTCTTCCTGTTCGTATCACGAGTTCGTAAGCAAGTCGTAAGCAATGATCGTAGGCAAGAAATTGTTTACTCGCGGCAGAGTAAACGGCTGCGAAAATACAATCCTGTGCATGCACAAGAGTGTAGCATGAAGCTATATAATTGGAGGAAATTTGAGAATTCCGCTACTGTGACTGGGTAAAATTTGATGTTATTTTAAGTACGAGGGTAATTCGTGGTGCCAATCACCGTCAAAACAGACGTAATAACCTAGCCCTCTCTCTAAGCGAGCACTTTCCGAAGTCCGATTTGCCAAAAGAAGTGAAAGGCACAATACATGTAGAACACTTCGAAGTGCTTGGCAAGCACTTCTTCCTGTTCGTATCACGAGTTCGTAAGCAAGTCGTAAGCAATGATCGTAGGCAAGAAATTGTTTACTCGCGGCAGAGTAAACGGCTGCGAAAATACAATCCTGTGCAAACCCTACCGGACAAGGACAGTTCGCGTGCACGCGGCTGTTGCTACAGTAGCCAGTGGCTACCAGCCACCACTTCGATGCTGTTTCGACATCGCGAAGCCCAGCCAAAGGATAATCCTGTCGAAAAGGGAGACAAACAGGTGCAGTAAAAGTTTCTTCGAAGCTCACTTCGGAATTTGAGTTCTCAACCACATCGCCTCAAAAACTAATCCAACCATGCGCTTCCTGTTCCTGTTGGTTGCGGTCGCCCTCGCCTCCGCTGAGGCTGCTGAATCGGCTGCTATGATCCATGAGGAGGCCGGCGTCTCTAGTTTCAACACTCTGACTGGCGGCAACCAGATCCAGCGCTCCTTGCGTGTTTATCTCGGCGCGAATGAAGAGAGAGGTGTTGGTGGTGTGAAACTAGAAAACATTCTTACGATCTTTGTACAAAGGGCCAAAGCAAAACTTCCACAAGGCTTCACCGCTGCAGCTCTCGGGAATTGGAAGGGCTTCTCACGTCGCGTGGATACTGTCATGGAACATTACCCTAAAGGTCTCAGCGAGAAGGCAATAAAGGAGTTGAGGACCGCTGAAACGAAGAGATTCACAGACTACGCTATGCTTGGGCCATCGGACAAGTATAATCTGCTCCGACCAATGCAAGGTGTTGATGAGGCGATGATAGCTCCAAACCTGGTATCTTTGACGGGTCGCAAAAATCAAGTGCTTGGGGACGCTGGCGGTCGTAGCGTGGTATGCAATGTGGTCATGAGGTCCGAGGCCGAAGGCGGCGGCATTCTTCTCATTTCGAGCTCAAAACTTGACAAGCAAGACTTTATTTTGCCCAAGGGGGGGCTGGAGAAAGGTGAAATAGCTTATGGGGCGGCGAAGCGTGAGGTCCTGGAAGAAGGAGGGGTACGGTATCGTTCAGACATTTTTATTTTTTACAGGTGGTCAGTATTAACGCTTGTGATGGCTCTGCAGGTTAAAGTCAAGAAGTTAAAGGAGTTGGGGGTCACGCTAGTGGGTGACAAGACTTACGAATCCTTCTTGATGAGAAGCAAAAAGGTCTACGAACAGTGGTCGGAGAGCAGACGCTTGCGCGTTTGGGTACGTGAGTGTCAATCGATCGAGATTCCTGGGGAAACGCAGCTAACAGTACGATTGTTGTTTAATTAGCTTCCCTGGGATGATGCCATCTTGTTGCTCAAGGCCAACAAGCACGACGAAATGGTCGAGATTGTAAAACAAGCTCGCGCGGCGGCAGCAGCTAAAGCGGCGTAGTATGTCTTCTCACTGCTGCACCCCGCCTGAAAAGTCTTGAGTGAAGACATAATTGCCATTTTCAAAGCAGGAATAGAGAGATTTCACTTGAAACTGTCTTCTACTATTATAGTTTATTCGCAAGGAAGTGAAATCTGTGGACGACAAACTATCGTATTGAGCTTGGGCGGGCTTTTGCTGACACCAAAAATAGCGGCCAAACGTGTGCTAGTACTATGAATACGGTACTTTCGACTCAGACAGACTTCAGTTCCACCCATATCCCGCAGGTCTTGATGAGTACTACTTCACTCACTTCCGCTACAAACTGGCACATTAGCACCAAGCGCGGGCACGCACTGCTAAAAGTTCAAGGCAAGAGACTTGTCGATGCGTGGTATTCCCTGCAACTCACTCACTACGGAGGTAGATATTCCACTGAGCGGATGCTGCCCTCGAGGAACATACTGTACTGTAACCGCACCACGTCGCTGATTCGTGTGGCCCTGGTGAGCATCGGAGTCATTTCCTTGCTTGTCTCAGGCCTGGAAAGCGTACCGCTTGAAGCGGACCCGGCAGACGGATGGAGAGCAAACTGCGGGTTATGGATCCGAGGGGGGGGGGGGGTCGTGGAGCTGTGATTGGATACGCCGGGGGTTGCCAGCTCGTGCACGATCTGTCCTCGAGGCAGCTAGTGATATTCAGCACTTTGAAGGCTTTTGGTGTTGTTGCGATCGGCATGGCGGCAACGGAGCTCTGGGTGTTTCCCGTACCGTTCTTCACTCTTGCGCTTTCGATAACCTGGCCGATATCCGGATACTGCTCGTGGGGTCATTGTGGGGTTTAAGAAAATATGTTCTCGACGTGATCAACTTCGCCGAGTGAACAAAATCGGTATGTTGCAAAGTTTCTTGTGTGCAGCGTATCCAGCCTACCAGGTGCTGTTCATCGCGGTGAATCATACCCATTACGAAGTGCCCGTTGTGCTGTTCCTCTCCATTTTCAAGCTCGTGATGAAGACTTTGTTAGCAAAAGCTGCATCGCACAGAGAAGACATTGTACCGGCGGAAGTGAGGTTCACGGCGGATTTTTTCGATGCCTTCTATATCGCCACATTCATGCCAAAGCTGTCTTGGAGAACGCTGGCAGCACTCCTGGTCATCCATTATCTACAATCAGTGATTGAACTGCGTGACCTTCACCAACGAACTCGAAGAATCTCAGCCCGTCTTCACGAGGTATCTGGCATTTCATTTCAGTGACACGGAGGGCGACCTCCTCACTAAAGTACGCTCCGTTCGTTGTGCTACAACGCGGAACCTCTTCAGATTCGTGTGTATTCGTCGATCGTCCCAATTGCTAGTGACATATTGTAATGCGAAATTTTAGATGTCCGATATTCTACACTCCACGACAAAAAGATATGGTAGCATATCATCAAATCTCCGACCGCACTTAAGATGATAGGTATACAAATCCCCAGTCAAGCGCGGTCGGAGCATAACAGTATTACCCTACCCCTTCCCAAAGTGTTATGCATACACAGTCCAAGATAGATTAGTCGTCCCGTTTGCTCATTGGTCGGAGCCTTGGGATGGATGGCACGGAGCGAGCGTAGCGAGCCCCCGCCTGCGGTTTGCCAGTCCGTGTGCGTAGCACGCGGCTGCAACCAGGACCCAGTAGTGCTCTACCTAGCAAGCGGAGGCGACGCGTGCGAGCCGCAGCGGGCTTAGGGTTCTGGCCCAGCGAGCGCAGCGAGCCTTTAGGGGTTTTAGCGCGTAGCTGGGTGATAGTTAAAGGTGACCCCCCTCCTATCCGCATGTTTTGTGTACGAGTCGGAGAAAGTCGGAGGGTCGGAGGTTTTTGGGTATGGACACCACCAAAAGTGGCTGTAACTTCGTCATTTTTTATCGTTTTAAGGTGCGGTTTGGACTAGAGTCGCAGAACACGCTGATAAAGATCTGCACGCTGCTAACACGCGCGCTTTTGCGCTTCTTCAGGTAGCTCACATACAAATCACTGATTCTGCCCAGGTGACAAAACTTATGGACAGCTAATCCCCATACAAAATCCTATATTAACCAAAACCCCTTACAAATGATACAACTTGGACTTTGTATGGGGCGACAAAGGAACCAGCCTCACGGCGATACTCGCGACGTTAGACAAATATCTGATGGCATTATCGTGTACTAGAAGGTGTGTTTAGTGATCTGTAATAAACACATCGACTAGGATGCAACTGAAGGTGTCTCGCAAATCGTCAGATAATACAGCCACCACTCGAAATTTCAGTCGCTTACTACTTGCTCAGTTTTGTGCGATGGTCGATGTGTTTATTACAGATCACTAAACACACCTTCTAGTACACGATAATGCCATCAGATATTTGTCTAACGTCGCGAGTATCGCCGTGAGGCTGGTTCCTTTGTCGCCCCATACAAAGTCCAAGTTGTATCATTTGTAAGGGGTTTTGGTTAATATAGGATTTTGTATGGGGATTAGCTGTCCATAAGTTTTGTCACCTGGGCAGAATCAGTGATTTGTATGTGAGCTACCTGAAGAAGCGCAAAAGCGCGCGTGTTAGCAGCGTGCAGATCTTTATCAGCGTGTTCTGCGACTCTAGTCCAAACCGCACCTTAAAACGATAAAATATGACGAAGTTACAGCCACTTTTGGTGGTGTCCATATCTTTTTGTCGTGGAGTGTACCATGGCGCCGTGAGTGTCACCACCAATTTTTAGCCGATAAATGAATCACCCGCGATTTGCACCTTAGATGGAGGAAAACTAAGGAATGACATGAAAAAGTGTTATTTTCTTCACGTTAATAGACTCAGAGTGGAAAATTTGTGATCACTACCGTGTTTGGTAGCTACAGTATGTGTCCTCCCTCTTAGGGGCTGTTGAGTGCCCGCTTACTCCACTGCCACGACCTTGAAGGCCGAGATCGCAGCCGCATTGTACTGGCGAGTGCCGCTGCCAGTCTTGAGGTAGCACTCGCTCTGGCCGTCGTTGTTCTTGTTCACGAACGTGAAAGCGAAGCAGTCCGAGTCCTTAATGCACGCGTCGCAGCACGAATCGGGCAGCAATCCCTTCTTCACACTCAAGTCGTCTCCATAGAAGTCCACGCCGACCTCGACCGTTGGGCACCACTCGGGAGCAGCAACTCACTGGTAGTAGCCAGGATTCCACGGCTGGCAGAAGGCGCCATCCGGGCAGCAACCCGATCCACTGTTGGCATTGCCACACGAGTCTCCCACCTTCGCAGGGCACAAAGGCTCGACAAAGTCCTTGTAGGCGGCCGACACTGCACCTTTCTTCGCGATTCGCCCCGCCGTTGAAGACTTGAGGTAGCACGCGGTCTTGCCGTCGGGGTTCTCGTTCACGAAGGTGTAGGCAGCACATCCGCTGGTGCTCGCGCACCAATTGCAACACTCGTCCGGTTGAATACCGAAGATGGTCTTGAGGTCGTTGCCGTTGTAGTCGATGTTGGTCTCTTGGTCAGGGCACTGGTCCGGTTTGTCGATGCACTGGTAGTAGCCAGCGTTCCACGGCTGGCAGTACGTGTCGTCCGGGCAGCAGGTCGTACCGGCGTTTGAGTTGCCGCAGCCGTCCCAGAGCTTCGCAGTGCAGGTGTCGTTGGAAGGCACAAAGTCCTTGTAGGTGGCGGATACAGCTCCCTTCTTCTCTACGCGCCCGGCAGTCGAAGACTTGAGGTAGCACGAGGTGATGCCGTCCGGGTTCTCATTCACGAAGGTGTAGGCGGCACACCCGCTGGTGCTCGCGCACCTATCGCAGCACTCATCCGGTCGCACCCCGCGGATGGCCTCGAGGTCGTTCCCGTAGTAGTCGATGTCGGTCTCTTGGTCGGGACAGAGCTCCGGCTTGTCGAGACATTGATAGTAGCCCGAGTTCCACGGCTGGCAGTAGCCGTAGTCGCAGCAGTTGATCTCTCGGGAGCGAGAGCTGTCGCCGCAGGGGCCGCCGATGGTGTTCTGGCAGCGGATGTGGAACTGTGCCGAGGATGCAGTCGTCCAGCCAGCCAAGAGTGCAGTCACCGCCGAGACTTTCATGGTCGTGGGGTCGAGGCTTGATCACTTGGTCGACGCGGGGAATCGAGGAATGCGTCGGCGCGGGGCTTTGACCCTGGTGTTACTTACTACCTAGGCCACGAACGGGCACGCTTATGGGTGCGTGGTAGCTGGACTTTATCGAAACGAACAGCAAATACCTGGACTTGAAGTTGGAATCCACGCTATGCTTCAAACCAAACTTTGGTTCCGATGTTGTGGGTATCATGTCAGCTTATATTTCCACGGCATGCAGGTATTTTGCCACGGAAGTCTTGGCATGCGTCTTGTGTGCAGTGAAGTGCTTGGGATCCCTCCATGCCTACATCGGTTGTTTTTAGGGGACTGTCATGAGTTCGCCTTGGAATAGTTGAGCAAGATAACGGACGCCTGCAGGGGTTGTTACCAATGGGTTCACTTGTTGCCAAGCCCACAACTAGCTTTTAGTCGCTTCGTGCAATGGTGGACGCTGACTTGCCGTGTGTGGAAAGAGCGTGGAGCACGTCCAACCTGTTACAGTCCGTCGCGGAAGCGGCAGCTGCAGTTCAACCGCTGCCGGCAAATTTTGGGAAACTTGTCGACGAGCTGCATACGGCAATGGCTTCTCCATCCAAAGGTGATCTTCCAATGACCTCTATGAGCCCTATTGAGACCGTCGTGCCAGATTCGATGGAGCCTCGATCGCCCAGCATGGCCGTATCGCCCACCTCCCCGGCAAATAAACCGTCTTCGAATACACTGTCAGTGCTGAGTGCAGCTGCAGCCTCTCTCAAAGACAAGACGCAGCAGGTCGCGCAACAGCAGAAGCGCGCGCTCTCCGCGTTCCAGCAGAAAGGGGGTCTGGTGAGTTGGCTGCATGGCGAGATGGATGAATCGAGCCATCGCTCCATCAGTAACTTGAACTCGACTGCATGGCCTGCGGCGTCAGCTCCGACATCTCCAGCGACACAGCAGACTTTGGGTGATTTTTTATCGTTTGTGGAGACTATCGACCGAGACGACCTGCGCACTCCACCAAGTCCTCGCTCACCTGCCGAGTCCCCGATACCAGCAGCCATTGCTGGTCGGCGACGCTCGATGCCAAACATGAAGTCCGGGTCCCTGCTGGACAATTTCTTCGACAAAGTAACTGGAGCCACGACAGCGCCTACCGTCCAGCCGTCCCCCACATCCCCACAACTTAGAGTCAAGCTTCGGCCAACAGTATCTCCACCAAAGTATCAAGCCGAGTCGCTCGACGACTTCATTAATGGGCAGCAAGCTGGAAATCAATCACCTCGATCGAGAGCACCTTCTTCTCCAGAGACCACTCGACAGCGAGCTGTTACGATGGAATTGAGGCCAACTGCTGATGACTCACCCTCTCCAGCCCTTTCGAAAGCTCGATCTGCTGCTTCACTCGGCTCTTCACGATCTTTTCCAGAAACTCGTTTCTCACTTGATGATGTTTTGTCGGACGAATGGAGCTCCACGGTTCTCTGGGCGTATCTGTACAGCTCTGCAGGCGGTCGAGACCCTCAGCACCATCAGCGAATGAGTTTCCTGGTTGAAACAACCTTCCGCATCACACCACTCTACCGAAAACTGGCCGGAAGTATGAATGACACGACTGCGGACAGCGAGCGCGACTTCATGAAGCTAGTCGTACGATTGAAGCGCCTCCACTCCTGTTTCCTCGTGCATAGTGGAGCTACCACGCACGCAAAGAGTGGAGTCCCGGTAGCGTCACCTGCAGCAAGCCACGCTAAAAATCAGCTTGCTGTGGCGATACACACCTTGAGCGACCAAAGAGCTCCAAACAATGAGTTAACACTCGATGCTCGAGTCGAGAAGGCTGTATCGCTACTGTTTCAGCTTGCTCGTGAAGTTGAGCGCGAGTTTCGAGTGCTTGGTACCAGAAGTTATGCGAGTTTTGCTGACAGCTTGCTGTATCGCGACTTTGTTGGTCACGGATCTGGTCACGGAAACATCGCGGTGCTGCTGCGTGCGGCGCGTATCCCCTTCTACCAGCAGCCTAACCGCGTGGCAGATCCTATTTCTTTGATTGATCTCGCTTCGGAGCCAGACTCGGCTGCAGCGACTGTTTTCTCACGAGCTAGATGCCAAGCTTTTGTAGTCGCAGTATTACCCGATGGCTCCATTCAGTTCACGATCGTATCTCCAAATGTCACTGACGAATCCACGCCTGAGCAGACAATTTTGCAGCAGACGATCGAGCCATTCCTCAATCCATCCGCAAACATCCACCCAGCCTCTTCAAAGCCTCTGGCATTCAACTTTATCGCTGGGAGTGGCGACAAGCTAGTTTATGGCGCAGTAATGTGGCTGCCTGTTGGTCAGAACGACACGACAGGAACGGAAGTACTTCCTACTGGTCTCTGCATCGTCTCGAAGTTTTCACTGGTCGATTCCATGCGCCATTTCCTCAGTGCCTTGTGGACGCGATCAGGGGACAGCATCAAGCTCTGTGGCGCGGAAACAACGTCTATCTCTCCCGAAGACATCGAGCATGCCTCACTTGCCATGGGTCAGCATTTCCTCGCTGGAAACAAAGAGCTTCAATTGGGTCAGCCCGATAATGTCCTGCTTCCGGCTGTCGACTTCAAACTCAGTGACCTCTTCGACTGTCTGTCGCTGACGAATGTGCTTCGACTCTTTGCGTTCGCTTTACTGGAGAAGAAAATCGTGCTAGTGGCCTCTAGTTACACGATCCTCTTCTCGGTGTGCGAGGCACTGCGAACTCTGCTCTATCCGCTCGTGTGGAGTCACGTGTACGTCCCCGTGCTGCCGCTCGCTCTCAAAGACTGTCTGCAATGCCCCACGCCGTTCATCTTCGGCCTGCACGACTCGTACGTGCGCCACAGCGACACGCCCCGACCTTCGAACGACCTGGTCATTGTCAACCTCGATCGCGACTCCCTTACAGGCGGAGGCGACGTCTTCCTGCCGCCTGTGCGCCATTCAATACTGCGAGAAGATCTCTTCCGGCTCTGCAAGCCCCACTTGACCTCCCGTGACAGCGTAGACGGGTTCGACGCTCGCCCAACGGAAGAGTTCCCAGTGCTTTCTATCCGTCGGTTGTTCCGCAAGCACCTACGCGAGATCTTGGCGTCCTTGGAGCCCTGCGTCAACCGCTTCGAGCTCAACGGCCAATGTGTGAGCGTGGTGGACAACGCCAACTCGAGCCAGTGGCCCGCAGACACCGCTCGCTTCTGCTCTGCCATGCTGCACACCCAAGCTGTGTCCACGTACCTTGCTTCCCCTCAGTCGGATGATATAGCGAAGGTCGAGCGGGTCTCTGCCAGCACAATAAAAAATATTCTGTAAAAAAACTTGCGGAATAGATATCAAAGAAGAGAGGGGGGGGTCATTTGAATGTAGCCATTTCGCTCTTCACTCAACGCCGTACTTGTCCTTGAGGTCCTGCAGCTCCTGCTTCTGCTTGTCCAGGTCCACGGCGGCCTTGCGCTGCTGCATCTTGTTGGCCTGGTAGTAGAGCACGATGAGGTAGCGGCCGCACACGTTGAAGCCCGAGAGGTGGTCCACCGCGTTCTTGGCGTCGTAGATGTCCTCGTACACCACGAAGGCCGTGCCGCGCGTGTCGTTGTTGACGCCCAGGCGGATCTGGCGGATGGCCCCGTACTTGCCGAAGATGTCGTACAGCTCCTCGGACGAGATTTTGAACGGCAGGTTGCGCACGTACAGCACGCGGTTCACCTCGGGCGGCAGGCGCGCCTGCGAGGCGTGATATATATATGCGCACATACACACACATACGCACTCAATATAAGCTGTGGCAGGCAAAGAAAGCGCTAGTAGAGGCTGTCACGTACGTTGCCGCGACGACCCTGACCTTGAGCAGACATCGCCATCGTCGAGTCGATGGAAAATGCGTTTAGTGTGTGGCACATAAACCCTTTGAAAGATGTTAATACTGTATTTGGTTTGAGAGGGGAAAAGTTGAACACAACACTTCATTTTTATTATAATATAATACCGCAAGCGTATTGGTATTTTGACGCCAGCCAACTCGAATGAGGTTGGTTGTCGTGGCGGGTAAACATTGAACGGCTTGTTCTTTTCTTTTCTTTATAAGCTGACGAGAGGGTCGTTTCCTCTGCGCGCTATTCTCGACGTTTGCTTGCTCTAAATCCGGCGGTTCACGGACGAGCACCACGCAAGAAAAGCTGCCTCGCGCTAAACCACAACAGTCACACCCGCTTGTTGGACGCTTCGGTTGCACTGCGCGTTGGTCAATATCTGTGCTAGTCATGGTGTGCGCACGAGTTTACAGCGACGCAGCTCTGCATGCGGCCTTGCTGCTGACGGGCGCGGTGTTCGTCTGGTTTTGGCTCGCAGATCACATCCGAGGACGCGTGTGGGTGCTGTTGGTACTGCTGTGGGCGATGTTTCACCTGTGGCGCTTGATTCGAAGCAGAAGCAAAGCTGACGAGCTCGTGGAACCACCGGAACAAGAGGAAGAAGAGGACAAAGCTTTTCAAATTGAGGAGGCGCGAATGCAGGCGTGGAGGTCGCCAGCAGGAGCCGAAGTGGCCGCGAGGGTCATTCGCAACGACGAGCTGTTCCGCCTCATCATGACGTTCAAGCGCGGGCTGCCGAATCTGGTGCTGGAGTTTGAACGCGCTAGTATGGACGACTGGTTCGACCTACTTGAGCCCCAAGACGAGTGCCCCGAGCTGGGGATGCTGCCAAAGTTGGCCATCTGGAAGAACAACTTCCGAGTGTTTCGCATGCTCCAGGACTTGCAGGAGTTTTCGTATTATCGACGAGACCCAACGCTGAATTTCGGCGACGTGAGGCGGTTTGCGGCGGTTAACGGTAGACTCGATGTTTTGGGATACCTGCACTTGTACGGGGAGAGCGCCCCGAGCTCGCAGTGGGATCCTCATTTGCTCAATGAAGCCATTTACGCAGGGCAGCTGCGTGTTGTGCGGTGGTTGATCGCCCATCGAAGAGAGGCGTGTGTTTCTCTCACTTCTAAAGCGATCCTCAGCAGCAGGCAATTTAGAGCTACTCAAGTTTCTGCACGAAGAGATAAAGCAGGGTTTCACTACGGGGGCGATGAACCTCGCTGCTGAAAGAGGACGGCTTGATATCGTGCGCTTCCTTCACGAGAATCGTACGGAAGGATGTACTGTGAGAGCCATGGACGGTGCTGCACGCAATGGCCACCTGGAGGTTGTTAAGTTCCTACACGAGAATCGCACTGAAGGCTGCGCGATGAACGCCATGGACGGTGCTGCGAGGAATGGGCATGTTGAAGTCCTAAAGTTCCTGCATGAAAATCGCCGTCCATTGCACAACGACAGCAATGGACGCTGCAGCGCAGCTCAATCGCATCAATATCGTTGAGTTCTTGCGAATATATCGGCACGAAGGTTGCTCGGAATGGGCGATGGCTGAGGCGGCTGCGAATGGGCACATGGACATGGTACGCTATCTGCACCAGCAAGTTCACGTTCAAAGGATCGGCGGTAGTGCCAGCATTGCAGCGCAGAATGGTCACTTCCAGGTTTTTGAATACCTTTGCGCAAATTATCCTCCGAACACTCACGACTATGGAGAATAATGCGATTGCAGCCTGGATAAACCAAGTTTTTCGGTTATGCCTTGGGGAATTTAACGAGAACTAAGCGTTACACGATCACAATCCGCTCCGTGGGCATGAGATGAAGGAGAATTTTTTTATACTTTTGATCAAGCGCTTTGGATGAATCCGTCAGCAAGCGGAGCACGCCGAACATGAGGTTCGGTCGAAGCACCGCCACGCCAAAATCATACCCCAGAGACGCTGTGCAAGTCACTGCACGCTAGGAGGGTAAGCGGACACCTCCGCCTCGGGCCCGTAAAATAATGGTCTCTTTCTGAATGTATTTTTGTTTTTTAGGTTGTATGTTTCCGCTCAAACATCAATGCAGACTGCGCTATGAAATGCAAATACACCAAGCCGTGTCTCTTTCCCCCAGCCCATCTTCACCTTGGGGATTTTAGATCCACACTTCTACGTTACAACAGCCAAAAAAAAGCATCGAGTAGCTAACAAGTCGTGTCAGCACGAGAAGAGCTACGCCAAGGCGTCGCGAATCAACAAACAAAGCTCTTAACCTTTCTGGCCAAAATACTATGTGTATCTATCATCATGTGCTGTCTCTAACGTTGATATGAAACAAGAACCGTGTCTTTGGCTGTTTGGATGGGCTCTGGTCGGCATCGAAAGGTGAAACTTTTTCTGGTTGAAGTAAACAAAAACAAAATGCACAATCGGTCCCATTCCCTTAGTGTGCGCGCAAGTGTTAGTTCTACTGCAACATAACAATACTGGCGTGACAAATTCTCAACAGGCTCTAGAACTACAGGAATGCTTTTTAGCAGAATTGTCTACAAGGCAGTGAGAGTGGCATTCGAAAGGCCCCCTTGTATCGTTCGGGGCTATTAGCGCAGAACAGCTTTCTGTTGTATGAAACTCCATATTTTTTACGAGTATCTTTCTCATCATCACTAATTGTATCACGCCAGTCAACAGACTCAAATTTCTGCCGAATCAGAAGTTTTTTTTCCCAATTTTGAATAATTACCGCCTTCTCGTAGACCGAATTCTGTTTATTCTTGTGCATTAGAACTACAGCAGCTTAAGGCGCCACCACTCAAAGTTGAAGTGTCTGGAATCCGCTCCTGTCGCAACGCTGAATTGTCGTTGCCCAGCGCCTGCTTCTATAGTATTATCGGTAAGAAAATATCATGGTATCTGGCGTTCGTGTCGAAAACAATTTAAGGTTATATTATAACGCAAAATATCGAATAGACTGGTTAACACTTCTACTCCGACATTACGGATTCTCCGGAATACAATTTATAGAGGTGAAAATATTCAGCCATGTCCGCAACGAATTCTCAGTGAGCTAAATCCGCATATAGAAGCTTGTATGCGATAAATTTAAGCAGGTCAGCTGTATAGTCCATATCGCATGCGACACGAAGATTTTCGGAAAGGGTTGGGGGATAAGATATAAATCTCCGAAGGAGAACGCGTGGCTGTCACCAGCCTTTCATTTCGAAATCGGCGGCCGAGAAGCCACCATCACTCTGGCGCCATGTACGCGTTCGAGAGGTCATTCCAGCAGATATGGCGCGAGTTGACGAAGAAGGGCTTGACCTAAAAGAGATCAACGGGACCAACGGTACCTGGCACCCGGTGGGAACGTCAAAGGAAAAGAAGGCGTCAACTACTTTGTTGGCACGTTTATTTTAGCGCGTTGAGGTTGCTTACGGCTACTAAACTCCAATTTACTGGCCAGGTGAAACTAGTTTGCTGCGATACTGTCGGCGGAAAGGCTGGTTGGCCTTTGGGCAGCCCATGGCGACTGCTGGAACGGCTGCGACGGCCACAGCAACTGCTGCAACGACCACAGCGACTGCTGCGACGGCTACAGCGACTGCCGCGACGGCTACGGCTACTGCTGCGACGGACCGGACGGCACCGACAGGCACGGCGACTCCTACGACGACGGACCTGCCACTTGCTCAGGCAGCGGCTAAGCGTCCTGCAGCTACGAAGCCTATACAAGCGACGAAGGCGGCTCCTGAGACTCTCCGGCCGTCTTCACCGAGGACTGCCGTTGCTCCGGCCAAGGTGGCAAGAGCTCCAAGAGCTGCTAGCAAGGCGACAAGGTGTGGAGCGGCGGCCAAGTGCAAGGCGATGACGTCCAGGGCGCCTTCGAAGCCAACCAAGAAGGGTAGGATGTTGTGGTGAGATGTATTGGCTGCAATGATACTGACTTTATTGTTGTTACGGATTCTACGGTATCTGTAGCAACGGTGACGCCAGCGGATCTTCCGGAGAATACAGCAGAAGATGTTCCGGAAGAGGCGATGGATGTTGCGGAGACTCCCAACCATGGCGTACCGGAGACGGCGGTAGTGACAGAGGATGCGGCTGAACCAGGCGTTACGGAGGGGCAGAGTACAGCGCGGTGCGTTCCAGAGATGGCCAGCGCTGTTCCGCTTGACGACGTTGACTTGGACAGCTTCTTGATGCACAGCGGCGTCATCGGCTCTTCGCCGATGCTGATCAGGATGACCTCAATGTTGAAGAAGACGATTGGACCCTCTTGCTCTACTCGGATGCTAGAGGTGGCGACGAAACCATTGCGTGGGGTCAAGCATGGATTATAGTGACTCGGGTTCTCATTGACAAGTCGAGATCGATGGATTACCTCGTAGATAACCACGATAGCCGCATGATCGCAATAAACGTCATAATGAAATGGCCCAATGCCAGCTACCAATGGCTTCCATGAGATGAAAGCGTTATCGTGTCGAAACTGCGCAAGCACCATACACTTGGTGAAGACCACTATGAGAACATGAACACTCTGAAAACATCGTTCATGTTTTCGTCAATTGATCTCGTTTGTAGGATATCATTGGGCTAGGCAGCGAATATTGGTACCCATGTACGTCAAAGAAGGCAAGAGCGCAACGCTGTCGGCAACAGCGTGCGTACCAGAAGTAGCTAAGGTGGCTGAAAAGACTGCCCCAAAGTGTTAGGTTGACAGAGCAAGTGAAAGGAGATCCACTGTGCTGAATGCTTGTCGTGCTATTGGTCCCTTCGCTGCAAGGGGGAAAACGGTTTCGCAGGGAGATCGCAATTGGGAGTATTTTGGTCATGCTCTGTACTGCCCATCCCACCGCATTGCCCAATCAAATATCTTGGTTAGGCCACGTGGCACGCGAAAGGGCTTGATACATGATATATAGTACTGATTTTTCGGTATACGTTAATTCATATATTAGGAATTACGGATTCTCCGGAATAATCTTTGGATTAGAAGTGTTAACATCAACTCCAGGGGAGCGGCTCTGTGAACAGGTTGAAGCCAATCACGTAAAGCTACTGTAATAGCCACATGCACAACGAAGATTGTAGGATTCCCTATCGGATTTGCTATTCCCGAAGAAACAGACAGCGGGGGGGGTTGTAGCAGCGGCTCTCTAGGTTCGGCACGCAGGGAAGGCTTCATTTATAAATTTTCTTCGTCCCACAAGCTTCGCCAATAAGCTCAAGAATGTGCCTTCATCTCTTGCGCCACCATCTTGGGCAACGTCGCCATCATTTCATCCGAGATACTGTGGAAAAGTGCTGAATAAGAGTTGTTCTCCGAGAAAGGCGGCAGGGCCGATCGACTGGAAGTATGGGAGATCAGCGATCGAGAGACAGGCAGCGAGGATCTACGGATCAGAGGGAGTTCTTCAGGAGATCCCAAGTGGCCCGATGACGCCGGCGTGTAAGGCAGGACATGTGGCAAGCCGGATTGTGGATGATCGTGCTCGAACCGTGGCGTGATTCGGGGCCGACCCAAGCCACGATCGACGACAGATCTTGCAGATCAAGGACGGCCAAGGACGGAAGGTGATGGATCGGTTGCACACGGCAACCGGCACAAGTCATCGATCGGGAGTTGACCGCCGATCGAGATCGATCGCGGATCAGGAGTCGGTCGTGGATCGGGAGCCGATCGTGGGTCGCCGATCGGGGCCGATCGGGGATCTGGGATCGGCCACGATGGGATGCACATGGAGGACGAAGTCAGGACAAGAATCCAGTAGTTGTTTAGTTGTAGGATGGTAGATGAGATGGTAGCGGTAGAAAGACACCAGCTAAACATAAATCAGAGCAGAATTTGCACCAAAGACCACAAGCCACCTCAAGTCACCAAGTCCCAGGAACTACATTGGCCTCGACAGCGTCGACACATTGGCTAGTGAACTAGCGGTACGGTTAAGACTGGATTAATACATTGGTCAGCTTGACCTACTCTAGTGATCTATCTTTTGTGCAAGCCCTCGATCGACCGGATATTAGTGCTTGGCCGGCGATTGCCTCTCCTCTCGATCAACCTCGATCCCGCTATAGGAAGCGGCAAGCAACTCAGGAAAGGAAGGAACACACCCGGAAAGGCAACTACAGGCCTTGGATCTACTCCAGGCCGACCGATCGCAGCGAAGAACCCTCGATCGGAGCATATACTCGGACGTAGAGCGAAGACTACCGCGCTGCTCCACAAACTATCCCCGCGTCACGCCACGACATTCAATCTTCACCAAGTGCTGCATCTTCGGAGCCCCGAGAGAGCAGATCCATCCCGCCGACGTGAGAACAAGTTCAGCCGATCACGAATCGTTGGGGGACCCCCTCCGTTAGTCGGTGTCTGGGCGCTGATGGGAAGCTCGATCAGGCCTTAACCAGATTTTGGCCGATCCCGCTACACCACAATACCGCCAGCCTTCGCCGCCGCTATGATCACCGCTGCCGGTTTAACCGACTGCTCGTCGACCTTTCCACTCGTGGAAATAATCATCGCGAGTTTCGTGACTTCGTCCTCGTACTTAGCTCCCTCAGCAATGACCTTGGTCACATCATCGTCCTTCTTCGCAACTTCGGCTACCAACTTGGCCACATCATCGTCTTTTTTCGCGCCCTCACTGAGCACCTTGGCCACATCTTCGTCCCTCTTCGCAGCCTCGGAAATCAAATTGGCCAGGTCATCTTCCCTCTTCGCAGCCTCGGACATCATCTTGGCCACATCGTCGTTCTTCTTCGCAGACTCGGAAACCACCTTAGCCATGTCGTCAAACGGATTCTTCACCCCCTCGGAGACTGCACCCACAATTTTGCCCCTGATTTCTCCTGCTCCGCCAATTTAGCCAAAACCGTAACCTGATCGTCGCTCAGCTTTCCCGCCTGCATGAGTTTAGCGATCTTTTTGACGACTTTACCCAGAGCACTCTTCTGGTGCATCTCCTTGAACAGCTTCTTAACGGCTTCAGTGCCGGTCAGCAAACGATGGTATCGAGGCGATTCAGAGGCAACGCCGTTGCGGAGAGTAATGCTCTCAGCACTGGCACTGATCGTGACTAAAGCACAAACCACAAGGGCTAGAAAGGCAGCGAAGCGGCGGAACCGAAGAAAAGATCGCTACTCATGAAGGCCGTTATTGCTGCCCTGGGTGTTACGGCTAGTGGTGCTATGATCTACACTGTCATGGATCTGATGAAACCGAAATCTGTGTCTGCGTAAACCAATGCGGTATGATCGGACATACCACAAGCAAACTCTACTCAAGATGAAGGCCTTCCCGGTTAGCCACAGGTTCGTCGCGTACTCCATCTTAACTTAGCATTGTAGGTATACGTAAAGTAGTGAGAATCGGCCAAGGGTAAACCCACGGCAGTAGGGTTGTTAGGACTCGGAAGTTACCCAGTTGTCCAAACCTCATCATCATCATCATTGTAGGTATGCGTAGTTCTTCTTTTCAGTAATGAATTACTTCCTACCAGGGATGGTAAACTTTCTTTTATTCATTTTTCTTATATCTTCTTTTATTGAAACGGGGCTCCTAGTGTCCCTGTGGGTAAGGCCCACGAAGATCAAGCGTTCCACTGAGGGTTCGAGTCTCGCCTGGAGTGATTCCGATACAAAAAGCCACGTAAGTCTATTTCCGCCCCCCCCCCCATCACTACATCCCCTGGAACCCCCTAAGTCACCCCCCTAATGGAACTCCCGATTAACCTCTGCAACCGCATCCCCTCAAACCGCCCGACCTCAGGAAGGGAAACCGATCAACTAGGAAAAGTTTAAGGTAACTCACTTAGACGTCAAAGTGCCAGCTTCCAGCAGGCTCCGAAATAAGTGCCTAAATATACGCCACCAGGTCAAGTACCTGGGCCTCTTCTCTCTCTTTTATTGAAAAAGAAGATTGGTGCCAGAGGCCGACTTTTTTTCTTTTGTCTTATATTGTAGCCAAATTTCAAGCTGTTAGTTTATATGAGGGGATAAGGTCCAAAACGAGCTAGAAACGAGCAGTAACTATAGTATAATATTTCGAAGTAGTTCATTTGTTGTCTATTCACGGAATTTTGAAGTCACCTGCTCAATCGAAGGTCACTCCAACAAAGTGACTACTACATCCTTGTCATCACTTCAAGTCCAATAAATTCAACGAAATGCCTGCTATATTTTCCAGGTATGCTGCCGATTCTGTCTGCGTCGTTTAACTATATCCAAAGTGAAGGCAACAGTGTTAGTGTAGCAACGTCGACTAGCAAGTAGACAAAGTGGTAGGGACGTGGGTTAGGTATACATATTCTCGCGAACCCGAAAATCTTATTTTATCTTCTTATATCCTTGAGATTTTTTTCATGTTAAAACATCCCTGTTTCATACGTTTGTTTTTTTCGCTCTTGAGATGATCGAAATACGGATCTATGATTGGCTAAATCAAAAATATCGATATTGGTCGATGTCGCGAGACTACCTTAGTCGTGATTGATCTGTCGCTACTACACTCTTTGCAATGGTGTAATAGTGTTTTGATTTTCGTTGTGAGTTGATCTCGTAGATAGAGGCAGCATACAAAGTGTAAGTGATGATATACAATGTCACTGTTCACAATGAATAGACGACCGCAAGATCCACCCAGCAACGCACCAAATGCGGTGGTGGTGTCGGAGCCTCCGACTCGGAGGGAACGAACGGAACCGGCGATCTGGCTACTAGCCAGTGGCTAGCACGCACACCGAGGAGTCGTAGCTCGATGGCCCGTGTAGCAATTAGATTGGGAATCGACATGGATGGCAAGGTTGGCGGGCGATCAGCGCTTGACGGCGTACCGTAAGTTGAAGTACACGCCTGTGTTCTATGATAATTTTTGATAAAGCGGTAGCTCCACCAGTTGAGTCTTTTATTATGCGTAGGTACACCTATACAAGTGTGACCCTTTATCCCGATACCAGAATATCATACCGCGGAGGGGCTGTTTACGGCCTGCTAAAAATGCAAAGATACGCACCATACAAAAAGCAAGTGTGTCTTGCGTTTCATTGCTGACCAAACCAAACAGCCGAACGAGCTAAAACAACTGCTTGGGGGTCCTAATTCCGCACCATCGTTGAAGAGCTTTAGCGCAAGTAAAGCTCTTCATGCTCTCGACTACGGCCGCCGTCTTGCATTTCGAGTGATGGCCCTGTCAATTTGAAGCGTTAAACGAGGTCGTTGCAGTCCTAGTTGTCATGGGGCTGCCGGCGTTTTACGGGCGAATGTGGTTGAACTTGCTCCCGGCTCACTTTACTGCTCTTGACGACCGGAAGCTGGCGTGGCATTGAAGTTGGGCCCAACCCAGGCGCTTCAGCTTGGCCAGCGGCCCAGCGACGACCGCCGACACGCAAGTCGTCCACGTTGAAGTGCGCGTCAAGATACTGCAAGTGTCGTTGCACCTGCCTGGACCACCTCGTGCCGATTGCCTGCCACGCACGAGCTCGACAGCTCGAGTCATTCCCCATTTTGCCGGCTACTGCCCACCACTTCACCAAGCGACCACCCCAAGAACCTTTTTCCAAGCTCGCCATCATGCTGCGCATCGTGTCTCGCTTCAACCAGCCCGCGCGCCGCGTCGTGAAGACCTCGACCAAGTCGCTCGCCGGCGCGCACAACATGCAGTGCCGCTGCGGCAACTGCGTGCAGCACCCCACGGGCTGCACGTGCCCGCGCTGCCAGTCGCGCTCGTTCTCGGTCAAGTCGCAGTCGCACTACGACATCCCCAAGACGCAGACGGCCGTGGTGTTCGAGCAGAACAACGCGCCTCTGCAGGTCCGCAAGGACTGGCCCGTGACGCAGCCGGAGGAGCTCAAGCCCGGCGAGGTGCTGGTGCGCTTGGCGTACTCGGGCGTGTGCCACACGGACCTGCACGTGTGGCTGGGCGACTGGCCGCTGGACAACAAGCTGCCGCTGGTGGGCGGCCACGAAGGCGCGGGCTACGTCGCTGCCATCGGCGACCACAGCTACACGCACCTGAAGATCGGTGACCCGGTGGGTGTCAAGTGGCTGGCCAACTCGTGCCTGGGCTGCGAGGACTGCCGCAAGGGCTACGAGTCCACTTGTGTCGACGCGGACCTGCACGGCTTCACGGTCGATGGCTCATTCCAGCAGTGGTGCGTGTCGTACGCTGACCACGTGACGCCCATTCCCAAGGAGCTGCCGATGCACGCGGCTGCTCCGATCCTGTGTGCGGGTGTGACGGTGTACAAGGCGCTGAAGGAGATCGGCGGTGTGTGCGGCGACTCGGTCGTGATCCCTGGCGCTGGTGGCGGTCTGGGCCACTTGGCGTGCCAGTACGCGCGCGCCATGGGCTACCGCGTGATCGCCATCGACTCGGGCGAGGACAAGCGCAAACTGGTGGCGTCTTACGGCATCACGGACTTCATCGACTTCAAGGAAGGCAACGTGCGCGACAAGGTGCTGGCTGCGACCGAGGGCCGTGGCGCGCACGCGACGGTGGTGGTGGCGTCGGGCGGCGAGGCGTACAAGGACGCGCTGTCGTTCCTGCGCCCGCAC